CCCCCCATCCCAATGCAAAACCAGGAAGGAATACTTAACTTAGGTAGCAGGAACGCAGCCGTTGTCTCTTTGTGTTGTTGGTCATCGAGCTCCTCATCTCCAAGCTGAAAGGGAACCTGAAAACAGAGGAACTAAACTGATATAATAATTGAATAGAAAAAAGTACTTACTTCGGTGCTTTGGTGACAGGAACACGAACACCTCTCGCCCATGATACTGTTTACGTGGACCGGACCTGATGGCTCAAAGTTGTCGAAAGACTGATCCAGCTGCGCCCTAACTTGGTGTGTTTGCTGCATCTCTCTCATAGTTGTACCTGAAAGATACAAGATAAGAAAATGAAAAATACAAGGATGCAACTTGGTCGAGTCACTTCCAATACAAGCGGAGGAGGGAATGCCAAGTACATTAAGTGAATTCAAGGCAGTCATCATTTTGTGTATTTCTTAGAAAAAATGTTTGCCAAACATACATGTGCCAACAATGGGATTAGAATCCAAACAATTGAAAAATGTGTCATTGTGGAATAACCGTACTGAACCAGAGAGCAAAATCATCAAATGATAGAACTGATTATGTGTTACAGTACCTTTAACAAGATGGTATGTAGATATAAATACTGCAGATAGGTTCATGTAGCACAAATTGCAGATTCTCTAATTTCCTGTTAGGGGTGAATTTCTACCCCGAGACCTTAGACTATATCCTCTATAGTCTGAACTTTTTTGAAATTTGGGATGAAAATATCATTACATTGTTTTCTTCTAGAATATCTTAGTCTATATCCAATAGACTGAATTTCCTGAGAATTCAGTCTATTGATCATTATGTCCCTCCTGTGGGAAAAAACAGGAAATTTCAGGCACACAATTATCAATTTTAGGAAACTTCCCTTCCCAAAAATAAGCATTATAACAATTCAATTAAGTAGTAAGGTACAATTAAATGCTATGAAAAGTAACACAGCATATTGGCAAATGGAAGGAAGGGGAAGTAACAAGTATGCAAATTAATTTACCCAGTCGGCCATTTTGAATGGCACTTCCTATGTCAACAAATAATTTCCAATCCAAAATTTTAACATAAAGTTGGGGACAAAAATAAATGACAGGTCGATTTTCGATCACCATTTCCTAATTATGGTGGTCTGATATCCCTTAAAATTTGTATATTTTACATTTTGTATAATCTCATCCACTGATTTATGGCCTCTTGTAAATTCTCTTATTTTTAACATGGGAAATCCTCACTTCAGCAAATCCACCTGTCATTTATTTATGTCCCCAACTGTATGTGGGCTATAGTCTGAATATTTTCATTCCAAATTTCAAAAAAAATTCAGACTAGAGGATATAGTCTATAGAATATCTGGTAGGAGTGTAATGGGAACTCCAGGAAATTCTGATATTTCACACTTTCTATTTTTCCAAATTTTCTTTCAAAGTTTCCAGACAACACAGGAGCTACCATTGACCAGGATCTAGGTTTACTAAAAGAAGACCGTGTAATAATATTTTTCCTGAAAAAAGGAAGGAAATACGCACATGCCTTTGCCTTCATACTTAATTTTGTACCAGAAAATAACATGTGCAGGTATAGCAATTTTTACCAAAATGTTACTTTCCAGCTGAACCTTAAAATATACAAAAGTTAGGTATTGCACATACATTGTATGTTTCTATTTTTCATAAACTGCTCCAATATGGTCATATCCCATTGCTTATCTTTTGAATTCAAAGTACTAATAAATATAGATTTGAATCGGACTGACGAATGAAAACACAGGCACAAGTTTGTGTATGCATATTCGAAATAACCTTTATCAAAGGCTCTCTAATACCCATACAAATTAGGTTATTCTTCCCAAACAACATTTTTGCCCATACTATTTTCTGGAACAAAATAAAGTATGAAGACATGTGTGTATTTCCTTGCTTTTTCAGGAAAGTATCCTTTCTATAAGTAAACCTAGTAAGTGGTCAATGGAAATCCAGTGTTGTTGAGAAACTTGGAGTAGAAAATTGAAAAGGTGGCCATTTTGAATGATTTTTCTTGAGATTTTACCATTTCATGGAGTTGCCAATTACCTGCTACCAGGTTTACTAAAAAAACATTGCAAGGATACTTTCCTGAAAAATCAAGAAAATACACATATGCCTTCATACTTTATTTTGTACCAGGAAATAACATGGGCAGGTACATGTACAGTACAGCATTTTTCCAAAATGTTGTTTGGAAAGAATAATCTAACCATAGAAAATATACGTACCGTTGTCGTTGTGCTGCATGATACCACCATTGGTATTTTTGTATATGTAGTTTGTGTTCCTAAGTTTTCTTCATTTGGAACCACTGCATGCTTTTAGACACTTGTTATAGTTTTTGTTATAACTTTTGTTTAGTCCCATACTGGTACTCTTCCCTCATACTTTGTGTTTCCACTTCTTACAATGTTGCTATGGTTGTCCACTTAGGAAATCATCCAGATCGAGTATATGTTGGCATAATAATCCAGACTCTGCTTATTCATTTTGTCTACAACAACAGCAATTTTTATGATATACTGTGTTATTTTCGTTTTTACGTATCGGCATTTTTCAACTTCGAAAATTCCTTTGTTCTTATCTGTATAATGAATGCTCATAGGGGTCTAACCACGTGATCAGACGTAAGGTGGTCTGTTGAGATTGACCAATGAACACCCTCGAGAAATTACTGTAATCGAATGCTAGTACGCATCAGTTTTAAGCGTCTGGTATCAGGTCCAAATATATCTTATTTCCGAATGGTTTCCTAATCATGTTCGAATTTCACGACGCCCGACGTGAAATGCATGCTAGTGTGTATATTGCGTTATATTTATACAACGTTTCAAACACATAAACATAAACATTAAAATAACATTAACATAAACTTTATTAAGCTAACCGTTTCGGAAAGTTTGTCTATTTGAGTTAACGGCACATTTAATTTGATGTGAATAACTTTAAAGGTTGTATGTAACTATCAAAGTGATTTTGACACCTTTTCAAAAGGCTTAATTTAGGATGTTGCAGTGTATGTAATACTTTTCATGATTTATACATTTAGAGTGGATATTCATCTTTCATTCAATATGATGAAAACGTAAAAGAGTCGTATCGATATGGAGAACTTTTTGAACACACGTTTCTCTTAAACCAGTCATTAAAAAATCTGAAAAATTAACACATCGTCAATTTAATGGTCATCTTTGGAATGGTAACAATATAATTCTATATTGTTTTAGAAAACACATCAAACACTTGTTTTGTTTTTGGCATCATGTTTCCAGAGTGAAATGAAACATCTTTCCGAACCTCATTGTAACAAAACGACATAAACACAACATGTTTAGGTCTCTCCATATTGTAATTGTACAAAGGCAATTTTGGTTGATTTTAAAAAAAGTATCTTGTAAGTGAAATAAAAGGTTTATCTTGATTTTTATATATTTTGGGGGGGATTTTCTTTAATTTTCTGAATACTTTTTTAAAATCAACCAAAAATTCCTTTGTACGAGTATAACTATAATATTGAGAGGTCGAAAAACATGTTGTATATGCTATTTTGTTCCATCAAGGTTCGGAAAGACATTTTACTTCATTCTCTAGAATTGGTAGAAAAGAGCAAAAACAATTGCACTAAAAAACAAAAAATGCTAACAAAAACAGTTATAATTTTCGCATTAAATTGTTGTCAATCAGTCAACATTACATGAAATACCATGTTTTTTTACAGAATGTTTTCAATAATTGGTTTAAGAGAAAAACATTGTTGAATTCAGTTCTCCATATCGATACCTATCCTTTATGAAATATTGACTGAGTGGCGATGGGAGCTATTACAATGACCCCTACTTTTAGCAATCTTCAGAACGTTTCGTCGGGCCCATCTTAAATCAAATACAATAACATTGCCGTTTTTGGGCTTATTACTTGTTGCTTATTATTTTATTCAGAATAGAATACATGTTGACATAAAGCACTCAATCTGGCGGACGACGGCCGATGGATCGGAACAAACTCAGAGTTTTTTATTGCATCTTTCTTAAAAACAGTTGATGATATCGTTCAAAAACTCATTTCCATCGTTTTCTAAGCCCTTGATAGTAATATTCATCGGGTCAGTACAAAAATGGAATGGTGCCATGGCATACCCTGTGGCTTAGGCTATGGCACCCTCGTGCCATAGACTGTGGGACACTATGTTGAGTCAAATAATTCCAAATATATATACCTCATGCCAGTATTAAGTTTTTCAAAAAGCCGTTTTTAAAAAATGACGACTAGTGTCAAAATGACGGCATTTTGTGTCAATTTTACTGTATTTTAGACACAATATATAAAATTGTAAGTTTAATTATTTCTTCAATGTAGAAACTTATAAAAGTCGTTTAAAAAACAAATTATTTAAAAAAAAATATGGCAAACATCTAAGTAGTGGAGCTATTTTGTTCATATTTGATATGTATTCACTCATAAGCATAATTGAAACACTTTCCAATGACATTTTGTGTGCGAACAAATTTTGTCATTTAAAGTTACAAGTGCGTTTTATTTGATTTCTCACTCCCTGAAACTTGAATTCAAATCGTGTATAGTGGAGGGTAACCTACAAGAAATAGCATTATATAGCTTTATCTTAAAAAATACCAACCCGGAAAAAAACCGGATTTTTAATTCAAATTCAGCCCGAAAAACGGAAAATTTGATAAAAATGAGCCCGGATTAAACCCAGAATCTTTTTTTTCTTATTTTTTTAATTGAATCTTCAGTAGCCTGTAATACAAACACAAATAAATCATTTAAAAATAACCGTTACAATATATTTGAATTTTGTGGATCTTCGAGTCATTACTCACGCACTTGTAATGATAGGCGATCACTGTACATACGGTGTGTTTACTTATCGCAGTAGTTCAGTTTTACAAATTAAAATATGGAAGTAAATACCCTTTGCATTCGTTCGACTTCGTGTCTCAAAAGAGAGCTTCGGTTATAACGACTCTGCGCGCAGGGTATGAAGTAAAGGTGTGACGCATTAAAACTCATTAAACAGCTTTATAAGGGGAGAACGATGTTAGTTTAACCTTATATCTCAGTGTGGTAGGACTTTACATACACATGAACAGTTGGATAATAAGGACACACTATGGGTGACACCAAAATCAGTTCCCTTTCTAACAAGCATGTGAAGGTAATATTTGTATTGATTTGTATATTGCAGTTATGATTTATGAAACATTGAATTTGTATCAACTCATGTTACATTTAGGAGATACGGATAGATGCATACGTTTTGGTAGCACTAAGAAATTCACATGTGTTTCTAATGTTATGTTTATTGTATGAGGTTCGGATCTGTTTGCAGCTGAGAGATTCATCTTTTACTTGATTATCTGATGCTATTTATATTGTGCTACAGGGAAATTCTGTTTACAGATAAGAGATCTACCTATTACATGGTTAAGGAAACTAATCACTATGATTCAACTCTATGACACTGATAATGATGGACATGGAGGCTATGAGGATTTCATGACGTTAGCTGACAGATTAATCAAATATGGTAAATAAATATGGTATTGTCCAAGACAGAAAATATAAGGGCGAGACTAGCAGAAAACAAACACTGTCAAATACCAATAAAAGATAAACAGGGTGTCCGGAAAGTAAATATACAGATGCTCTAATTTCAATAGATTTACCTGTTGTGAGATGTGTTTGCTACGGATTGTAGAATGGCATCGTAACAATTTATCCTGCAACTGTCATGACAAATTGTCTCAAAATGAAAAAGTTATGGTTGTTATGGTAACAGAAGTCAGGGGTATGTGGAGCAACGTCAAACTTAGTGTGTTTTGTAATTATTTTTCCTGTTCCTTTCATCTTGGCACTCCATCATCTCTTCCTATTATACTTCGAATTGTGTACCACAGCAGAAAAAGGATTAGTATTGTAACATTATTTAATCTTTGACATTACTACTGTTATCCAGTATTATGTATTTTGAACGGAGATTCAAAGACCTGACAAAACCCCAATCTCTAAGATTGCTGATAACATTGGCTTCCAGTTGAGTCTCATTTTTATGTTGAACTTCTAACACATATTGCTTTAAGATATTCATTAATGTAGAAGTCCAATGGGACATTGTCAGGGATATGGGCCATTGTACGAAAAGGTTTAATATCAAGACATTCAATTGTAAGATTTGTTTTCTTTACTTTTTGAATTGGTGCGTTGACTGTGGAGTTGCACAATTTACTTTCCTATTAATCCAGGGACCATTTTTCTAAGCACTTATATATACCTTTTCTTTGATTATACTGATGAATTACATAGTTCTGATATGTATCAATGATATCATTATACTAAAGAGAATACTATGGCAGCAAGAATACAATATTGAACAAAACAAAACATTGATAAGAAATACTATGATAAACACTGTTTCAAATGGTTATATTTTAGCAATTTATCACAATTTAGCGCTGGAACTGCTCCGCATACCCCTCACCAACGTAACCATGACAACCATAACGTTAACACGTTTAGACTATATGTTATAAAAGTTGGTAGATTCATTGTAATAAAGTTTCTCTACAATCTGTAGCAATTTCATTACCAAAAAACTAAATCTCTTAAAATTAGAGTATTTGTATCTTTACTTTCCAGATACCCTGTACATGACTATCTGACAATTGATATTAATTCGAAAACTGTTGTTTCTGCAACATTTATTACACTTTAATGTCATTGATTTCTTTCTTAAGGCCTCCTCACGTATGAACGAAAACCCTCGACGTCAACTTGCCTTATTTTAAATTTTTGGCCAAATTTTCAAAACATGGGCCTTAAATTTTCAAAAATGTTGGCCGCGCAAGCGTCTAGATCAGCCCTTGGTTCGAGCAAAATTTGTTCACATTAGTACGTTCTACATCGATGGAGTGTCCGTATGTGGACGAACCCTTTCGGAAAGTTTCGGATGGCTTCCGACATGTCGGAAGCATGCGCAAAGTAGCGCTTCAGTTTGCGTGTTTGCGTTCCAAATCGCCGTAATTAACAAATTATCCAATTCGCAGGACTGCGTTAACTTAATTCGTTCATATGCGTGGAGGCCGCTGACATGCCTTCTTCTTTCGTAAATATTACATTTTGTAAATATATTTTTGATCTCAGCACCATTAGGCAACACTCAAAACGAAACATGACAGATTATGTTCAGCTATACCTTTATTTTTCTGTTTTATCTGCTAGGTAAACTCGATGGGAAGGCTGCAGATGACGTCATCGAGTTTTTTCAATCATATGGATCAGCTTCAAAGGCAGGAGCTAGATCGGAAATAATGGCTGCAACAGGCACGGCACAGCAAATTCTTGCAGCATGGAAAGCGAGGGATAATCCAGCTGCAGTTGAGCTATGGCGGTCTAGATACTCCAGAATGTTCAAGGTGGCGTTTTATATACTTGGTGTATATATTTAATTTACTTTACTGCTATTGGACAATTATCAGAATGTAAATCACGAACTTGCATTGATTTTGTCTTTTTGGAAATACAGACTTAGTTTGGTCTTTTCCGCACGATTTATTCAAATTTTCTTGATTGAATGAATTGCTTGATAAATATTGTTCATATTTGGCCTCAACCATCCCTTATATAGTGATTTTATTTTGTGTAGATAAGTAATAAATTCAGCCAATAAGATAGACCTCTGATTACAATATAGCAACATGAAAACATGCATGGTAGCAGAACAAGATTATTCATTTTAAAAGCAAGATTTTAGAGCAAACAGTGTTGACGTTTTTTAAAAAAAAACTCTGTATGTATCCAAGGGATGATAAAATTGTTTTGATTCTTTTTTCAGATATTTGACTTGAATTCCACTGGTTTCATAACATTTGACGAATACTTGACCTTCTGGCGTATTTTCGGCATTGACCCACGCTTTGCAAGGATGCAGTTCGACTACATGGACACAGATGCAGATGGAAATATATCAGAGGAGGAGTTTGTCGATGCTGCCATTGATAACTTTTGTAACGCAGACTTGGACGCGCCGAATCGCTTCTATGGACCATTAGTAAAATATTAAAATTCTGCTGCTAAATGTTCTCGGCTCGCTTCATGATTCTACATACAGAGTCAGATTATACAATATTCATCGTAATAATGTCATTATGTTAGTTAATTGATACAGACAGCAGTGATCTCACAAGCACTATAATGACCAGTCGCATTAGATGTCATCCTGCTGAAAATCTCCATGCCAAAAGTTGGTATTACCATTTAGCACCTTGTTGAGAAAAAATTGCATTTAAGCAGATAGCTGTTCAGTGTCATCCATACACACATGATATCTGCACCGAGTTTTTTGCAAGCACCGTCTACAAAGGGTGTTTGAAATACAGGGTGGTCAATAATCATTTAGCACATTGAATTTCCTTTCAACATACTTTATTTCATGAAAATCAAGACATTATTGACTATCTTACTCTCTTATGAAATTGTTACGTGTTCAATTGATTTCAATGGGTTTTCGCAATACCTGTTATTAAATTGAAAGTTCGGTTCTAGAATAGCTTTTACCTTGATTTTTGATTTATATGAAAGAATATATTACCTTAAGAAATATATCACAAAATATCATAGATTTCCACCCCTAAGAACACGTTGACCTTCATTTCATCTTTTTTGACCTACTTTTTTCGGGAAACGAATACATAAATGATATGAGGGATAATGATACACTGAAATCACGTACGATCTAACTTCCAAATAATTGCATGTACATATATGCAGACTCATTTGATCCTAGCACAAATAATTTCAAATATATCTCATCTTATGTTTTCCAACTGGACACACGCAAGGCCGAATGAAGTTAGAGTCAAACAGCAAAAGCTCCAAAGTAACACATTGACTTGTCTATTTCGATCGATTTCCCATTGTTAAAACTCTCGCTTGCGTCAACTACAAGTCTTATAGTTGAACCTTTTTTCAAGAATACAACGCCACTTATATAGTTTGTGTTAGTATTCTGGACTATTTTGTAACTTTGCGGATGTCCTGGAACCGAACGTGAACACATAACCTTTCGGTCTCTGCACGAGGAAGTAGAGCATCCACATGGACGGTACGAATCTGCGACGTGTAAGCAGTGTCCCATTTCGTGGTTTCGGCCATGGAAAAAGATTTGGCTGTATATGAAATAATTGCCAGTGTACTTGATGACAATATATGCCTCGTGGTTGCATGCAGAATCGTTGAGTGAGTCGATGATGAGTTTCATATTGTAACGGGACTGGGGTTCCCAACTGCTATTTATGTTCCCTGAAAATATTCGTTATATTTTTATAAACATTTTTCAAAGTAAAAAAACACGTGTTACTTTTAAACTTAGCTCCCTTCGGTTAGAACGCAGCGAAGAGAAAACGTTCGAAGATGTGTTTTCATCCATAAATTCATAAAAGTTCTTTTAAATTATCATGAATTTAATCATTATTGTGACACTACATACACGGCGCAACAGGCTTAAATGATCAATCAGACCGATCATACGTTTAGTTTAATACAGGAATCAAATAAAATAATATAATTACATTACCGTGTTTATCAAATGATCTTGGCATCGGATGTGGATTGTTCTCCATCTTTGGAACAACGTGGATTGACGCTCTCTAAAAATAAACAGAACAAAATAATGAAAATATACTAAAGAGATCGCTAAAGTTATATATTCAATCATTTGAGCAAAATTTGGAAATATCATAAATATTACTATGATGCTCTATAATATATAATCAACAAACAGAATCGTTATGACGGTCAGCCAAATATACCAATCCATAATATCACCGTAATATCATTGTATTTTCAAATCAGAAACAGGCTACGAGATGAATATTTATATTTTTGTATACTTTTTTTTTTTTCCGTGTAAATATTATTCAGACAGGAATGTCTGTGTAATTTTCAAGCCACTGCAAATGCACCGAAGTAACATAAAGATTGTCAATTTTTACAGAATGTGAACAGGTTGCTAAGTATAGTGTGGGACTATAGTACATATTGGAGACTTACCTTTCACCCAGGGAAATGTTCGTTACTTGTATTTGGCAGACATCAAAATAGAAATAACGTTGCTAAACTAGGGCCCAATGTGATCCAACAAAAAGCAGGAGAGATGCATGTAGGAATACCCCTCGGAAGGCACAATGATTTTGTGAAACAAACTGTGTGCAAATCCAAATGGAAAAATTTTCTCACTACTAGGACTAGGCTCTCTTACTGGGGGTCTATGCCCATTAATGGCAAGTAAGCTGTATTGGTCTTTTTCTATGAGCAAACTGCTATACGGATGCCAAGTGATAGACTACACCCATTTTGAAACGGAGCAAATGGAAATTTCACATAGAGAAATCGGAAGGAGGATACAGGCACTCCCAAAAAGTTCTCCGAACCCCATTGCTATCGCAGGTCTTGGCTGGCTCTCTATAAAGTGACAGATTGATTTTACCAGGCTGATGTTCTTCTGGAGCATTGTAATATTACCAATGAACAATATATACAAAACTGTTCTGATTCATCGACTGTTGTGGCTTATAGGGAGGAATGGGCGGCACAATTCCCCACTTTCAATCATGTGGGAAACCTTAGAACGCTACAATTTGAATAATATGGTGTTCAAGATGATAGAGTTTGGGGAATTTCTCTCCAAATCAGCCTTTAAACGTCTTGTGAGTGGTATAATAAGGTGCAACGAAGCCCATAGTGTTATCATGATGTGCTCATTGTATGATTCTTTAACTATGTTTGTACCTACTGTTAGGTTATTTATGCAGCCAATTTTATGGTGGAATATTAGTAACCCCCCTATCACACCAAACTAGTTCTTACCCGTTCTTACCAGTCCTACGAAAACGTCGTAAAACGGGCTCAATCTGGCTGTGATCGGGAAATATGTCTGAAATAATTAGCTTCTTCGTTCTTAAACAGTCTTAAATACGTCCATCTCGTTCGCAGTTCGTTCAGGTCGGACCACGTCGGTGTGCAACGTAGTAGAATGCGTCCCTTAGTCTAGAAGGTCAACATGACCTGATTACAGAACGGTATGGTCGCCATCGAATTTTGAATAGATTCAAAATTCTAAAATCACATTCCCGTCTGAGAACGTTCATAAAGTTCGTAAATAGACCTTCGAAAGTTGCAGCTACGTTCATTCCGTTCGCACACAGTTTAAAACCAGTTTTGAAGAACGCAGTGGCAACTTGTTTGGTGTGATAGCTATTTTTGCTAACTCGTTCATAAACAGTGTTAAATACGTTCTTAATCAGTTTAAACACGTTTGCAATTAGTTCTACCTCGTTCTCAACACGTCCTCAGACAGTTCAACTCGTTGTTAAAACGTCCCTAGTAGGATTGAAGTACGACGGTTCCGTTCGTAGTACGTCCAGCTCGTCGTTAGTACGTTGTCATTCGTTCTAATTGTAGAACGTGACGACCACGAGAACATTTTGGGCATTGTCTAAGTTCTAGAGGACCTACCCGTTCGAGTACGTTCGATGAAGTTTGTAAATAGATCCCAAACGGTTCTTAGTAGGTCCAGTCCGTTCGTACACAGTTGAAGCCCGTTTTCGAAAACGTAGTAAGAACTAGTTTGGTGTGATAGTAGGGTAAGAAAAGACCTCTTCTCAACAAACAATGTATCCTAATGTTCAAACTGCAAACACGTTGCTACCCATTTAATATTTGTGCTTTATGCCTCCATGCCCTCTGTACAGCAAAGAAAATGACACCTTGGAACATTTCTTATTGCGTTGTGACGCACTTTCTCATGGGCGACATACACTTACCATGCTTTTAGAAAGTGAAGAGTGCCATACAATTGATGAAAAGTTGAGCTTCATTTTTGGTATAAATCATTAGAGTTTGGACCAGGAGACCCTTGATTCTCTCTGTCCTGTTTCGATGAACATTCACTCTATGCATAGAGCCAGGGAGACGATGTTAAGGCATTTTAACTTTTTGTACCTGTAACTTTTATATTACTCTTTTCTTTTACCTTATATCATTGTATACCATGTAACTGTCTAAATGAATAGACGCAAATAAAGAATACATACATACAAAAGAGAGCTTCGGTTATAACGACTCTGCACGCAGGGTATGGAGTAAAAGTGTGACGCATTAAAACTCATTAAACAGCTTTATAAGAACGATGTTAGTTTAACCTGTGGTAGGACTTTACATACACATGAACAGTTGGATAATAAGGACACACTATGGGTGACACCAAAATCAGTTCCCTTTCTAACAAGCATGTGAAGGTAATATTTGTATTGATTTGTATATTGCAGTTATGATTTATGAAACATTGAATTTGTATCAACTCATGTTACATTTAGGAGATGCATACGTTTTGGCAGCACTAAGAAATTCACATGTGTTTCTAATGTTATGTTTTTTTATCGTATGAGGTTCGGATCTGTTTTACAGCTGGGAGATTCATCCTTTACTTGATTATCTGATGCTATTTATATTGTGCTAAGGGAAATTCTGTTTACAGGTAAGAGATCTACCTATTACATGGTTAAGGAAACTAATCACTATGATTCAACTCTATGACACTGATAATGATGGACATGGAGGCTATGAGGATTTCATGACGTTAGCTGACAGATTAATCAAATATGGTAAATAAATATGGTATTGTCCAAGACAGAAAATATAAGGGCGAGACTAGCAGAAAACACACACTGGCAAATACCAATAAAAGATAAACAGGGTGTCCGGAAAGTAAAGATACAGATGCTCTAATTTCAATAGATTTACCTGTTGTGAGATGTGTTTGCTACGGATTGTAGAATGGCATCGTAACAATTTATCCTGCAACTGTCATGACAAATTGTCTCAAAATGAAAAAGTTATGTCTGTTATGGTAACAGAAGTCAGGGGTATGTGGAGCAACGTCAAACTTAGTGTGTTTTGTAATTATTTTTCCTGCTCCTTTCATCTTGATATGTATCAATGATATCATTTTACTAAAGAGAATACTATGGCAGCAAGAATACAATATTGAACAAAACAAAATATTGATAAGAAATACTATGATAAACACTGTTTCAAATGGTTATATTTTAGCAATTTATCACAATTTAGCGCTGGAACTGCTCCGCATACCCCTCACCAACGTAACCATGACAACCATAACTTAAACACGTTTAGACTATATGTTATAAAAGTTGGTAGATTCATTGTAATAAAGTTTCTCTACAATCTGTAGCAATTTCATTACCAAAAAACTAAATCTCTTAAAATTAGAGTATTTGTATCTTTACTTTCCAGATACCCTGTACATGACTATCTGACAGTTGATATTAATTAGAAAACTGTTGTTTCTGCAACATTTATTACACTTTAATGTCATTGATTTCTTTCTTAAGACCTCCTCACGTATGAACGAAAACCCTCGACGTCAACTTGCCTTATCTTAAATTTTTGGCCAAATTTTCAAAACATGGGCCTTAAATTTTCAAAAATGTTGGCCGCGCAAGCGTCTAGATCAGATTGCTCTTGGTTCGAGCAAAATTTGTTCACATTAGTACGTTCTACATCGATGGAGTGTCCGTATGTGGACGAACCCTTTCGGAAAGTTTCGGATGGCTTCCGACACGTCGGAAGCATGCGCAAAGTAGCGCTTCAGTTTGCGTGTTTGCGTTCCAAATCGCCGTAATTAACAAATTATCCAATTCGCAGGACTGCGTTAACTTAATTCGTTCATATGCGTGGAGGCCGCTGACATGCCTTCTTCTTTCGTAAATATTACATTTTGTAAATATATTTTTGACCTCAGCACCATGAGGCAACACTCAAAACGAAATATGACAGATTATGTTCAGCTATAATACCTTTATTTTTCTGTTTTATCTGCTAGGTAAACTCGATGGGAAGGCTGCAGATGACGTCATCGAGTTTTTTCAATCATATGGATCAGCTTCAAAGGCAGGGGCTAGATCGGAAATGATGGCTGCAACAGGCACGGCACAGCAAATTCTTGCAGCGTGGAAAGCGAGGGATAATCCAGCTGCAGTTGAGCTATGGCGGTCAAAATACTCCAGAATGTTCAAGGTGGCGTTTTATATACTTGGTGTATATATTTAATTTACTTTACTGCTATTGGACAATTATCAAAATGTAATTCACGAACTTGCATTGATTTTGTCTTTTTTGGAAATACAGACTTAGTTTGGTCTTTTCCGCACCATTTATTCAAATGTTCTTGATTGAATGAATTGCTTGATAAATATTGTTCATATTTGGCCTCAACCATCCCTTATATAGTGATTTTATTTTGTGTAGATAAGTAATAAATTCAACCAATAAGATAGACCTCTGATTACAATATAGCAACATGAAAACATGCATGGTAGCAGAACAAGATTATTCATTTTAAAAGCAAGATTTTAGAGCAAACAGTGTTGACGTTTTTTTTAAAAAAAACTCTGTATGTATCCAAGGGATGATAAAATTGTTTTGATTCTTTTTTCAGTTATTTGACTTGAACTCCACTGGTTTCATAACATTTGACGAATACTTGACCTTCTGGCGTATTTTCGGCATTGACCCACGCTTTGCAAGGATGCAGTTCGACTACATGGACACAGATGCAGATGGAAATATATCAGAGGGGGAGTTTGTCGATGCTGCCATTGATAACTTTTGTAACGCAGACTTGGACGCGCCGAATCGCTTCTATGGACCATTAGTAAAATATTAAAATTCTGCTGCTAAATGTTCTCGCCTCGCTTCATGATTCTACATACAGAGTCAGATTATACAATATTCATCGTAATAATGTCACTATGTTAACAAGAATTGATACAGACAGCAGTGATCTCACAAACACTATAATAACCAGTCGCCAAAAACATTAGACTTCATCCTGCTGAAAATCTCCATGCCAAAAGTTGGTATTACCATTTAGCACCTTGTTGAGAAAAAATTACATTTAAGCAGATAGCTGTTCAGTGTCATCCATACACACATGATATCTGCACCGAGTTTTTTTGCAAGCACCGTCTACAAAGGATGTTTGAAATACAGGGTGGTCAATAATCGTTTAGCACATTGAATTTCAACATACTTTATTTCATGAAAATCGAGACATTATTGACTATCTTAAGATTTTTTATGAAATTGTTACGTGTTCAATTGATTTCAATGGCTTTTCGCAATACCTGTTATCTTTGAAATTGAAAGTTCGGTTCTAGAATAGCTTTTACCCTGATTTTTGATTTATATGAAAGATAATATATTGTCCTAAGAAATGTATCACAAAATATCATAAATTTCCACCCCCAAGATCACGTTGACCTTCATTTCATCTTTTTTACCTACTTTTTCGAGAAACGAATACATAAATGATATAAGGGATAATGATACACTGAAATCACGTACGATCTAACTTCCAAATAATTGCATGTACATGTATACATACTCATTTGATCCTAGCACAGATAATTTCAAATATATCTCATCTTATGTTTTCCAACTGGATACACGCAAGGGCGAATGAAGTTAGAGTCAAACAGCAAAAGCTCCAAAGTAACACATTGACTTGTCTATTTCGATCGATTTCCCAATGTTAAAACTCTCGTTGGCGTCAACTCCAAGTCTTATAGTTGAACCTTTTTTCAAGAAAACAATGCCACCTATATAGTTTGTGTTAATATTCTGGACTATTTTGTAACTTTGCGGATGTCCTGGAACCGAACGTGAACACATAACCTTTCGGTCTCTGCACGAGGAAGTAGAGCATCCACATGAACGGTACGAATCTGCGACGTGTAAGCAGTGTCCCATCTCGTAGTTTCGGCCATGGAAAAAGATTTGGCCATATATGAAATAATTGCCAGTGTACTTGATGACAATATATGCCTCGTGGTTGCATGCAGAATCGTTGAGTGAGTCGATGATGAGTTTCATATTGTAACGGGACTGGGCTTCCCAACTGCTATTTATGTTCCCTGAAAATATTCATTATATTTTTGTGAACATTTTTCAAAGTTAAAACAATTAATTTTAGTGTGACTTTTAAACTCAGCTCTCTTCGGTTAGAACGCAGCGAAGAGAAAGCGTTCGAAGATGTGTTTTCATCCATAAATTCATATAAGTTCTCTTAAATTATCATGAATTTAATCGTTATTATGACGCTCCATACACGGCGCATCAGGCTTAAATAATCGATCAGACCGATCATACGTTTAGTTTAATACAGGAATCAAATAAAATAATATAATTAAATTACCGTGTTTATCAAATGATCTTGGAATCGGATGTGGATTGTTCTCCATCTTTGGAACAACGTGGATTGACGCTCTCTAAAAATAAACAGAACAAAATAATGAAAATATATGAGATTCCATTTGAGCCAATACAAGACTCCACATGGGCCATTATTGCATGATTCTATATGAGCCACTACTAGATTCCACATAGGCCAACGCAGGATTCCATACGAGCCAATACAGGATTCCACACGGGCCATTATTGCATGATTCTATATGAGCCACTACTAGATTCCACATAGGCCAACGCAGGATTCCATACGAGCCAATACAGGATTCCACACGGGCCATTATTGCATGATTCTATATGAGCCACTACTAGATTCCACATAGGCCAACGCAGGATTCCATACGAGCCAATACAGGATTCCACATGGGCCATTATTGCATGATTCTATATGAGCCACTACTAGATTCCACATAGGCCAACGCAGGATTCCATACGAGCCAATACAGGATTCCACACGGGCCATTATTGCATGATTCTATATGAATCAATGTGGATTCCACATAGGCCAACGCGGATTCCGCATGGGCAAATGTGGATTCCCCATGGGTTAGTACCGGATACTACACGAGCCAATTCAGAATTCCCTCTTCAGATCATAGAGAATCATGATGTCATAGCCGGAAACGAAAGGGAGTCATTTTAAAATGTATTGAAAAGAGAAAGCATGTGCAACATACATTATCAAAACCCAACTCTGGGAATTGAAACTATGTGAAGACAATAACACGAAAATTTTCGTTTTCGCTTTAGATATCGGTTCTCATTGCATAAGGAGTATAACATTGAATTTTTGTCACGAACACTAGCATATTATCACAAATAAATAACAATATACGATAGATATATAAACTGAGGCGAACGTAAACGCCCATGATTTGACTCATTGCATAAGGAGTATAACAGTGTATTTTTGTCACGAACACTAGCATATTATCACAAATAACAATATACGATAGATATATATATTGGGGCGAAAGTAAACGCCCATGATTTGATGCTTGACAAAAGTATGCATTTTAATTATCTATATTAATGAAGACTTTTAACACACCATCAAATATAGACCAAAGCACTCTCAAAGATTAGCAGTGCTTTTATGGCATTAACCTCTTGAATCCCAGGCTCTAAAATTAGCATGAAACCAGAGAATTTTTCATTTTTTGCCACCTTTTGACATTTTATTACATACCTATACAACTTTAGATGCTCAGCTTAGTAAAATTGGACGGCAGAGATCATTTCTACTCGTTTTAAAACAATTTTTGTGTAAATTGGATGAAAATTGTTCAAATGAGAGCAATTTTTGTGAAAAATTTTGTGACGGATTTTCTCGTCCCTCTGGGCACCAGTCTTATTTCATTTGTGACGGATATATCCGTCACTCTGGGTATTCAAGAGGTTAAATGAGATATCATAATGACTTACTTTTGATCTTTTAGCTTTCGAAGTATTTCGCCTCTTTTTGGTATACTGTTTTCCAACAACACGATAAGCTCTTGTTCCGCCATTGCCTCCCCCAGCGACTGTTTGCGCGGATGACTGTCCTTGTGTTTCTTAACCTCTAAACACAATTGAATTACCGTTGTTTTGTAACTGATGTACTTTGATCACTTGCATCTCGGGTGCCTTTTTCGGCAAAGTATATACTGAGCAATTTATAAGGCCAACTACATGTATTGTCAAAACTAACGTTGAAGACCAACGCGTTAGTGAGGCCTGTTGTTGCCTCATTGTGAGGATGGTTGTTGCAGAATGTTAAAAAAGATCGTAACTCGAGTATATATTTGTATTTGTGTGAAATAGTTGACTTCTTAGAATAACGTCTTTGGGATATTATTTCAAGTGGTAGTAGAAGCATAATGTAGTTTAGAAATGATGATGACGAATGTTCCCTTTTTGTTTCACTCCGATCAAGATATCTAGATCTGTTAAATCTAGCGATTTCAATTTCCTGGTGAAATTCCTGGAATTTGGCCATTGTTTTTTTTAAATGTTCAAGCATATAATTGAAATATGTCTAGAAGTGTAAAAAGGAAGTGTCTATACTGTATGACGAAGAATGTTTTATGAAAATAAATTCTCGTAATTAAGAAAACAATACGTTCAAAAATATGCAGAATCGTTCAGACTCATATTTTCAATGGTCTAGGCTATACTGGTGAACAAAATATAAAATGATCAATAGCTTTATTTTGTGCATTATAATCAACCCCTTTTTAGCGCATAATTTGGGTTATTCGCAGGCCTATTAACTAATGCTTTTATAATCCTCTAATCACATCGTGGTCGTCCCCGTATTGGAATCGTATTCACGAAATCGTCCCTGTATTCTATTCAAAAATATATGTTTCAAGTAGTTTTCAAAAGTTTTCGAAAAACGTTTTTTTAAGAATGAAAACAATTTTAAGGCAGGCATTTTTTCAATTCAAGCATATTTCATGCTGTTATTGACCGGGGAGTAATAGTATCTATCATGTTATATATATAAGCATGTTCAGCTTTAAAAGCAATATTCTTATTACGCCTGGCTTGAACTCCTATCTCTAGCAGCGATGATGACGAGCATGAACGTTTCTATTTTTTCTATTTCATAAACGGTTTAAGTGGAACTCTATTCTCAAATCTATTGATCATGAGACACATACATAATACATTTACAAAAAGCTCACCATGTGAGCTAAAAAGGACGTGAAGCGCTTACTCGTTACACAGTTCACCTTACAGTTTTACTAACAGTTTCATTACGAATATAGCATTTGAATTAAAAGAAAACAATGATTTATGAGTAGCACTAAACAGTAAACATGATTCGGGAAATTCATAAAACATCCTTAAAAGGCCGGGTTGATTAAAATGCAGGCCTGAAATGCCTATTGAATTCGTATTTTTGTATACCTTGGACATGGTCACATATTAGTTTGATCATTTCATTTGAAAAAATAAGATTATACAGCATATGATTATTGAATCAAATGATTCATATGCTGCAGATGTTAAAGGTGACGTACATACCTTTGACATTGAACCTCTCAAATATGTTTTACACATATTGCGATAATATTATGAAACGAAACCAAATATTTGTTCGAAAACATTCGTACGATTAAACACGTACAATTCAAGATATTCTGAATTCGACTGAGTAATTTTAATGTTACTAAAGACATCTCTAAAATTTCATATTCAAACATGTGAGCAAAATTCTAGAATATCATATATTAATATGATGCTCTAATATATAACCAACAAGCAGAATCGTTACGGTCAGCCAAATATACCAATCCATAATATTACCGTAATTATCATTGTATTTTCAAATCAGAGAGAGGCTACGAGATGAAGGTGCTCATTTATTCTTTTATATACTTTTTTATTTTTTCCGTGTAAATATTACTCAGACAGGAATGTTTATGTGATTTTCAAGCCACTGCAAATGCACCGAAGTAACATAAGGAATTGTCGATTTTTACAGAATGTTTCAAGTCTTTATGATGATCCGCAAATACGCCAAGTCTAATAGTGGAACCTCTCTTTAGTCTGACAATACCTCCTATATAGTTTGTATTGTAATTCTCCACACGTTTGGCATCCTCGGGATGTCCCGGTGCAGATCTTGAGCACATTACACGCCTCTCCCTACATAATTGGCTATCACAGGGTCGCTTATATGTGTCAGCCACATACAGACAGTGTCCCATCTCAATATTCTGAGCGTGGAAGAATACCTGACCGTAAATGAAATAGTTCCCGGTGTGTTTGACAGCGATGTATGCCTCGGTGAAGCCACGTGATCCCTTGTGTGGCGAATCTATGTACAGTTTCATATTATGTCTCGATTGAGCAGTCCAGTTACATTGTATATTTCCTAAAACATGTCAATATTAATGGTTAAGTTTGAACTATTAATTTCTGAATATCAATAGAATACTATTCTTTAATAACAAACTAGCAATAATAATTAAATATGTCAGTCATTAAGTTAATAAACGATATCGACTTGCGCACTCATACCTTTCAAATCAAATGTGCCAGAGAGAGCAAATGGGCTCGTCATTACAGGAACTACGTGGATGTGAGCCTTCTGAAAAGAAACCAAATCATTATTTATCTAATTCTAATGATATTAACATATTTCAAAGATTCAGTTGAATTATGCCTATATTACAGTGTCTGTTGACAAAAACGGGACACCACACTAATATATTTGGTAAAATCTGGGAGTATCAGGAAAGCAAACCCCAAAGAGTTTATCAATATATTCTAAAACAGTGGTTAAATACAAATCTTAAGTCACAATGACTTGAGATGTACACTTCTCCGATACAAAATAATTCCAGTTTTCATGATACGTATGCTATTATTTTGTACTTACACGTACTTTCGTTTTCTTTCCTCTGCGCGTTGCACGGCGAACCCTGGGTCTCTTTGTTCTTTCTTTAAAAATGTGGCCATCGTAATGAGGATAGTGTCGTTTGATGCCATCAGACTTGGTGTTCTGACTTTGTATTTGTAATATCGAATTCAGGGAATCCCCGTTATTTCTCTTGGTTATTGTAAGCGGAGCCTTATCTTTAACATCTGGTTGAATTAAATGGTTCTGAACCTGATCCATGTACGATGCTGCAACGGACATAAGGATGATCAAATTCGCTCCAGAAATCTCCATGATCGAGGGCAGACAATGTCAACAGTAATTTTAGTATTCTGCATATAGTCATCAACCAATACCACTGAGCATCGTAACGAGAATAACGAGTATTTTTCTAATTTAAAGTTACATGTTGATTCAATCTACGTCCCACTCACAAAATTATTACATTTGCAGTGACTGTTAATTCCGAGAAATTTTGTATTATGTTACTTAATGTCTAGATGTACATAGCATGCCATAAATTCGTATAAGAACATCTACGAAATACTGACATCACGAATGGATCACTAGGTTCGAAGAAGTAAATTTTGACAAAGTACAAAAGGTCATGATCACTTCAACAGTCCCTAGATCGAGGTAAGTTTTATCTAGAATCAATGTCAAGTATGTTTTGAATCACATATCTGCGCAGTTCGATCGATTTTATTCCTTGTTAATGTCTAAAAGAGAAATATCTAATAACACAAAACCTAATGACTGGTGCACCCAATCAAAGGGTATGGTACGGCTCCAGAGAGATATCAGATCATTCAAAGTTTACAAAGATTATGTTTAGTTTCTACACATAAAAAACAAAACATCTCACCAATTAATTAAATATGGATGTTAATTATATCTGGAATTTAAAGGATGAAATAATCATATTTCAGCTTGGCAACATGGTTTTTTGAATTCAGCATAAAAAGTTCTTTAAAAACTCTTGTCAGAACCACATTTTCTCGAGATTAAAACGCGCCTTCTCTATAACATGGCATTTCCCTAAAAACACCTTAAGCAATTATTATTACTATTACAGCAAAATGTTGAAATACAAGTATGAGGGTAGATCAACCTTTTGTGTTTTGCTAGACGTGATCAAAGTCAAGCTCAAGTGATCATTTTAAAAACATAGATTTATGGAAATGAACCTGTTCTTCACACAATTGATAGCTCTGTTATTATACAAATATTTAATTCTATTGAGGTGAATACCTGTGCATCTTTCACAAGTGATATTCCACGAAGCCCGAAGTGTTAGTGGAATATCATCTTTTGAAAGTGTCACGGGTATTCACCGAAAATAGAATTAAATATTTGTTTTATTATATCACTGTCATAACATCTTCTATAATTGAATAAGTCATATGTTAACGTTGAAATACATTTATATTTCTTCTAACAATATAACAATAGATATCAACTACCAAATTGTATAGTCAATAAATATCAACTCCCAAATTGTAGTATTTTAGTTTAGGGTTTCATGTTAACATTATAATTAATTGTAACATTGCAATGGGTCAGTGAAAATGGAACAATTGTGTTCATACTCATAGTATTGGACATGTGGGAAACAAGGTTGGGAATGTTTTTCCAATGTCCACCCATGACCGTTGAATATCATTTGATATTCACCGGAAGTCACGTGACTTCCGTTGAATATCGCTAGTTATTAAATCAGTATTATTCTTATTCAATGTAAGTAATATAGTAAAAGAATATAGTTACAAACTGAGGCCCAGGAATACGTTAAAAATGTTTAAAAAGTTCCCTAGTGTACTGAGTTGGTAATGCGTGGTGTATATGTTGAAAACTCCACCAAAAATAAGTAAAGGGTAATACTACTTTCATGATTACTCTTTGCTGCAATGCTTTATTGACTCAATTCAGAGAATCCCCTAATGTGCATAAATCATGTCATCATTTCAAAAGGGGTATAAAAAGTTTGTAGAGATAAATATATCGGGAGATAAGACATTTTGACAAAACTTTGCATGTGATGGGAAGTGACATTGGTAGCCGAGGAAATTTTATTCTATAGTTAATAGAATGAACAGGTGTGCCATAATTCAATTTTATCAACTCAGACATGCTTTATCAATCTTTTTGGCCCTCTTGCTTATATTAGTATGACATATTTTATGCATATCTTTTTGCCGGTCATTTCGAAGAAGTAAGATCTAGATCTTGTTTCGCTGCTTGCTGTATCCTTTGAGTAACGATGGGAATTCCCCATTTCTTCTTTCCTGGAAGTTTCTGACATCGATGTGAAGATTCGTGGACAAAGACGAACTGTTGCCGTATGTAGTTAACATGATGAGAAAAGATACAACAATTTATTGTTGGTCCACGCATGTGCAATTGTTGATGATACTTTTGTTTTTGGTGAGTTATATAATGATTCTATGATGTAGTATTTCCAATGTGCAAGTGTAATGATTTAAATATAGTCCAGCTTGCTTACTTTCTCAGGGATTGAATAATTCTCATAAAATTGAAATTCTATTGATGGCGATTGTGTATTTCAAAACAAACACATTCTTAGAATTTTGTTCTTTCCATGATCAGGTTACCGTTGACTGCAGTAAACCAAATGTTGTCAAGAGAAAATGCTCGCTGTTTAATGAATTTAAAGCGATCATGGTCGATGGATCGACACAATGTACACCATGTAGTTCCAGTTGTAAAAAGGGCGAATGTGTATTAACATATTGCAATGGCAACACTGATACAATTTGTCGGAGAGTTGAATTGAACGAATTTATTGAAGGGGCGGTGTGTTACCCATGCACATATTGTGGAAGCAGGCGTGAAGTTTTACGACATTGTTCAACTCATTCAGATACAAAATGCGGTGGATGTATAACAGGTATGTACGTATCGAACGTAAAAATATCTGGTTAAAGTGTGTCTGAACTTTAGAGATTTAACTGCGCTTCAAATTTAGATCACTAAGATTCAAACTTCAACGTTCTTCATCTTGCATGCGCCTATCTACTCTGTGGTATATGCATTTTTAGGTTTTAAATGGGATCGTATGCTCGAAGAATGTCTTCTCGATCCTCAACTAAAGTCTGTCCAACACGATCTCCAATCAGATCAAACATTTCGATCCATCCTAAACAATGCCGCTGTGACGTTTCGATCTTCATCCCAGAGCAATATTACAATTGGTCCAATGAGTTCTTCAGGTGGGTCTACTTTTATAACATTGCCTGAATATTTAATCCGTCACTTGCATTGCCCGGAACATTTAGTCAGATATTCACCCAGGTTTCCACGTGTTTGACTGATTTGTTTTGTCAAGTTTTTTGTTTTCTCAACTCATGTTAATTGTCTCCATCATAAGACAGAAATAAAAATAGACTATAACAATATTACCTTTTTACATTCTATTCTTGTACCCTAAATAAAGTCAACACAAGTATTATGATTATTCCAATGATCCCAACACAATTTACGATGATGCAAAACATTATATTTCCAGCTAAACATAAAGGATTCATTACGTGTCTCACAATTGCCCTCACCTTGGTATTAGGATGTGTTGTTGGTGTTATTCTTCTGGTCATAATGATAAAGAGAAATGAAAGATCCAACATAGTAATCAAGGGAAAACAGGAAAGAAATGCATATATGAAAATTCCTATTTAAAATGATCGGGACATTAAACTTCGCATGTAAACAGTCGATGTCACATCACCTTTACCAATTACTAGATGGGGATGGAATATTAGAAAATTCTGACTGAAAATGGTGATATGTATTGTATAACTTTGGACTTTAGCGTGTTCATTCAAAATCTCATCTACTATTTCGAAAATAAAACTGATTAATTTCCTTCAGTTACCGATTACCATATGTTTTAATTTTTCATTTAATTCATGTATGTTTACCTTAAAGCTAAGGATGTAAATCGAACTCAACGTTTTGGCGTTAAACTGGTTCAAATACGGAGGTAATTTCGGAGGTAATTGTGGTTTCATAACTAATGAAGAGTAGTGTACTTTCATTTCGATTACAAACTGTTATATCTTAAAACAAATTGGAAAAGTTCAAAAAGATCATTTGATTCTTGACATATATTTTTAGACAAAATAGTATTTTCATTCTTTGTTCAATATTGACATCGCCAGAACCATGTAGACTGCGTGTCACCTGCTCCAATGAAACTCTGCGCAGTAAAAAGCATGTTTAAGAGATTTTCTCAAGGAAGATTGGCTCCCAGGATCGAAACTCTATATTTTCAAACAATGAAAACGTCGAAGTGTCGTTATTTTCTGAAATTATAACCGACTACAAATTCAAAATAAACAGTCCAAAAGATTGGAACCAATATCATCATATTTGTGATTTTTGGAAGACCAAAATTCACGATTTAAATGTCGAAGTGAACAAAATGGCGGCTGTTTGACTTTTGTAATCACAACATGCCCGTATAAGGCAAAAATATCGATTTTGCGCTTTGGGAGTCAATCCTCCTTGTATGAGGTTTTCTCATAAACTATGTGTCATATTAGATGACTTCTCCACTCATGACCTTGTTTGAATTTCGAAGAAGTTGTTTATACCATAGGTTCAAGGTCAAGAACAATTTTCTATTGAGTGTACTTCACGTACACAAACCCAAGATTTAAAAACGAGTTAAAAATACACATTTGAAAACGAGGGTTGTCACCAATACAAAACAACTGAGAAATGTTCTAAGGTTATGGCGATCTATATAACAAAGCATCTGTCCGGTTTTATTGATCTAAAATAAAAGTGTGGAGAGCGATTACAGTTCAAAGTGGATATCTAAAATTGCCCTATTTCTAATTCAGCAGCTAACATGGACCTCGTAGAACAACCATGTTTTTCAAACTAACATGTTTCGTTTTCATTGCCGTATTGGCATTCACGGATTCACGCAAGGATGTCTCTCAACGTCAACTGCATTCAAGTCAAAGTAATTTACTGATACGTTTGACAGATCACATCAATCAACAAAACAAAGGGGACTCCAGTAGTTTGACTGACTCTAAAGACAATGTTTCAAAAGATAGGCCCTACGACTTATCAATATCAAAGTCAGAAAAACAACATCAATACATGATCGATCACCTACCACTTTCCATTGGGTATAGAGGAGACCTGAAAGGTCGAAGGATTAAAAGAAGTTCACAAAAAAGACCGAGGAAGTCTCGCAAATACAAAGTAAGTTCGGCTCTCGTTATCATCTCCTTTACTAGGCTAGGTGCCCTCAGGGTCACGCAATGTTTTATTTGCTTTGATATTGAAGCAAACCTTCAAAGAGGGCATGGGGAATATATGGATGGTTCTGGATGGAATTAAACTTACTGAAGACATTTGGTTTCACTTCAACTCTGCAATGTCAAAGTTTCTATTTTCAGAGAGCCTTCATTCACGTTTCTCCAAAGAACGACAATCCCCATGTTTCTGATGTTCCTGTTGAATTTGATCCAAAGGGTACTGAATTTATTTCTAATATAATACTAGTACTTGATATCAGCCCATGTTATAATTACTAAACGTTTCCTTCTCAGTCTGCTCATTTCTTTCTTAACATCATGAAATGGAGATCACACACTACAAAACAGACAGATTGCAATGCTTGTCTAATTACTTGAGCGAAGTCCAAACTGTAGAGATAGTCTCGCCCTTTAATTTTCTATATCCCACGACCACATCCAATAATTTTACACATATGTATATAATGTACTACTTGTAACATTCACATAGCATCATCCTTTCCAGGAAATATCCGATGTATGTGGCAGGACGAGTCAAGACTGAAAATGAATCTGTTTCTGGATTCACCCCGTGGCTACAACGAAGCATACATAGGCATCAAATACCCGGGGTACTATTTTGTATATGGACAAATATTCTTCCATGGTCAGAACGTTGAGATGGGACATTGCCTGTACACATCGGACACATACCCATGTAAACCCCCGAAGTGTACTGAAACTTCCCTTTTATGTTCCCGTTCTGCTCCGGGCCACCCAGAAAACTCTAAAGACATTGAGAATTTGAACACGAACTATATTGGTGGTATTTTTTACTTGAAACGAGGGTCCACTATACGATTAGGAGTCATTACAAAGGGCCATGGATCAAAAGTTATTATTGATAAAGCAATGTCTTATTTTGGAGCATTTTCTATCTAGTTCACCATTGGAGAGAGTATTAGTTCAACTATACTCATTTGGACCCAGTTTCTCTAATTAGAAGATCGGTGAAGTGCAAGAATACTTGAAATACGAGAAAATGTTTGTTGATTCCGAAAAAGACCTATTGTATCTTACAATGTAATTATTTTCTATAGGGCAATTAATGTAATGGGGGTACTACAGGGTTCAATTATTGAGCCTGTAGTTTTTATGAAATACATTAAATACTGTCCAACCTGCGCTTTATCAGCTTGTATTACATACCCACCGAAGCATTTGTATTGAAGTCAATGGAGCTGAAGGTCGGCTATATATTCCTGTATAGCCGCCAAACCTTTTACCATGACAATCTTATGACGTCATCGGGACGTCATGTTTCATTTCTTCCTAATTTCACAAGGAGGATTGGAAGCCAGGGTTCCAACTCGATATTCTTTAATCTCCACGCATGCGTCATTTGCTATTCGTGTCTGTATAATTTGTACGACTGCATGGAGAATGACCCGATGCTCTCCAACAAAGCTATCGCTAGGTGATTGTTTTGCAGAATATCGGTGTTGCATTCTGGGAGCCAATCCTCCTTGTAATTTCACTCGCACACAGACACGTGGCGTCATTGATATAACGTAGCCATGATATAAAAGTATGTAATACAACAGTTATGTCCGTATCATTGAATATATGCCTTCGGTCTGTCGTAATATAACCCTCGCAAGCTCGGGCTATATTGGTGACAGACCTTAGGCATATATTCAATGATAGGGACATAACTGCTAAATATACCTTATTTATATGCAACAAAGTTCATGAAAAAGTGGTAGAAAATCATTAGAGAATTGAAGAAGCTGAAATGTATGTTCAAAGAAGACTCTAAATATAGAGGGTCCCAGCATTGGAATTAGCCTACCAAACCCAAATTATTACTATAATAACATATTGGAAGGCAACATTTAAAAAAAAGACACAAAAGAAATGCAGCCTGATACAGAGAACTCAGCTTCTCGTTCAAAACAAAAAAGGAATATTGCCGATTTTTTTGGTCCACGTTTATTTATAATAATGTTATAATTAAGGCAAGGATATTTCTATATGTTAAATCTACCACAGTTTTATACTAATCCAGTGTTTGTTTTTATATCTCGATCTCTATCCCAAAAATAAAAGTTTTGCTACATAGGGAAACGATACTATGATTTTTAAAAGGATTGCTTCTAAGTAGTTTTAACAACAATGTACAATGTACGTACATGTGGAATAAACTAACCTGAAAATAATCAAAACGAAAGTTGGATAGATTCCAACAGTTGGAATTTATGTGGCATATACGCTCGTATGTATATATTGATAAACTTTACTTCAAATTATGACCCCTAGATTTCGCAGAACTCATCAATATAAAATTCGATTTTGTTTTGTGTACAGTATTTTTTAAAAATCAACATAACTGTGTTAAACTGTCGAATGAAAATTTGATGATTATAATGACTATGGTCATAAACCTTTTGAACACTATTTGAGTTTTACTTCGTTAGATCAATGTTGTAGATTTCTTTTTTTCTGATACGACAATATCATAGTTGAGCAACCTATTTCGAGGAGATCCGATGACATGTATACATGGGATTTGAATTGAGTAGCAACGTTCAAAGAGCTATCTAAAATTAGATTAGTCTACAGTGACACAACAATAATGCGTTTCATTTTTGCATGTTTCGTTTTTGTACCCATATTGGTATCAACAAATTTAAAACGTTCTGGTTTGTCAAGCCACCAGAAACATGGGAAGCACATCAATTTACTGAGACGTTTGGACGAACGTCCTGCAGAAAGATTGGATTTCAGAGAGAACCGGGGCTTGTATATTCACCGTGGTGTGAAGTATCATCATCAAAGGCAACTACAACATCAATACACCCTAAATCACTTACCCTCAACAATTGGATATAGAAGAACAAAACGAAGAAACAGACGGAGTGTCGAAAATGAAAATCGTGTAATAAATGTCCCGGGTGCTGTTAAGTTACCTCGAAGACGACAATCACGGAAATACAGAGTGAGTACTAATGGCATCCTTGGCCCAAGGGTATTTCTCTTCTTTCCATACCCTTGGTGCAGCTTATACAATTGTCAGGATTGAGCAAACAAACTTTCAAATAGCCATTAAATATCTACCAATAATGAGTTTATTGCCCCAGTCTGGATGCATTTCTCTTTAAGAATCCAATTTATAAGTAATTTGCATCTTATTAGGGGTCATAAACAGAAGGACAAAACATCCCCATTGAATTATGTATAGAACATTATGATTGGAGAACACATTTTCTGCGAATGAAACTCAGCTTATTTATTACCCCTAAAATGAAACTTGCAAAGGGTTGAATTCAGTAATAAATGAAGTCCTTTGAATAAAATATGTACTAATGAGTCGGACACATTCTTATGTAGGCCTATAATAACTTTGCCGATTTGTTTTTGTACTTATTCTAAAACGATTGTATTTTCAGAGAGCCTCTATTCATGTTACACCAAAACAAGACAATCCCAGTGTTCCAGTTGCATTCGATCCACAAGGTAACCATTTAATGATGAACGCTGGCATTGACATTTTCTGTTTTCATCACTTTGGGCCTGACCCTCCTTGGACATTGGCATTATTGAACATTATTGAACTATGAATCATTGTGTTCCTTCTGGGACAATGTCATCCACCAGCTACAAGCTAAAGCAAGAACAAATATAAAATACGTTTCAAAATATCATTGAAAAAGACACGTGCTATTCTTAACTCTTCATAAAACCCGATGATTATATTTTTATTCAAGAATAAAAATGTATTTATTTATTTATTCCAGAATCAAAAAAATATTTATTTATTTCAGGAAATATCAGATGCATGTGGCAGACAGAGTCAAGGCCAGTGAATATGAAGCTGTATCTTGATTCACCCCGTGGCTACAACGAGGCATACATTGGGGTCAGATTCTCGGGGCACTATTATGTGTATGGACAAATATTCTTTCATGGAAAGAACGTTGAAATGGGTCATTGTTTATATGCAGCCGAAACTTACCCATGCAGACCAAAAAGCTGTGTTGAAAGACCCATTTTGTGTTCACGCTCTGCTCCGGGACATCCGGTGAATGCTAAGGATGTAGAGAATATCAATACAAACTATATAGGTGGTAACTTTTATTTGAAACGAGGCTCAACCATACGGGTAGGGGTAGTTGCAAACGTTCACAGAAATGCATACCGGTCAACAGTAAATATTGACAAAAGTATGTCTTATTTCGGAGCATTTTCGATTTGACTCAATATCACATCAATTTGAAGAAATTCCATGTACCAAATTTAAACTAGGTCGACATTTGAAATTCAACCTTCATGTATTATGTCGAATGTATATTGAACCTCGTATCTTTTATTAGCAAGTAAATATATTGAGCATACAAAATGTATTTTAACAGAATCTTTCAATTCTATCGTCATGTGAAGTAATAAATATACGTAGCAGAACTGTAGATTACATTGTACAGTGTCGTAGCCAGGATATAACAGGAGGGGGTTCGAGTATTTTCGGAAAAATCTTTTGAAGAAAGATTTTTTCAGTTGTTTTGTATTTTCCATTACTTGCACAATGTGCTCTTCAAATATATAGGAGGCAAAAATTACCAGAAATGTGAGTCCCAATGAAAAAACAATTTTGAAAGTGACTCCTCACCAAAAAATAATATTTGTAACCCGGTGTCAACGTAATTATGGCCCCCGGGGATAATGGTCCCCCTTTTAAAGCCCCTCACGGGCCCTGATTGTGTAGAAGATAAAAAAGGAAAGAGGTCACCATATAAATCAATGGAGAATAGGACCATAAATTAATAAGACCTCCTACCCTTTTACACCGGTTCATTCTTCGAACGCAGGTTCCATACATCGTCCATTCCCTTAAAGAACAGAATGGACGATGCCTACATATTGTAGTTCACTGTGTTCGGAGGATGGTGCCGATCGGCGTTCATACCATGACGCTCTTATGGATTCCTTAAACTGGGGGATTGTAGAAATCTGCTTTCTACAGATGTTTGGGACTTTGGAATCCCTTTCCTTTTGAATGGTTGTGGTTTTCATTGTTCATCTTTCGAGTTGTGTTTATGGTCGTATCCATTTTATTTTTGCAATTCGCTAGCATTAAGTTTGGTAGGTAGGTTCTATTATAGTTTTGATTATGCTATGTGCACATAAGACTATGTGTAAAATTCAGGTTATTAGAGTTGTATATCATTCACAAATCCAAAATATTAAATATCAATATATTTTATTAACATTAAAATTTTGTAGAATTGGATCACTGCACTTTGTATATTCATGGGCATTCAAAATCATATTTATGTTGAATACAGTTTTATCAACTACTCTAATACAAATGTGAATACCAATATTATGACGTCTACAACCCCTATAAAATATATATTTTTAAATTGATTAGTAAAATTGTAGAAAATTGAATTAAAAAATTATAGCATGGCCAAATCCTATGCTAAGGGCAATGTAGAAGTCACTCCACCCTGATGGGAATTGAACCCACAACATTCTGAATACATGAGGAGTGCTACCATATGAGCTACAAACATTTTCATTTTATAATTAGCAATTGTTAATGGGTCAGCCTGGAACAACCAAATCAAACATGATTTTCTTCAATCATGAAGTTCATTTAGTGTACACTGTCATATCCCCCCCCCCAGAACATTGCTTCCCGTCCCACTCTCTGCAGACGTTTTTAAGACTTTTTACAACCGTTCTTACAATTTTAACACACAATCATATTTCCTAGATTAACAAGGAATTTTAGTGTTACGGATCAACTTTTATTAACTATCTCAAAATTCGCTCGAGAGAAATCTCGATTAAACTCACTGAACATTGAAAAACTTCTTGTTTGCTGATATTCTGTTTCAATTTTTTAAAATTAAATTGAATATGCTATCTATTTCTTCTGTATTACAAAGTACATTTATGGTATTTTATCATGATCTTATTCGCATTAGGATAATTAACATGTTCATTTAGATTAGACTATTCATACATTATGGCGAATATATTATGGTACATGTACATACATTTATATTCTAGATCTTTTCTTCTAATCTATTAAATTACAAATATACAAAACATCAATGATTTTATCATTCTGTACAGTGTGATTAAATACTGATATGAGCTAGTGGATAAGTATCATATCTTACAGAAATTAAAGTATCCCCTATACAGTGTACTATTTACAGTGTACAGTGTTTGTGCACAAAACATTTATAAATACTTGTACATGTATGTTTATCTGGTTTACATGTACAATACATACACAATGTAACTACCTTGTTGCTCAAAATAAGTTACAATTGGCTGGAATAAAACAGTAAAAAAGTTATCATATTTGGGAATTTTCAATTTATGTGTGTGGCAAGTTACTTGTCAAAAATGATGTTTTCAATTGGCTTTAAATAGAGAATATAATCTAGAATATATTAACTGTCCAATTTAAGAAAAGATCGGAATCTCCCCGACCTAGACCATGTCACTTCAAAGAAAACTAAATTTTCAAAGTTGATAAACACTTTTTAAAACTACATTTCAAGAAGTAATTTTACATGTAGATTTCAAATATGACATCACCATGACTGAATTTTGATTATTAAATAATGTAAATCAAGATTATTTCTACTCGCATCTAGTGTATTGTGTTTACATTGATGCAACATCAGATTCATTCTGTGTGCAAAGACACTGCTATTTTAATATACAACGACGGACACCTAAACATTCATTTTAGCAAACGAAATTGGATATTCAAACTGTCCCAAAATAGATTATTGTATTGCAACTACGCGTTTCTTCAAATAATTGCCAAATAATTAAGAGTCAAAGACATTTGGATTTTTGGCTCATTTGATACAGTCCTTTCACTATATAATAGTTATCTTCATATTTATATTGCAGTCTGTCCAGACACCTTATTATATAGACTAGATTTTTATTCAAATTAATAGGAGCGCAATTACATTGAAACTGCTGATAACCACTGCATATTAGGTTGAAAAAATACTTAAGTTGAATACCTTTTATGAAAATAATTCTGTGATTATTGCTTTAGAACGGTTCAGTCAATATGGAAAAATTGTAATATAAATCTATATAAAAATGTTAAAAAATAATCAGTGGTCTGAATTAACTTTTTAAACATCCTTTACTCTGACCGACTGTTCTGGACATTCCAAAGGTTTCTCCCAGGTCCTTAGACTTGGAGGAAGTGTAAGTTGTCACTTGTTATTTTTCTTGACTGAAATTCCCTACAAAATTTCCCTGCTTATCAACCTAATTTCCTGATTTAAAAAAAATGTTTTGAAAAACAATAAAAGGTCAGTCAGGGAAATTAGAAGGTGGTTTCATATTACTACAGAACAGAAGTTAATTTTGAATTGTGAAGTGCACACATGACTTCAAAATCACCAAAAGTCAAGTGACCCTCTGCGTTTAGTCCATTATCACCAGTCAATATTTTTCTCAAAATCTCAACAATACTGAGTCATTCCTCCGTGATCCTTGATAATATGGATGCGCCAAGTCAAGCACTTATTAGGATGTCTATGCCTGTAACTCAATGCAGTAGTTTAATGGCACACGTTCAAATGTCATACTGTTAACATTTTCTCCAATCTCTTGTTGGCCCTATACACATGTAATCATTACATATTTTCAAAGACATACAGTCCATGATTCCATTTTTTGTTATTTGCCACAATACATTTAGGGATTTCATTAGCAGCACACAACAGACAAAAGACCAGGTCTTTGGTCGTTTTTATCAAAAACTCTAGTTTTGGAAATTCTCGTGGAAGTGCAGAGACATGTTTTGTATGTCTCTGGTATGTGTTACTCACATTCCTATATATTAACATGGAAACACAGCATCTTCAGTCCTTGATATATTTCTTTTGACATATTCTTTCATTAAATCTCTTTATCTACATCCACTGTTTCAGGAACATATTCCTTGTGTGTTGGCTCGTGATTGTTCATGAAATGGTAATACATTCTAATTCCTCCTTAATTGCGAAGAAATCTTTTTGAAGAATGATTTCTTGGCGGGATTTCTACCAATTCCTGGTGGGGAGAATACCTGAAAAATACAAGTCAACATTATTATTTTTTAATATACACGGTGTAAAATATAACACATAAAATTTTTAATTAAACTCTGATATCTAACTTTCTTAAATGATTAATTGTATTCTGATATCCCACAGCCTCATGTGATTCATGGTATTATAATATCAAATGTTATTAAGGGTCTTCTGATATGTACAAATTCATGTGATTCGTGGTATTCTGATATCTCATGTGAGTAATGGTATTCTGATATTTAACTGCTTCATATGATTAGTGGTATTCTGATATCCAACAGTTTTCTGTGATTACTAGTATTCTAACTTACTGCAGAGACTGGTCTGTGGTGTTTCATGGCCTCCTCTGACACATCTGTAAGGCCCTCAGGATGCTGCAAAAATAATACAATTCTTTTGACTTATTGAAAGCAGTGTGTTCTCCTTAACACAATAGCATACATTGAACGTGAACAAGTATGTGAAATATAAGGACATGAGCATACATCAGATCTGTGTTTTCTCAACCAGTTAACCATATTCATACTACATAGTGTTCAATATCAAGTGTTACACAGCAGGGGGTTAAATTGTTACATTACAAAGAAATGTAGTTGACAAAAATCTTCATAACGAAGGGTTTTGTGCCTGTGTTTCACCGTTACAAAGCTTCATTGTCAATAAGCTTATTTGTTAAATGCTTCATAACGAAGCAGCTTAAATCTGCTGTGTAACTCCATGGGCTTTCAATGAGCTAGAAAGCCCATGGTAACTCTAATAAACAAATTTTGTTATTTTTTCTGTGTAGAATCAGGTTTGGTTTATTTCCTTCAGCTTTGTCTCTAATATGTCTAAAGATATCTATTGAGCTGAACAATGATTCTTTCAATTCAGTATCAATAAAAGAGTGAAATGTGCAACAAGTGAATATACTATATACATGTTGTTTTGTACCTGTGCATGTATCATTCCAGCTATCCATTTGTACATTTCCTCTTCTGTATCACAACATAGACTGCGTCCAAAGTAGCTAGGATCTCTGGAATAAAGTTAAACAGAAATCTCAACTATACCAAACTGATGAAAATATCATAGGCTAAGGGCAATAGAAATCATTTTTAAATAAAGATGTCATGGTAATCGATAATACTGGATTCTGTTGGTGCTGCCATCTTTATATCAGCCCAGAACCTATGGAAAATATTGTACCATTGTTTAGGTTTTACAAAATTAATACATTAAAACATGTATTTTTCAGATTTTCGCAGATCATGAAAACTCACCTGACTTCACGTTCTGAGTCAACTAAGAATGTAAAACTCCACCTGGTTGGTGGTTTGCGATCTTTCTCCGTTCCCATGTATATAGTCATGTCTTCGACTCTCCATTCTGCCGAGGCCATGGCAGCCTTAGTGTCCTTTTTCATGGAAAGTTTTGATTGGTTGAACTCAAAGTAGAGCTTTTTGAACGCTCGGCGTCCTTTCTCGCTATAGTACATCTCCGAAAATAGAGAGCTTTGGGGTTCAACCTGAAGTAACAAAAATGAGATACAAATTAATTTGGTATCTCACAATTATTGGAGGCCATTTATACAGTGTCACATAAAAAATCAATTCTAATCTGCTTACAGGGTATTTCTTTCTGTATTCAGCATTTCAGATGCTGTAAATATAATTAAGACCCATCAACCTGTACCCATTTACTTTTACATGTGACTAGAAACTGTACAGTATACCTGTAGTAATATTTTGGTACATTTGAAAACTATTCTACACAAAAAATTCAAGCAACAATATTGTCAATATATTTGTAAAAGGTGACAAACATGCGACAATTTTCAGAGAGATGCCAGTCGAGGACAATTGAAGATGGACAACCATTTACAAATCAGTGGAGGCCCAGTATTGCTCTGGTGTGACATGAAAATGATTTGTAATCTATTTGCTTTGATTGTATTCAGACTCAGAATAATCAAAAAATATCATCTCACCACATAACCAATGAACTTGTAGACGAGGTTCTCCTTCAGACAAAGAAAATTGTCTTTACGAGATTTGTCATCCCACGAGGCCCAGCGTAATATCACATCTAGTACCCTCTCACAGCAATGTACTGGCCTCTCTGCAATACAATAACGCAGATTGCGATATAAAACAGTAAACCTAAGTGGACTAATTCTACCAATTGACACTGATTCTTTATTGTTTCCTTCATCCTAGATCCATAAGATCCAGCAGCCACTGGCGTAGCAAAAAAGTGTTGAGTAGACAGGCATTCAAATTTCAAGGTTTTTAACATGGAAAACTACAAATTAAAGAATGTGACAAAAAACAATCACATTGAGAGGTATTCTGAACTCATGAAACATTCATAACAGGGTCCCTACATTACTTTATATTCAAAAGAAATGAAAAGAATTGTGAAAAACAGTGAGATTAGTATAATCTTTTTTTTAAACAATAGCTTGATATATTTTTCATGGCATAATACACAATCATCCGGCAAAACGCCTTTTGGCATTGTATGTCCGCTTTAGTTTAGTATAATAAATGTGCAGGCCAAAGCCACATAATTAAGATCACATCAATATTTAATAAAAAAAACATTTTCTCACCGAGTTCTCCACTGCAGATCACCTCAAAGAGTCCCCAGTCCTTATCAGTGCCTGCTGGGACCTTACCTCCCTTGAGAAGTTGGTCCAATAATTGTTGACATGTCATCTGAGCGGGTACCTTGACAACGGAAACAAATAATAAATGAACATAAACTGGTATCCACAATTGGTATTTTTGATGTCATAACCCTCCTCCCCCTGCTTATATTGGAGATATACTTTTACTTTGTGAGATTCTTAATGAACTTCTCTCACAATACTTTATTTTTATCTAAACTTTTCATTTTTTTCAGTTGGAATATAAATTGATATCCTGCCTGCTGTTGAAATCATGAATGTACAAAAACGTTTCACAACCCTACGATTTTCTCAGCGTTATCCTTTTTATCAATGAGTAGATTAAGACCATTTCCACGAGCAGGTGCAGCATACCAAAATTATCTTGTATTGAATATCCCCACATTTATATTATATCCATAGAATGAATGAATCGTGTTACCTTAACATTTGCAATGGGGTCATCTCTGTTGTTGTACAAATAGATGGCGATAAGGAGATCCCCTGCTTGGCTCTGATTGGATTGACCAGCAATCTTCATCTTCTCCAAGGCTTCTTGGATCTTACGCTCCTTTTCTTTTTCTTGAATCTTCACCTGAAGGTATTGAGGAACAATCATTACTTTAAGTTCAGGATGTACAGATTTGATCATTTGATCCAAAATATAAATTTTCAGCAGAAGATAAGAAATCAACACCATCTTAGGTACAAGATGTAACAGTGTTGAGCTCTTGACTCAAAATATTTTAATATATCTGTATATTTTGCATTTACTAATATTGATACAAATAGTGCATTCTCCTTTTAATCGTTACTGTATATCAGACAATAGAGTGCACATTGCTAACAGCTATCGGTAAAGGCCCAGGTAGGGTTGACAGTACAGTGCAGTTACAGTTGACATTTTAACCTCTTTAATCCCAGGTTCTAAAATAGGTTGAAACCAGATAATTTTTCTTTTTTGCCAGCTCTTGATATTTTCCTACATACATATACAATAGACGATGTTCAAATTAGTAAAATTAGACAACACAGATCATTTCTAGACATTTTAAAACAATTTTTGTGTAAATTGGATAAAAATTGTTCAAATAAAAGCAATTTTAGTGAAAATTTTTGTGCCAGATTATCTCATCACTCTGGGCTTCAAGGTCATTTCTGAGGTGACGAGAAATCTCGTCACTCTGGGTAGTCAAGAGGTTAATCAAATAAACATAAATAGAAAAAATTAACCAAATATAAATTAAATGAAAATACCTCAAAGAGCCACTCATAATAGGTGAGCATATCTACAAGGCATGATATCTCATACTGCGTCTGAGAGAACCCTCCTCTAATTCCTGTATCATCTAACGTCATCAACGCAGGCCCAAATAAGGAACCCAGATTTATTGCACCCATTTTATTTTCTGCTTCATTTTCGACAACACTAAAATAAACATTAGGTTATATTTTAGGAAAAAATATGCTACTTGCAAAGTTGACATGAAAAACTTGTTGGTAATCAAAAACTAGATATTGAATTATGTACATGTAATTTCTCATTATCCCTGGAATTGAATATAATTTAATAGAAAAGGGTGCATTCTCCAGATATGTCACCCAATAGTAGAAAACTGGTTCAAGAGGCAAATCACTGAAAATCTCATTGAAAGATACTCTATTGAGGAATAAAATCAATATAAAAGTTCAAATACTTACGCCACTAAATGAAAGATCAATGCTTTTAACGTGTTGTAGTTGACCTCAGGTAGTTCAGAGAGTAGGTGTTTATACCACTGTAGCTTGCTATCATGGTCTTGTATACCTGGAGTACAGAAAATGGCATTGTTGTTTGGAGAATACCATCTCATCGAACAAAGAACATAGAAAAAACACTGCATTTGGAGAATGCCGCCTCTAAGAAACAAAGAACAATCATGTTACAAAAACTGCATTTGGAGAATGTTGTCTCACCTGAAGTTTCCACCCAGCGTGCATAAAGATCTAATGTCATAAGTGGGTCCTTGAGACTCCTGAAGAAACGCTTGAGTGTGTTTGCAACATCATTCACTGTGTAATCATCTTGTTTGAGAACAACCGATCTTGCATCTAAAACACATATAACACCATGTAATTATCTTACATTAGGTATGAGCATTCTACTTTAATCTTTCATTCTCACATAGCAAGGCAAGGTGTGTCCGATTCCAGTCAATCCAACACAATATTTCATGTAACTACAATGCATTATATAACCAATCACCACATCTAAGGTCATTCCTTATGTGGTTCTCAGGTATTGTTTCCTTTAAACACACAATGCTGCACATCTCGTGCAGAATTTGGAAATCAACACCAAGGAATGGTCATTCCACGTTGCACTGAGTCCAGGGCTTAAATCCTTAAATTAATCATATTTTGGAGATTGTGGCCTCTCGGGTTTTGTGGGTATTCAAACGTGCATAGCTGGTCATGCAATTTGAAGACATTTTTTAGATGAAACATGGAATTTATGTCCCAATGGTTTTATATTTTCCTCATTTGCTTCAGTTTTACCTCACCAATAGAAGTTTTGATTTAAAATTTTTTTAATCTCAGTTAGATGATACATAAATGTCTAATACAGTGTATATATATTGTACCTTTAGTAAACTCCTCCAGTAGTTCTGTAATTCTAGTATGACTACCTGCCAGGCGATAAATTCCTTCAGACTGCAAACCTGAAATAGAGGCATTCACGTAATAAGTTAATATACATTAAATGTTCATATTTTAGTCACATACTGGCATTATCAGTTGGGGCCATACAGATATGTAAAATTGGCAGATCCAATACAGAATCCTGAAAATGATAGTTTTGTAGGCCAGGAAAATTATTGGACCTGAATCAAATCAACACTTTTACAATCAAGTATGGCAAAAGATGCGAAAGTGGAACAAATCTGGTACCAAAAAGTGTTTAATAAGGGATTTGTTTCAGTTACAGAAGTTCACTTTACATCAAACCAATGGAAAGCCAAAAAATTGAAGTGTTTCACGTGCAGAGGTGTTCCAATTACAGAGACGTTCCAACAGGTTTTTCAATAGTTCTTTTTCATAATATGAACTACACATATATCAATGATAGATAGTACACCCACTTGTATAGGTCACTCTGTATCTTCAGTTCCATTTTTGAAATTCTTTTATTTAAAGTATATTACAATGGTTCATTTAGTTAATACTCACCATGAGTAGATAAGAAGTCTTAAAATTTATAACTCACAATGCTTCATTTAGTTAATACTCACCATGAGTAGATAAGAAGTCTTAAGGTTTATAACTCACAATGCTTCATTTAGTTAATACTCACCATGAGTAGATAAGAAGTCTTAAGGTTTATTACTCACAATGGTTCATTTAGTTAATACTCACCATGAGTAGATAAGAAGTCTTAAGGTTTATAACTCACAATGCTTCATTTAGTTAATACTCACCATGAGTAGATAAGAAGTCTTAAGGTTTATAACTCACAATGCTTCATTTAGTTAATACTCACCATGAGTAGATAAGAAGTCTTAAGGTTTATAACTCACAATGGTTCATTTAGTTAATACTCACCATGAGTAGATAAGAAGTCTATACATTTAGCAACAACAACTGGAACATTGTCTTGGGTGAGCTGTTGTTCATCTATTAGCATAGAGTTACTCTGAAAAAACAAGGCACTTGTTTCACAAAATGTCACCAAAATAGCAAAATGTCACCAAAATAGTGTAACAGGTTGTTATATGCACCTACTTAAAGAACTGCATATTCATACCTTAAATATGAGTCTCAATAAAATCATCATACTACGAGATGTCATACCAATAGTTATGTATCGTTTGATAATTTAGATTGATTAATGTATGTTTTGTTTTTTCTAACATTAGTTTAGAGAATCTCTAGCAATTAGGTGTGACTAAAATGTAAACATCTAATAATGCAATATGTCTATAAAAGTTATCATGTCACCACTTGTTATAACTAATGGCAGTTGGCATCAGTAACAAATGGGAGATAAGGTCTGCAACAAATGGCAGGTTGTGACATTTTACATGTTTGATGCCTTGTACATACTTATAATGTGACCACATCCTGTGACTGCGTATACTTACTGTTATAACAGAATGTATAAGTGTGTACCACATTTCTGTCTCGTGTCTAAGATCACCCTGTATATAGAGGGCTCTGCTTTGGGGCATATCTACAACAAACATGAGCCCCTTGTCAAAGGCTTCAGGGCATCCATTTAAATCTGGCCCTTCTCGCTTTTCTGAAAACAAAAATAACATTTCAGGATAAATATCAACTTGTTTTATATTGTTTTCTTATAACAGGCTGTGCTCTCAGATGTTTCTTTTTCTTGTTGCCTCCTAATCGTAATATTATTCGGCATTATATTTGTCAAGAAATTGTGATCAAAATGGACACTTACTTATGCTGATAATTTTCCGCAAGTCAACTTCTTCATAGGAAACACTATCCTAAAAATAGAATAATTGACATAAATAATACAATACAATATTATACAATTAATAGTACAGTACAGTACAATACAATACAATATAATTTCCATTTTTCAAGCAAGTTCATAATTTGGCAAAATCTAATATCTTCAGACTTCCAAGTTTTAACATTGATCTAATCATGATTCATATACTCCTTTGAGTTTTATTGTTTTTTATAATTATACATAAGACTCCCTACCTTTGTAGCAACTCCCAAACATCTGCCTTTCAGCTGGAACCATGTGTGCTCCCAGTCCTACAAAAACATATTTAGATAGATCCAGTAAACCAATGTAAGAGTAACACCTTAAAAGGCACAATTCTCAAAACCCACCCAATTTGATGGAAATCATTGCTTAAGAGCCAGCCAATGACATGTTAAAACTATTCAAGAAAATCGCAATTTTCTCACACTCTATACAGGATCTTTTAGACTCATTTTCTTATTTGGTAATGTGAAAATGATGGAAATGATAAGAAAATCAGTCAAAAAAGCTTTTTAAACTCATATTTAATAGGTAGTTCAATGCCTCAAGTATTTCCAAGTTCATTGCCAAGAGTTACAAGAACACAAATGTGTACAAAATGTCCCCACCTATGGGTGATCCCGTCAAATGGTTATCCTAAAAATGAGTAGACAAGACTTTACCGACACAATTTGAGGACGGAAAATCCAAAATGGCCACCTTAAAATTTACCAAGAATGCCAAAAAATTAGTCAGTTCTAGATTTTCATACTAAGAACCACCCCTGAAATTTTGAAATTGATCCGTCACACAGTTAACCAGAAAACCTGTAAACAAGACTTTACAGACTATATTTGAGGACAGAAAATCCAAAATGGCTGCCTTGACATTTATCCAGAATGCCAAAAAACTAATCTGTTCCAGATTTTCATACTAAGAATCATCCCTGAAAATATGAAATTGATCTACCAAACCGTTCACCTGGAAATGTGTAGACAAGACTTTGCAAACAAGATTTTAAGACACAAAATCCAAAATGGCTGCCTTGACATTTACCCAGAATGCCCAAAAACTAATCAGATCTAGATTTTCATATTAAGAATCATACCTGAAAATTTGAAATTGATCTACCAAACAGTTCACCTAAAAACGCGTAGACAAGACTTTACGGGCAAGATTTTAAGACGGAAAATCCAAAATGGCTGCCTTGACATTTATCCAGAATGCCAAAAAACTAATCAGATCTAGATTTTCATACTAAAAATCATCCCTGAAAATTTGAAATTGATCTCCCAAACGGTTCACCTGGAAATGCGTAGACAAGACTTTACAGACAAGATTTTAGGACGGAAAATCCAAAATGGCTGCCTTGACATTTACCCAGAATGCCCAAAAACTAATCAGATCTAGATTTACATACTAAGAATCATCCCTGAAAATTTGAAATTGATCTACCAAACGGTTCACCTGAAAACGCGTAGACAAGACTTTACAGACAAGATTTTAGGACGGAAAAATCCAAAATGGCCGACAATAAAAAAGTGATTATTAGTTTTTGCCGATTTCTTCTTACAAAATTATCACATATAACTACTGTTAACAATAACATAGGCTTTTACAACAAAGTACACCTGAAATTATTTATAAAGCTACTAAATAGTTAAAGTATGAAAACTGAAAACACCATTTAATATGATACAAAGTATTATCGTGCGCTAACTTTTCTTAAAACATTCAAAATGGCTGACATGATTGAGCTAACAGGTCCAAAACCTAATCAGATCTAGAATGAAGTGAGGTGAACAAGATGTTAAAGTTTTAAAAGCAACTGTGAAGCCGTTTTTCTTAAAGTTTGCAGACAAGGATTTTAGCATTTGACTTCAAAATGGCCGACAGGAAGTAGGTATCGAGTTAATTTTTTTTCATCCACATCTGTATGCACTCATAAGTTATCCCTGAAAATTTGAAGGTGATATCTGTAGCGGTTTTAGAGAAAACTGCCGGATGTACGGACAGACGGACAGACAGACAGATGGACAGACAGACAGACGGACAGACAGACGCGCCTAGGCCGACAATATGGCCCCACACTATGTGGTGGGGACATAAAAATGATTGCCATTTGCAGCCAGGCAGCTGTGAGTTTGTAGCCCTGTATAATGTAGAACTTGGTAAATATGAGATGAAAGCTAAGAAGAAACTTACTGATGTTGAGCCATCACGCAGCCACACAAAGCCAGCACTCGTGACATCATCAGTGTGTTCTACGGCAGAAAGGAATGCCAGGCTCTGAAAATGAGGAATTATTTGAATCCTCCAATGAGTGTCAATTTGATGGAAATCATTGGCTGATCAATTGTAAAAACAAAACTTGATAGATATAAAACTATGATGTTCCCCTAATTCTGCATTAAAAACATTATTCTATGATGCCATTGATTAAGTTCTTTCTTGTTCAAATTTAAGTCAACCTTAGTGATGTTACATATAAAGCAGTTAAATTTTAAAACGTTAAATTCATATCCTCAACATGAGCAAAAACAGTTTGCATAAATTTCATTTATTATGTTTAGAAATAATATAAGTATTCCCTGCCGTTATAGCTTAATATCTCTATGAAACACAGCCATGTAGTCAAAGGCACGATTAATAAAAGAAGTGAGGTAAAACCAAATGGAAATTGACTAATATCTGTAATTGAAAGAGTGAAGGAAAAATTGACAGTTAATCCTGTCAAGTGAAACATGCCCAAGTAGAACAATTCTAGGTCTCGTTTCCCATTATGTGATGTAAACTGAACTTCTGTAACTGAAACACCTCAAAGTGGAACACTATTTTGAGGCAACAAATATGTTCCTCTTACAAAGATATTCCTGCATATGTTTCACCCACCATTGGTAAAAGCTTAATTACCCTGGGGTATAACTGACATGCTTCACCCACCTTAGTAATAAATGACATCCAGCTATCAAAGTCATCTTTACTATCTGTTGCGAATGTATAGAGTCTGCCCCCAGTTTTGGTAGTGCTTAGTTCAAACGCATACTCAAACTTCACACTGGTCGTCACTGATATACTCAGCATTTCTGACTTTTCTATGGTATCTTTGGCACTTGTGGACTGAAAATACAACCAACCAAATGTTCATATGGCATGATGGGTACAAAACTTCAATCAAATGTTTGCGTGAGTTAGGGAGAAAATGGGGTCAACATGATTCTGAAAAATTGAGCTTCGGATGTCAACAACACCACAACACCAATTTAAAGCACTGTATATGTACTGTTGATATTTTATGTGAACTGTAGCTAGCTTATTATAAAATATTACAAACTTTTCTTCAATCATAAAAAGTTTTATAAAAATCTCAACCCTACACTATATTGTGTATATGTGAGATGTCTACAGGGTGTCCCGAAAGTATGAGGGCCCCCTAGGCAGACATATTCCAGTGTTTTCATAGTATGTGGCATATATCATTTTAAAAATTATCCAAAGTTACATTGATTTGCCAAGAATCATGGTTCAACTCTCAAAGGTGAAAAAATTAGAGGCATTTTAAAATTTAGTGTTTGGCCAAAATTTAGTTAAATTTTACACCAAATCACTGGCCAATGTGTTCTCCCGGGCCATTTTACCAGCAGCAATTATTTTCGTGTCAGATGGATATTGAGTTGGAAAACGAAAACATTGAGGGTAGATACTCCAAGAAAACTCTTCTAAAGTGCCTTAATAGGTTTTAAGAGAATTACAAAATTCCACTGCCTTATTTGAAGGGCTTTTAAGGTTGTAATGTATGTTCAATTATAAGATATTATTGATTCAATTCATAGATGTCGCTCATAAATTGAATCTTGGGAAAAAGCACATGTGTGCCATATAAGGCAAAATATATATACCACCATTGATTTAGACTGAAATGATGTCTGTGTTTGTTATTGACAAAACTTGTATATATTAGGCCTCCAAACTTAACAATGGCGACGAGGATAGTGGCAAAACAAGTAAGAACAATATAACAACAACTCAATGTGTGAAATGAAGTATAAATAGACTGTAAAGTGGAAAAAATTGAACTTTAATTGAGACTTCAAAAATTCTGGAAAAAACAATTTTCAAAATGCCTATAGGAAAAATTGGAGAATTCAACAGTGAGTTGGAGCCATTCGAAAATTACATAGAAAGGATTGAACAATATTTCATAGCAAATGACATTGAACAGGATAAACGTAAGTGTGTTTTCCTAGCAGCTTGTGGTGCAAAAACGTATGACACATTGAAAAACTTATGTCTGCCAAACAAAGTTTCTGATGAAACTTTTGATGATATTAGCACAAAATTAAAGTTACACTTCAAACCAGAACCTCTGCTTATCTTTGAAAGATACAAATTTGGAAAAAGGACTCGACAACCCAATGAAAAGATATCAAACTTTGTCATAGATTTGAAAAAATTATCTTCAACCTGCAAATTTGGGACATTTTTAGAGGATGCATTGTGTATGCAATTTGTTGTTGGACTAAATATTCCGAAAGCACAGAATCGACTAATCCAAGAATCGGAACTTACATTTGCTAAAGCTATATCTATAGCACAAGCAGAGGAAAGTGCAACTGCTTCCTGCAAAGAAATTGACACTGAAACATCAACAAATGCATCTGTGAACCAGATTCATAAACTAACTTGCTGGAGATGTGGCGGCGACCACAAGGCAAATATATGCCGTTACCGTTCAACTACTTGTCATAAGTGCAGTGAACTTGGACATCTGAAATCCCGCTGTGATGACGTTAGAAAATGGCGTGAGGCTAGGAAAGGGAAACCTAAGCCAAAATTCCGTAGAAAAGTTCATCGACAGAATCTTCTCGAAGAGGACGATGGGTCAGATGATGGTCTCCCGACATACTGCATATATAGACTGGGAACGATGAATCCTGACAATGTCAACAATCATGGCGTACATGCATTAAAGGATCGGGTAACTCAGTACAATGTCTCAATGTTTGTAGATGATAAACCATGTAATTTTGAGCTAGACACAGCTGCATCAGTTTCTGTCATTGGTGAATCATTGTATAGGTCCAAATTAGCCCACATTCCATTGAAACCTCCAAAAGTCAAGCTAAAATCCTATTGTGGTAACTTGTTGGATCTCTTGGGTGAAATTCAAGTCCCTGTAACTTACAACAATGTTACCAAGACACTGCCTTTGATAGTTGCTCAGGGTAATAAGCCTGCATTACTTGGAAGAAATTGGCTTTCTCAGATCAAATTAGACTGGGGGCAAATTTTTGCAGTGCAAGACAATACTAGACTTGACAACCTACTGACGAAATATCACAATGTTTTCTCTGAGGAAAGGGGTGACATTCAAGGCTTTCAAGCTGAAGTTCAAATTCCAGAAAACTCAACTCCAATTTTCAAAAAAGCATATCCAGTTCCATACCCTATTCAAGACAAAGTTAAAGCTCAATTAGAGAAAGGGGTGGAGTCAGGAATCTTTAAGAAAGTTGAAAAAAGTTCATGGGCAAGTCCACAAGTAACAGTCATAAAAGAAAACGGGGGTCTTAGACTCTGTGGGGATTACAAGGTAACGGTCAATACAGTTTTAGAACCGGACCCGTACCCACTTCCGACTTTAGAACGATTGTTTTCACAGGTAAGTAACGCACGTTACTATTCTAAAATTGATTTGGCGGATGCGTTTCAACAGCTAAGGCTTAGTGAAAAATCGAAGGAACTACTTACGGTCAATACTATGATTGGTCTGATTCGATATGAACGCATGCCATACGGTATCAAAACCGCACCTCAAATTTTCCAATCCGTAATGGATGAAATCTTGCGAGATCTGGATGTTTGTTGTTACATAGATGACATTCTAGTATATTCCGAGACGGAGGAGGAACAGTATGGTAAGTTAGAGCAGGTTTTGCAACGGTTGAATAAACACAACGTTCGTGTGCGTATCGCGAAATGCTCATTTCTCAAACCATCAGTAGAATATTTGGGACACGTATTGGATGGTGATGGAATCCATCCAAATAAGAAAAACATTGAGGCTCTTTTGAACGTGTCTACTCCCAGCAATGTTTCGGAACTCAAGGCTTTTCTAGGCATGATAAATTACTATGGGCGGTTCATTCAAAATCTCTCATCCGTGTTGTATCCATTGAACAACCTTTTGAGGAAAGATGTAAAATGGCGATGGGGAGATGAAGAAAAACTAGCCTTTGAATCTGCAAAAAAATTCAGTCAAAGAAGACAGTTGTCTGACACCTTATGATCCGCAGAAACCAATCAAAGTTGCCGCAGACGCGTCCGGTGTAGGAATAGGCGCGGTCATTTCGCACATAATGGAGGATGGTAGTGAACGTCCGGTGCATTTCGCCTCGCGTAGTCTCAACAAAGCGGAGAAAAATTACGCGCAAATTGAGAAGGAGGCTCTATCTCTCATTTATGCAGTGAAGAAATTTCACATGTATATTTATGGGAAAAAGTTCACTTTAGTGACTGATCACAAACCTTTAGTCACAATTTTGGGTTCAAAAACAGGTATTCCTACTTTAGCGGCTGCACGAATGCAACGGTGGAGTCTCATTTTGTCCGCTTACGATTATAACGTCGAATATCGCAAATCTGCTGAGCATTCTAATGCTGACGGTTTAAGTCGTTTACCGGATATGTCCGCTAAAGCATGCGAAGAAGATGCAGAATTACCTCTGCACATGTTGTCGTTCACAGATCAGTTACCAATCACAGCGACTGATATCAAAGAACGTACTCGGAAAAACCCAGTTTTGTCTAAGGTTTATGAATACACTCTCAATGGCTGGCCTAATCAGATAAATGACAATGAATTGAAACCGTATTTCCGCCGAAGAAATGAGCTTTCCACAGACCAAGGATGCGTATTGTGGGGATTACGTGTTGTCATTCCACCCATTTATCGCGATCAATTACTCGCAGAACTACACGAAGAGCATCATGGGATTGTACGTATGAAATCTCTTGCGCGATGCTATCTTTGGTGGCCAGGCCTTGACTCTCAGATAGAAGATATAGTACAAAGCTGTAACACCTGTCAGGCATCCAGAAATATGCCTGCAAAAGCACCATTAATGCCATGGTCTTTTCCCAGTCGGGTTTGGCAACGCGAACATATAGACTTTGCGGAGAAAGACAATGAGCGATTTCTGATACTCATCGATGCGTACTCAAAATGGATCGAAGTTTTTCCTATGCAAAGCACAACTGCTTCTAAAACAATTGATAAACTGCGGTCATGTTTCGCCCAGTTCGGTTTACCGGAACAGTGTGTCTCAGATAACGGTCCACAATTTACATCCGAAGAATTTCAGAAATTCATGTCTCATAATGGCATTAAGCACACATTTAGCCCTCCTTAGCACCCAAGCACGAATGGCGCGGCTGAGCGGTCGGTACAAATCATCAAAAATGCTCTATTCAAACATGTTCTTGACAACAAGAAAGGTACGCTATCTCAGAGATTGGCAAATTTCCTGTTAATGTATCGGAATACACCACACTCAACTACAGGAGTTAGTCCAGCGGAATTGTTCCTAAAACGTCAGTTGCGTACTCGTTTCACTCTTTTGAAGCCAAATTTGTCCAACCGAGTCGAGAACAAACAACAAAGTCAAGCACTTCAAAAGAACCGTTCAATTGACCGATCATTTAAAATTCATGATCATGTACGTGTCAAAAATTTCCGTGGGGGGAAGGAGAAGTGGCTTTTGGGAGTTATTGTGAAAGTCTGTGGTCCTCGTACATATGTGGTAAAGGTGGGAAACAATTCACGTTTTGTTCATGTTGACCATCTAATAGGGGCTCAAGGGGAAAGTCAAACAAATGAATCCTCTGATCTCTTTGAAAACATGCCAGATATACAGACTGGACCAGACAAGCTTCAGACAAGTTCAGACAAACTACAAAGCCCATACAAACTACCAAGTCCGGACAAACACCAAAGTTCAGACATACAAAGTCCTGACATAATTCATAGTCCTGACTTACAAAGACCAAGTGAGAAATCACAAAGAAAATCTACAGGTATTACTCCAAGTAAAAATACACCTGTTTCTGTCACTCCTAGCAAGCAATTGCCAAGTGAAATTTCACAGGATACACAAGTGACAAGTCCAAAGAGCAAGCCAAAAGGTAACACATTGGATGTCCCTGTCTCCTTGCCTGATACCTCACCCCGGTATCCAACCAGGTCCCGAAAACCTCCCGATAGATTGAAGTTTTAAAGCAGCTTTATCTCAGCTCAGAAATAATGCTTTATTATCTTGTTTATGAGATTACTGAGTTCCCAGCCTTTCAGTAGGTGATGTAGGTTCAAACCGAAAGCGAACCTAAAAGTGAATCCCACAATTTGCTGACTACCTAAACGAACCTACAAAAAGTAGGTTCGCTTTAGGTTCGAACCTAATCTACCTAAAACACTTTAAAACTTGTAGGTAGTTTTAGGTTCGAACCCAAAGCGAACCTAAAAAACATAGTCATTCTTCAAGAGTTACCTAAAGCGAACCTAAAAATCTTAAATCTACCTAAAACACTTCAAACTTGTAGGTAGTTTTAGGTTCGAACCCAAAGCTACCTAAAGCAAACCTACAAAACAGAAGTTCTGTCACAGCCACTAGGGGCGCTGATAGCAGGAAGTATCAATGCATTGTGGGTATAATATTCAAACTAAAATCAGTTAGACAGGAAATTTGGAAATAGCCAGGAAAATGGGGAAATATGCTGAAATGACCATCACATCAGTGCTCATTTACAAAGATCATGTAAGTAAGTGTACAAATGATCAATCAATATATTATTTTAACCTCTTGAATACCCAGAATGACGGATATACCTGTCACAGAATTTTTCACTAAAACTGCTCTAACTTTGGCAATTTTTATCCAATCTTCACTAATGATGTTTTAAAATGAATGTAATGGGTCTATGTTTACTATTCTTATGAAATCAAACATCAACTGTTGTGTTTTTAGATGTAAATATCAAAAAAACTGGCAAAAAATAAACAATACTCTGGTTTCAAACCCTTTTTAGAGGCTGGTATTCAAGAGGTTAAGTGTTATAAAAGCATGCAATTATAAAATAGGAGGAATTTTAAATAAATGTACCTGAGTGAGAAACTAAGCATCAAAATGTGTGAGAAATAAATAAACAGTTGACATATAGCCTATACAGTTCACAAGTTTGTAGGGTCCAGGCACCCGGCTACCTCCATAAGCCAGCTTAGGACCATCATTGTAAATAAATGTACTTGCGTGAGAATATATGCATCAAAATGTGTGAGAAATATATAAACAGTTCAAATCAACAAATCAAGTCACCCGGCTGCTGGGTGGTCTAAAGCCAACCCAGCCCTTGGAAGTATTTACCTAATGCGAACCTACGTAGGTTCGCTTTAGGTAGTTTTAGGTTCACTTTAGGCGATGTTCAAATATGCTAATTAGATTCAGGTTCGCTTTAGGTGACCACCTAAAGTGAACCTATAATTACCTAGAGCGAACCTATAATTACCTAAAGCGAACCTACCTAGGTTCGCTTTAGGTAGTTTTAGGTAGTAATAGGTTCGCTTTAGGTGATCACCTAAAGTAAACCTAGACCTAATTAGCATATTTGAACATCGCCTAAAGCGAACCTACCAATGGAGTTTTTATATGGGGAACTACCTAAAGCGAACCTAGAAATCCTAGTTAAATATATCACCTAAAGCGAACCTACTGAAAGGCTGGGTTAACTGCATCTGTACATGTATGTATTCCTGGAAATGACAATATATCATAGTCAATGAGTAAATATTGACTAAATCCATATTAATGAAATGATATAGTTTTATTTAGAGAATTAACATATTGACTTTCTCTCATTTGATTAAGTAAAGACAATCAATGCACTTTAAGACATTTAAAGGCTTCACTCCCATTTGAACTTTTGATGAAACAAGAAGTTTCATATAGGGGAGGAGAAGATGTAATGTATGTTCAATTATAAGATATTATTGATTCAATTCATAGATGTCGCTCATAAATTGAATCTTGGGAAAAAGCACATGTGTGCCATATAAGGCAAAATATATATACCACCATTGATTTAGACTGAAATGATGTCTGTGTTTGTTATTGACAAAACTTGTATATATTAGGCCTCCAAACTTAACAAAGGTCATATCTGAAAAGAATTGCTGCTATAACATGGCCAAGAGAGGACACAATGATTAGTAATGTGGTGAAAATTTGAACTTTATTTTTTGGCCAAACACTAAATTTTAAAACGACTGTAACTTTTTCCCATTTGAGAGTTTAACTATGACACTTGGCAAATCAATGTAACTTTGGATAAGCTTTAAAATGATATATGACACATACTTTGACGACACTGGTATATGTCTGCCTAGGGGGACCCCTATACTTTCGGGACACCCTGTATAGTGTTAAAGTGTAATCATTTTTACCATCAAACGTGCCTCATTCATGACAACCCAAGCACCACTGTTGGTCAAAGTAATAACTTATAAATGTAACCAAAGTATTGAATTCGATTTGAAAACAGACCTTATCATCAGTGTAATAGCTCAGGCAGCCACATTCTAACACACACCATCTCTTCTGGAATTCTAAAAGCAAAAAACAACAAAAACATTCCTTGAATTAAGAACAAGAAACAATCATATGTTAAATACATCTGAAAAAGGATTAAAGAAGCAAGAACCATCAACTGTTGGAAGTATTACACAAACTATGTAATTGTAATAGTGGATGTATATTTTAGCTCTTGGGTGATATGACTTCATAAGGAATTATTATAACTATGTAAGCCGATAAGAGAATGATATGCCTAAAGACACTTGATCTCTTTTATTCTACTGTGGTCTTTAAATTTTTACCTTTATTGTTGGCCCCAGTTTTATGGAGGTATCCTTTATATATATATGGCACTGGTGAGGCTGGTCCAGCCACTGGAGGAGGCTGAAAGTAAACAACAAGAGCTTAGATGCCTTCACAATCGTATATGGTATAGGAGGGGTCAATCCTCTCAATGAAACTGAAAGATCAGAGTAAATACATAGATGACATACCCATAAGCATCTTTTAAAATTTAAAGCCAAAATGAGATTTCATGTGTTTATCAATAAATATTGAAAAACATCATCCCTCCATTAGGGAATTTTACATGCTGAAAGTGGGTAATACAATTACTATAAGCATCTAGGACTCGGGGCTTAATATGAGTTATTAGCATTGAGAATTTGTTCAAATCTGAGTGTACTTAGTCTCAGTATAGTGAATGTACTTACCACATCATGAAGAGACAGCCTGGAAATAGCTGGAACAAAGAAAGCAAATATGGTGAAAATTGGTATTCTTGAATCATTGCATATTCCATCTTGTACAGTACACCCTCCATATTACTGTGATTGAGAGAGGACTGTATACAGTGTTCTGATACAGGATAACAGCTTTTAATTGTTTGAAAAACAGTTCAATGATACCTGATGTTTTTTGTTTACGAATTGTACATGAGAGAAATATAGGTTTAGAGATATAATGAAATAATGCTTTTTCTCTCTCGCCAAGTTACAGTCCACAGTTACAGTTCAAAATTCAATCCTTCCTTCCCCCGTTAAAAATAAAGTCATTCTACATGGCCGCATATGTTAAATTGTATATTTAGAAAAGGGACTACATTGTATTTTTGCTTGGGGACACTAAATGCTGTCACACTCAAGTTTTGCGTTAGTACATGAGTGTATATACACACAACATTAACAAAGTGTAATTACAGAAAAGTTAGTAGTAAACATCTGCTATTGTTAGATAGCACAAAAAATGATTAGTTTGCAATATTTAGCTGAATTTTGTTAGGGTACAAGGGGTCTGTTGCCGAAGCTATCTCAAATTATAATAATAATAAAATACCATTTCCAAATTGAAATGTAAAAGGGTAAGATTCCAATAAGTGCACATAAAAAATTAGAAAAAAAATATTGCCAATAATCTTTTCACTTGTTATCACCTAGATTTACTGTACAGCACCTGTATTTCATTCTCTAAATTAAATATAACTATCAATGAATATATTGTTGTGTAAATAATCAAAACTAATAAGGTAGAGTGTAAGATTGTTTTTATTGTCAAACTATTCTTCAGTATTCGAGGCTAAATAAATAAATTGCATTAAACTTTGTGTTTTCTTAAGAGCATATTCAACAACAAGTCGCATGTGTACTCATTGAAACTGTGCACTCATTATAAAGAATATGGTATATCATTTTAGGCTGGAGGCAATATTCTGAACCTAAAACTTATTTTTATTTATTCCTGATCCAACAGTTTATGAATTAATTATACAGTACATTGCTTAAGAACTCAACATTTATAATATTTCCAATTTTTAAAATAAAGGAAATGACAAATTTGACCAAACAGAAAAAGAAATGGTGAACTGGTCAAGTAAACATTTAGCAAATAGAGAATGTAACTTTATACTAAATACTGACAAATGCTTCCAAATTAAGAAATGTTAGTAATATAAATGCAAGACCAACATTTGATTTTCAATCTTAAAGGTTTTCAAACATTCACCAAAACATGTTAAGAATTTTAATAAAGCCATATGCATGCATCTTTAGTCAGTGAGGATTAATAACTACTCCAATTTAATAGTACAAAGCATTGAATCATGCAAGCTAGTAAATCAGTGAGAATATTTTCAGAGAAAGTTAAAGAACTAAGGAAATGATTTTAATATTCTCACTATTGTTGCTCTCAACAGATGGCAGTGGTGGTTGTGGACTATCTGATATAACTACAAATGTAACATACATGTTCTATCAATAGCAGCCAATTATAATCTTCAAAAACTCTAGTTTTAGACATGTTTGAATTCAAGTTTTATGTATTACTATTTTATACTTTATATAAGCTTGGGTTATATGGTGCATATTATATTCCCTTCTATTTCTTCTTTTAGTGATGAAAGGTGACTGACTCATAGCTATTTTTAGCATTTCATAAGTAAAGCAAACAGCAACGATAATATATATATCACACGCCGGAATAGCCTGACCACGGTAAAGTCACCGATATCGTTGTCACAAATGGCGGACATAACCTCTGCTTCATTTAGATTTCGTATGATGCATCATTACAAGAGCTTAATACAAGCACAGAATTAGTGATGATAAAATCCCACGAAATGAGGACCAAGTAATTAAAGAGTTGAAGCGACGGTTATGTCCGCCATTTGTGACAACGCTATCTGACTTTACCGTTGTCAGGTTATTCCAGGGTGTATCAGTTATTTATAGATGGCACAAAATGAGAGTTACAAATGGTGTTTACAGTGAGAAATGCACATTGAAACAAAATGTACAAATACATGGTAAGATGGTACCTGCTGTCACAATAAACATAGAGCTGAAAAAACTCTTGATATTACATTGCAACTTCCTGTTTTTCATGACAGACACTACCACACTCTATTAAACATATAAACAGAATAAATAAGCAAAAATGTATAAGCTACAAGTTACTGAACATTAAAACACATAAAAGCAATTTTGGGATTAAAAACATCAACTAATTTTCACAACATTTAAAGTATTCACACTGTTTCTACAGGTTTATTGACTCCAAGGAGGATTGGCTCCCAGAATGCAACACCGATATTCTGCAAAACAATCACCTAGCGATAGCTTTGTTGGAGAGTATCGGGTCATTCTCCATGCAGTCGTACAAATTATACAGACACGAATACCAAATGACGCATGCGTGGAGATTAAAGAATATCGAGTTGGAACCCTGGCTTCCAATCCTCCTTGATTGACTCAATTAAGGGTAAATCTCTTAAACAAAATCATCTGAATAAAACATCTTACATGACAGATTTCTGGAAGTGATGTATGTAATGTAATGTATCTTCATTAATCATTTGAAGTTTCATTAGGGGGTTTGAAACCAATTAAATATTTTTGAAATCAATTAAATATTTTTGAAAAACCATGATTGTTTATAAAATTTAATATCTTGGGAGATGACTCAGTCAGTAATTCATTAATCCCTTATTACATGTCAAAAATAATTAATGACCATTAATTGATTGCATTTGCTAGTTTCACTTCATTTCTTTCAAAATAATCACACATCTTTAATATCAACAACATGATAGGCCTTTTATAAATGAAATAGGGTTTCATTATCAATGAAATAGGATTTAAGTTTTAATATAAATACTAAATCACTGTTGTTAAGGATAATCCATAACACTCACCTTCAGCTCCATTCCGAAACAGAAATTCCTAGAAATAAAATATTTTATACTTTATAACATAAAGAGTTTAAGTTTAAGTTTATTGTTCCATTCAGTTTATATACATACATATTATAACAATGTGACGCAGAGAGTGTATATTGTGTTTTTTATAAAAGATAAAGGTCATATAAGAGTAAAATAATTTATTGCTGAAGAGGTATAAATTATGGTGACATTTCTGCCTCCAAAGGCCACTGAATGTTCAAGTCTAAGAATAAACTGCATTTACAAAAAATTGTAAGTCAATTAGTGGAATTACACCTATTTCATGGCTAAGGGCGTTTTCAAGGCGTTTTGGGTAACGTAGGCTAGAAAACCGCAATCCTGATTACACCTTGAAGACAACTTTTCGTGATTACACTTGATTTTTCTAAAGCGCTTTTAGACTGATTTAAGACAAAAATTTGCCATCAACCATCGCATTTGCATCAAAATCTGCTATTTAGATATACACTTTCAACCGTAGCGCCATCTCTGGAGATTCAAAATGATCCGATACTGTATGTTCCTTTTTTTCTTAAATCGTATTCAATCTACCTCTGGCGTTAACAAATATGTGCTAAAGAAAGCATGGAAAACAATGCACAAGCGCGCAAAGAGAGAAGCTCGGTCGTTAGGAGAGATCCAAGAGAGATCCAGTAAAATGAAGATGGTACTTTTGTTGGGGCTGTTTGGCATCCTTGGTAATATGGGACAGGAACGAACGATGTGGACAAGACAAAGATCTCGTCATTTTTTTGACTTCATTGTCACAGGCTGGTATCGAAAGATTTGTCCGCTGTGACGGAGCATGCTATTTTTCATAAAAACACTAAGAATGCTTCACGATTTGTTTTTTAACTCATATGTTTCGTTATATCAAAGATAATTACTTACTCCATGCAATGTATATCATTTGCGTGTAACCTTCACTTCAAGTCCAATAACGCTAGGAGTAAAATCTATTGAAAACGGCGCCAGAGTATCAAACTCTAAAATGTACCATTTCTTTTTTAACTTTTTAATGGCATGATATAGTGACACGATACTATTAACATATGTTTTCAGCATAACTCTGAATGTATTAATGAGATATTAATGCATTGGATCTTTTTAATTTTTTTTATAAAAAATAATTTTAATATTTTTTGTCCGCTGTGACGGAGCATTTTCACAGTTCACATTTGCAACTGCTCCGTCACAGCGGACAAAAAAATTAAACATTATTTTTTATAAAAGAATTAAAAAGACCAAATACATCAACATCTCATTTATACCTTCATAATTATGCTGAAACCATGTGTAAATATTATCGTGCCACTATATCGTGCCATTAGAAAGTTAAACAAGAAATGGTACATTTTGAAGTATGATACTCCGGCGCCATTTTCAATAGCTTTTCTTCCCAGCGTAATTGGACTTCAAACAGAAGTGAAAGTTACCCGCAAATGATACATCCATTGCATGGAGTAAGTAATTCTGTATGGTATAACGAAACATATGAGTTAAAAAATAAATCGTGAAGTATTCTTAGTGTTTTTATGAAAAATAGCATGCTCCGTCACAGCGGACAAATATTTCGATACCAGCCTGTGATTGTAGAGAGGTAATTTCAACTATTCAATCATCCCCTCCCCTCGCCTTCCCCAATCTACAATAGTACCGGAATTTCTCGTATATAAGCCCTGGGCGTATAACTGAAAGAAGGGGTAATTTCGTCCATTATTTTATCATTTTTTATACGCCCATGGGCGTTTAAATGAGACTTTCATTTCAGCGCCAAATGGGCATATATGTGTTTGAACATTATGTAGATGTTTCTGATTCACAGTGAACAAAAGCCCCCTTGCCCCTAGGGTACATGTATATGAGACCCTATCCCTATTTCACCCATAATCAGATAATGTACAGCCAGACATCAAATAATCTCAAAATCGTTAAATAAGTCTGGGGGAGTTTAGCATTGCTGAACTATGTACAGGATATAGGATAGCTTTTCTCAAAATCTGTGGTTATATAATCTTTGTACAGTAGGCCCATAGGGTAACTGGAGGGTTGGATCTTTGAGAAATTATTTATCCTAACTTAAGCTTAGGCTTACTTTCATTTCCTGCGAGATCAGGTCATACGCAATCGCATTTTTTAACGTGCCGTTCATCATGGCCTGGATCTTTTTGTCAGCCCAAATAGAAAGCATACGCTCAGTATTGACGTGGTCCCAATAAATTCTACTTTGTTTCGACATTTTGGTGATTTGATTGAGTTTTGCACAATATTTGAATTTTGTTTTTTGAAGTTTCCTCCACACCAGAAATCAATAACATGCTTGATACTCATGCGCAAATATAGTTTTCGTTCAGTGTAAAATCGAGTTAAAACGCCTTGAAAACCAATCGGTATTACACCTACACGTTGAACCGCCTTTGGGTGTGAAAGCGGTTTTTAATGACAAGGGGTCTGGGAGGATTACAAAAGCGCTTTTCTAAATCCGCGATCGTGATTACACCTGACTCTAAAGGCGGGTCGAAACCCGATAGGATTTTAAAAAGCGCTTTTACATCGTAGGTGTAATTCCACCTAATGAATCTTTAAGTACAGTATACTGTGGTTTTGTGGAAGGCAAAAAAGATATACTGTACTCCCAGTTTTTTTCTGAATTAATCTTCGCGAAATTGTCAATAAAATTAAGGTGCAGGATACCATTGACCAAGATCTAGTAGCAATTGAAAATCTTATCCAAATATGAATTTAGGTTAGGGTACTTACTGTACATAAGGTAACCTTATTTACAGAGCTTAAGAATTCAGAGAATAATGGGATTTTAACTTGCGAATTCCGCAAAATGTAATAGCCACGAAATCGTGTTGAATCAAAATTCGCAAAATTAAAACTCGCAAAATGAACTGGAAGTACAGTAATCAAATGATTCTCATTGATTGGTGACCATTTATTAAACTTTTTGGTTGATAGCAGTATCTGTACACTAAATGGGAGACTAGGTTCAGATGACTTTACATGTATATCACATAAGGGTAAATCTGTTGTAGACTATATATGTACAAGCCATGAGCATTTAAATTCTTTTAGTGTTTTCAAGGTTTTAAAAATGAGTAGGGTCATTGATGAGTTCCATTTGAATGCTCCACGGGTATTACCAGATCACTCAATTGTGTACTGTACATTAGACATGCCAAATTTTAATTCAGATAAAAATGAGTCCGACTCTAGCTTCATGAGTGATGATGATAAAAGTAGAAAATATAAGATAAATAATGTACCCTTAGATTTTATGGCAAGTGAAGAGGTTTTATCTAAAGTGAATGATACTATCCAACGTTTAATGCTCATAAATGAAAATGATAAACGTATAAATAGTCTGTACAGTGAATTTGCAATTATTCTAGATCATGAAATGAGTAAAACCTTTGAACAAATCAAAACAAAACCAAAGGGAAATAATCATAAATTTTTCAAAAAACCGTATTGGAATGAGGAGCTCCAAAAACAATGGAATATGAAAAAAGAATCTGAATCTCTGTGGTTGAACTGTAAAGAGTCAGCTAAGAAAAGAAACCTTAAGGAATTATACTGTATAGAACGCCGTCACTTTGATAAATTACACAGAAAATATAAACGCAATTATCAACAAAAAGAACAATTGAATTTACTTGAACTGAGTAATAAAGCTAATTCGCAGGACTTTTGGAAATACATTGGTAAACTTGGGATTGCACAGGAGCGAAAACAGGAACTGCCTTGGGAAGTTACAGACCCAGAGGGTAATAATTCCATCAGAGGACATCAAAATGTACTTAATGCTTGGGCCAAAACATATGAACAACTTTACTCAACAGTAAACAACAATGAGGAATTTGATGAAGACCACTATAGCAACATAAAAAGAGCAGTCACTCAGATCGACCAGCAAGATAGTGATGAGAATAATCCGATGAACAATGAAATCACCATCGAAGAAGTTGCAACTGCTGTTGGGAAAGCCAAGCTAAGAAAAGCTGCTGGAGTGGACAATATACCTGCCGAGGTGTTAAAGAACCCAACCTGTATCGCTATGTTACACAATATTATTTCTGAGTGTTTTAACACAGGAATTGTGCCTAAACAGTGGATGCAATGTGTTATAAGTCCAATATACAAAGATGGGATCAAAACTAACCCTCTAAATTATCGAGCTATTTCCTTGATATCTGTCCCCTGTAAAATTTATTGTGATATACTGAACATGAGGTTGACAACTTTTCTTGAGGAAAATAAGTTGTTATCTGATGAACAAAATGGTTTCAGGAAAAAACGTAGTTGTTTGGATCAGGTGCATAGTTTGTATTCCATTATAAACAATAGAAAACTGTCTAAACTAGACACATTTGTGTGCTATATTGATTATATTAAAGCCTTCGGAAGTCTTAACAGGGACTGCCTATGGTTTAAAATGAACAAAATTGGCATTAAAGGTAAAATGTTTAAGGCTGTGAAGTCGCTATATCAGGATGTTACATGTAGTGTGAGGATAAATGGAATTTTAACCCCTTGGTTCAGTGCTAAGTCTGGTACGAAGGAAGGATGTCTATTATCGCCCACGATTTTTTCGATCTATGTAGACTCCATAGCTGAAGAAATAAAAAGTTTAAATTGTGGGGTCACAATTAACAACGAAAAAGTGTGTATACTCATGTATGCCGACGACATTGCTTTGATAGCGGAGACCCCTCAAGATCTTCAGCGCATGCTTAATGTTGTAAACCAGTGGTGTAGGAAATGGAGACTCAGCATAGGTCAGAAAAAAACTAAAATCGTTCACTACAGGCCAACCTCTAAACCAAGATCTACATATCAATTTAAATGTGGAATAAAATCAATAGAATATACTGAAAAATATAAATACTTGGGAGTATGGCTTGAAGAGCATGTCAACCCTCAAATAACAGCAAAGGAAATTGCTAAGTCTGCAAGTCGTGCTTTATGTGTAATAATGTCAAAATTCCAACAAACTGGAGGCATGGATATAACTGTTTACAGCAAATTATATGACACTTTAGTGCAACCTGTGATCAACTATGGCTGTTCATTGATAGGTAATAATGAGCACAAGTGTATAAATGCAGTCCAAAATAAGGCATCAAAATTCTTTCTTGGTGTCGGTGTCAAAACAAACAACGAAGCAGCTCGAGCTGACCTTGGATGGGACTTACCACTTCACAAACAACAGATAGAGAGTGCACGTCTTTTTATACGCCTGCAAAATTTGGACAAAGATAGGTTAAACTCAAAAATACATCATTGGTCCTTAAGACGTAAAAATAGTTGGGACTACAGAGTCTACAAGTTCTTAGAGGCATCAGGCCAAGGGAATATAACTCAAATGGAAAACTTAAATGCTAAAGCTATTTTAGAAGAGGTCAAGCTTTATCAACAATCTCAAGATCCCTTTCTAAAAAACATTTGGAATGACAAAAACAATGAAGTGAATGGTAATAAATTAAGAACTTTCAGGCAATTTAAGTATGGAGTAGTAGCAGAAAGTTATGTAACTTGTTTCATCCCAAGACACCATCGAAGTGCATTGGCTAAACTGAGAAATGGGACGCTACAACTCCGTATAGAAACTGGTAGATATGATGGTACTCCTCTGGACCAGAGAACTTGCAAACTCTGTGATTTGGATGAAGTTGAAAATGAAATTCATTTTCTGATAAAATGTCCACACTATAAGCTCCTAAGGGATACCTTCTATAGAGAGATTGTGCAAGAGCAATTGCCATATATAGACTTGAATAATGCAAATTCACTTTTGACATTTATTAGCCTAATGCTTGCCAAGAAGATTCAAAAACCTCTAGCAGCTCTTATTCATAATATGTATTCAAAAAGGCAATTTGACTATGGCAGATTATAGGAGTTACATTTGTGAAGTCCAGACTTGGTTAAAACTGATACTTTTTTAGAATTAAAGATATAACTGGGCAGCAGGTGTGTGTCCCCAATCTGTTATAGTCATTTTCCAGCACTTGACTACAAAATTTATTGTATCAATACAGTTTATTTATGCATGCATATTCATTTATTGTGATAATGGCCATTAATAGAAAATATTTGTCAAAGCATTTAAAGATGGCAGCACTTGAGTACTACTCTATCTAAGAGTGTTCTATTAAGTCAACTTACTCTAGTCAATATTCAATTACAATTAGATATACATTTAATGGTGTCTCCTAAGCCGATGCCGGCTGGTGGGTTTTTTAAAAAAAGTATTTATTATATGATATTGAATGTAGTTTTTAAACCTGTGACACAGAAATAAAATATTTTAAACTTAAATTATTCCAACCAGGGTTTATAGTGTTTGGATTTCCATAATTCAAATTCTTAATAAAAGGACATACATAAAGAGGTTAAAAACAAATCTTACCACTTGCACATGCTCTTGGGCCGCTTTGGCTAGTTCTAGTGCTGAAATAATAGAAATACATTTGAATTTTTGGCAAAAATAATGAAAGAACTTGTACCATGCACATTGATGGCATTACAAGAATAAGTCCATCAATGCGACATTTTTCCAAAAGGGAGGAACTGGAGATATTTTAAAATGGGAATATGGGCATCAATACAAGCGTCCTTTTCTTTCCTAATAATGTACCTGATTTTCCTTCATTTTCCATTACTGCTGATTTTGCATGTATGTCAGCCCCAGAAAATAGTAACTCCATTGTAGCTACAACATCAGGTTGCTGTACTGCTGTACAAAGTGCTTCATTCAGCGCAAACTGGTCCCCTTCTAGCGGGTGAATTTTCACAAATTTTTTCGTCTTATATTTGTTAAAGATATACTGCTGTCTTGTGGTGCTAGAATCAAGACAAAAAAGTTATGTACACTTATTAATAGTACAATAACATCATTTCGAAGGGCAATATAGTGAATATATATTTCATATTATATTTAACTACTATATTGCCCGCAGAAATGACGTTATAAGTATTATTACCACCATTAATGACCAGGACTGAAACAACAAGAAAATCTTACGCACTCAACAATATCTAATTTCCCAGGGAAAATTGCCAGTCATTAATTGCATTCTTGACCAGCAATATTGACCGCCACTTTGACGTCACATATTGCTCAGGTCGATATAGTAAAATGAACGCCTTAAACTAGTACTAAAACCCCTAGAACAAGGTGGTAATAATGTATGTTAGTATTACAATATTTATGTCCTCTTCACATCTATGCCTTAAATAGCTTGATATCTCGGGCAATATATGGAAGACACGGTCTCGTTCATTAGGGTAGCAATAAGTGAGGATGGCCACTCAAAGTTCATAAGGCTAAATACAACTTGTGCAAGATATTTTTCAAGGTTAATAAAAATATTCATAAAAATGAGAAATCAAAGTACCTTATACTCAATAATTTGATGACAATGTAATATAATATGAGAAAAAATTGAACTGTTGAATATGAAACCACTGTTGTCAAACAGATCCTTTACCTGTCAGCTTTTTGAGTTATCTTGTCTCTATCATAAGCCATAAACTCCCAGAAATTATTGGCTCTGCGATTTCCAACTCTGCTAAATATCTGAAACAAAAAAGTACTCATTAGCTAGTGTATAATGGGGGTTTCTTTTTCTTTGCATGTGTCTTATGTTTTCCTCTCTACCCTCTCATTTTGGAATGCATTTTCCCCAATTGTGGCATTCTTTTTTAGCCTCAATTGCCTCTTATGAGGTAAACATGACAATTAGTAATAATAAAAATAATAAAAATGGCACCATCTTGTAAATTACCCATAATGCCCAAAACCTGGCAATTATCACAAGTGCAATAAAAATACATGGTGGGCAATATTTAAAAAGTGTATAAAATAAATGTTTATAACTTACGGCTAACATGTATGGGGTCCAATCTTTGTGGTCCATTCGTAGGGAGCGTACTTTGGACATAGGGACCCCCATATTCCTGTGAATACCTGCACATTGCTTACACATCACTACTCCAAGGTTTATTGAGGCCCAGTCGGGATCTAAAATAAATGAGGCATTGACAAAACAAAACATCACTTCCTGGAAAAAGATCCTGAAGCTGAATACCGGTCAATTAAATGGTCAGGCTACAACTTCTTCACAATGCCATAAAAATTTTAAAAAAATTAATGCTATTTAGGCTCAAAATTATACAGACAGATTTTTAGACTTTTTGGTGTGAATATTAGAGAGATATACATTTGCTCTGAAATAAAGGATTATGTACATATCAACAGTTTAAATTTTGTAAGGGGAAGTGGCAATCTGATTCATGAAGACTTTACTTTACTTTTGCCGAGGGTGATATTGTAATGAAATTAACTTGATATTCCCAAAACAGTCAACGTTTGAGACCACCCCTTATTATTCAATACACTTACCTGGTGCCCCACAGTCAACACATATCTTGTTGTCTTCATTCTCATACACTTCAAATATCACCTGAAAGGTTAACATATACAATTTGTAATGTAAGCTCATGTGCCAAGGGGAAAAGACCAGAGTCTTTATTAGTGTAAGATATCTAAAAACAACAGAAAGAAAAAAGAAAACAAAACCCATATATCCCAAAATTTACATACTGCGATATAATCCATATCCAGTGCATTTGAGCTGACACAAATAAGATACAAAGGAAGATATACCTTTTTAATGAATGGGTAAATAAAATGGAATTTTTTTTTTTATTTAGATATGATAATATTGGCTGGAAGGGCTTGATGATTATATCTTCTTAGGAAGATAGCTGAGTGATCAAATAATAAATATTACAATGACCACATAATAAAAGCATATTAAATTATACCGCATATTAAATACATGTATATGATAAGTTCAGCTTCACAGTCCTATTTATATCAACCCAATAAAGTTAAGAGTAGAGAACATTCTGTACAAAATAAAATCAGCATCCAATAAATTATGCTATATAAAATAGAGCTTGATTTCTGATATGCATATCCGTTTAATCACAAATGATTACACGATTCCTATGGGAACTTTAAAACAAGTTATTTCATTTATCTGTGGATATAATATTGCAGTGGCAGATGAAAGTCACTTGCGACGGACACATACAGCAATAGCATTGTATTTGACTATATCATACTATTAATATTAAAGCAAATTTAATTGTATCACTTAATTAGTGTCACCAACAGAGATTTTCAGAGAATTGGAGTGGACTCATTTTCCAAGTAAACCAGCAATGTCCTGACATTATACAAACATATTGAATATTTAGAAGCAATGATGTTAGAATATGAACCTGAAGTAATTCTGTTATTAAAAAGCAATTATATCCCTAATATGATTACGGTATATGAGTTATGGTGTATATTCGTTAGGACCAAATTGCAACCTAATTCTTAGCCCCTGTCAATTACAACCTAAGCTTCAATACAATTTACATGTGATTTTTACTTAAAGGTGCTATAGCCTTAAATATAAGGTTCTGATCACCTGAATGTCATAAAGTATTTTCATTTTATTTTTCATAAAGTATATAAAAGTATATAATCCTAGAATTTTATTGGCTTTCTTGCACAAAAGGATGAATGATATTTCTGAAAAGGTATATTCTCGGTTTGGAGAACAAAGTTCATTAATCTAATTGAGCATTAATGAATCGGCCTTCTGCAATGTTATCCCTGCTTCGGACAATTAGGATATTTTTACATCTTGTAGATTTAAATGTCTTCTTTTGAATATTCATAATTTAAATTTGGTAATATTTCTATATTTTTTATGAAAAGATCAGTCCAAGGAGACTGTTCTCCAAACTGAGACTTATCCTTTAGAAATTGTAGAGAGATGTAGATAAAATGAGAAGATGGGATGAATCTTTTCGTCTTCACTAATAAAATTTATATACTACAGAGTACTTGTAGAAATGAATACAGTAGTTGTACTAGAATTTGCCCAGAGATCTGGATTATTAAAATGCACTGAGCAATCAGAGGTGACAAGAAATCTTGTCACTCTAGGTAGTCAAGAGGTTAAGTGTACCATTTCTACCAATTTAGACTAAGCTGTGAAATGTAATTAAAACAACATGTACTGTAAGTCATCATAATAAACTCATTGCTGACCTAAGCCATTCTGATCCTCATAGCATGACTTTCTGTTTCACCTGAAACCTCAGGACTGAGAAGAAATGAAATGCCATGGTTTATCATGATGGACCAAAGCTATTTTGGAGGTTTTCTGCTGATGACTGGCCATTTTGATGAAAAATTGAGCAAAATGACATGTTTTCATATTAGCATGAAATGGACTGTATCAACACCAGTGCTGTTTTATGCCATTGTGAAGCCAATGACAATATATTTCAATTGCACTCAACCATGTTCCCCTAGTGACCCCTAGAATATTTCATAAGATTATTGTTACAAATTGTTTATAAATTATTCAGGACAGCACGACGAGAAAACCCATCTCGGGGTTGGTTAGACGTCATAGACGAAAAATCTCGGAGTTGGTCAGCAATGAGTGAAGGCTTAACCCATTGTGAAAAGCAGTGAATTGAAATGATCACCGATGTGGTTCTACATAACATAGCATAAACATTTTTATAATAGTCAATTTCTTTTTACCATACATATCATATAATTGTTAAAAGCATTGGTACTACTAAACTACCTGGAAGCTAAGGTGTGGGTCTAGAATGTTATAACAACAAATATGCAATACCAAACCATACCAACCAGGTATTCATATGATATATGAAATATTTGACCTATTTTTCAGGGGTCTAAAATGGCATATTAAGTGGGCATATGCAACAACACAACAGTGACCTATTTTCAGGTTTCTAGAATGGCATTTAGGATGATATATTGCAACAATGGTATTCAAAACTGCAATATCTGTAGCATTTGAGTAAGAGATGCTCCAAATAGTGTTATATCTTGTATATATGTTTGCAAGCAAATCACTTGCACCCTTTTATTTTTATTTTTATTTGTTACTTTCTATTTCTGAAATGAATTTAGAATCCGTTACAATATTGATGACAATCAAAGCATTGTGTTTCGTGGCTGGAAGTATTTTATTAAGCATTTCAAAGGAAAAAATGACTATTCAACTAATTTTACCATTTGAACTTGACAATGGCTAATTCTCTCAAAGATCTTCCATTTTATGAGTGTTCAAATGTTGAATTTATGGACATAACACATGGACCTGACTTTTTTGATAATTTACTTTTCAATCCACTTGATTTTGACAATCAAATTGCAAATGAAGATCACATTGACAATGTACAAACAGATATGCATAAAATCGCTAAAGAGTGTAATTATGTGAATATTGATAAATTAAATTCAACAATAAAATGTGATTCATTTTCACTACTCCACATGAATATGAGAAGCTTACCAAAAAACAATTGGAAATTTGAAATGCTAAACTCTTTGAGTAAAAATGCCTTTTCTGTGATAGCTATGTCTGAAACATGGTTAACTCAACACAATGAGAGGCTTTTTTCACTAAATGGATATAATACTGTATTTAATTCGAGAAAACAGTCTAGAGGTGGGGGAGTTTGCCTCCATATTGCCAAACAGTACAAATTTGAGGAAAGGTCGGATCTCAAACTTAATTCTGATAAATGTGAATCAGTGTCCATTGAAATAAAACAAGATGAAGGAAAAAATATTATTGTAACTGCTGTTTACAAGCCTCCCAATGCTAACTTAAATGATTTTAATAATCTATTTAATATATTCCTAGAAAAAGTGGCTTCTGAGAACAAAATTTCATATATCCTTGGCGATTTTAATGTCGATCTTTTTAAAGCAAATGACCATGATCAAACAAATGATTTCTTGTGTAATTTATACACAAACAATTATATGCCGTTGATTTATAGGCCCTCAAGAATAACCAGAAACTGTGCTACTTTAATTGATAACATCTTTACCAATGCTCATAATATTGCTCAATCTGGTATCATTTTGTATGATATTTCAGATCATTTTCCCATTTATGCTGTTAACAATCATGAGAAGCCCAAAGTTAAAAAACTAAAGATCCAGTACAGACTAATTAATGATGAAACATGTACAAGACTCCAATCAGAGATCTCAAAGATTAATTGGCATGCTATTTATCAATCTCAGTGTGTAAATAATGCTTATAATTCTTTTATTGAAACATTTACCGAAGCTTATAATAGGTGTCTACCAGTAAAATCAAAAATAGTCAGCACTTTCAATGATAATGAAAAACCCTGGATTACTCTTGGAATTATTATATCAGCTAGATACAAAAATAAGCTTTATATTAAATACAAAAAGAATCCAACACTGGAAAACAAAGCCATGTATAAAAGGTATAAAAATAAATTAACTCATGTAATTCGAAATGCTGAAAAAGCTTATTACAAAAATAAATTTGAAGCAAATAAAGACAACATAAAAAAATCCTGGAACATAATTAACACCATCTTAAAGAAAAAGTCTGGACAATCAAAAATTAATAATACATTTAACCTTAATAATCGACAAACTACAGATGGCGCTGAAATAGCTGAAAACTTTAACAATTTCTTTAGCTCTATTGGCAATAAACTTGCAAATAAGATTCATAGTAATACTGATCCAATGGTTAATTTAAGAAAAATTAATTCAAATGATAAATCTCTCTTTTTAACTCCTGTAACAGAAACTGATGTTAAGAATCAACTTAAATCTTTGAAACCTTCCGCTGCTTCAATAGACGATATTAAGCCCTCAGTTGTCAAATTACTAAAAGAATCATTATCAGCCCCACTTACACAGATCTTTAACCTGTCAATCTCTACTGGAACATTTCCTGGTGCATTGAAAATTGCTAGAGTCATTCCCATATTTAAAAAAGGTTTAAAAGAAATTTTTAATAACTACAGACCCATTTCTATCTTAAGTGTATTTTCTAAAATGTTGGAAAAAATTGTTCATGATAAGGTTACCGTATTTCTTGAAAAATATGAAATTTTATACTTACACCAATATGGCTTTAGGAAAAAACATTCAACATACATGGCCCTTTTAAATTTCATTGAAAATATTAGAAAGTCTTTAGATTCAGGGAAAACTAGTCTTGGTATATATATTGATTTAACCAAAGCCTTTGACACTGTTGATCATAAAATATTACTTCAAAAACTTGAATTCTATGGCATTCGTGGAGTAGCTCTTTCTTGGTTCACAAGTTATCTTGAAAATAGAAGAATCATCACAGAATTTACAAAGAAGAATGTTTCACTCGACCAATTTACAGAGACTGATGTGAAATATAGATCAATTGAAAATACAGTTGAATATGGAGTACCTCAAGGGTCAGTAATAGGCCCCCTCTTATTTATAATCTTCATTAACGACATATATCTAGTCTCAAATAAACTATCCTTTGTTTTATATGCTGACGACACAAATATTGCGCTTACTGACAAAAATATTGAAAATCTAGTCATTGAAATGAATGAAGAATTACAAAATGTCTCAAATTGGATGAAGGCAAATAAACTAACTCTTAATGTTGACAAAACCAAGTTTATGATATTTAGCAATAAAAAAGATCTGAACAACAAGAATATTATCCTTAAGATTGACAACCAGCCAATTGAAGAGGTGAAAGAAATTAACTTTCTTGGTGTTATCATTGATTCGAAGTTACACTGGTCTCCTCACATTAACGCTATATGTACAAAAATCTCTAATTTGATTGGTATATTATACAGGACTAGACATCGACTGACTTTGAATGCCATGACTACAATTTATTATTCAATGATTTATTCTTACCTGAGCTATGGAAATATCTTATGGGGAAATGCCATAAAAACACTCATTCAGAAATTATATATATTGCAAAAGAAATTCTTAAGAGTCATTACGTATTCTGATAGCTTTGCCCCTTCAGGTCCACTATTTCAGAAGCTAAAGATTTTAAACGTATTTGATATACATTCCCACCAAACAGCTAGCTTTGTACAAAAAACACTTTCTGAATCGCCTGAATTCCCTTTTAAAAAATTCAACCATCTTTTCTCATTAAGATCAACAATTCACTCACATGACACAAAATCAAAAAATGATTTGATTGTTCAACCATTTAGAACAGAATATGGAAGGAAATCAATTGGGACAAGTGGCCCATCAATTTATAACACTTTATCTTCTGATTTGAGAAACTCAGTTCATATTAAAATGTTTCAACGAAAGTTTAAGTTCAATTTGTTAAGTCGTTATTAGTTATTTTGAATCATACTTCCACTATGTTACATCAAGGTAAAAAAAAGTAGATCCATGCTTTGTAATTTATGTACACTACAATAACTGTTCTAACATTACATGCTTTGTGAATAACACATTATATTTTTTCAAAACATGGAATCCATACACCCCGCGGGGTGTCCTTTTCATATCACTTGTAAATTTATATTGTATGAAAACTAGAATTGAATAATAAATTGAATTGAATTGAAAAACAAACATGCTTCTAAGGAAATGCATTAATTGAAAATATTAATCTTCGGCTTCAGGGTGTAAGGGATAATCTTTCTTAACTTGACATAAAACATCTCAGAAAATTAAGCTCCAAAAGTCCACAAAACACAAATAAAAAATAAAAAACTCTGTAAAGCAGGCACAGCCAAAATCATTCACTTACTCAATTATGTCAGAAGGTCCAAATAATTCCTGGATTAGGCTACAGGATTATAAATTATGCTAACTCGGAATTATATGTTATTCCTTTTACTATAAGCCTTAAATAGCACTTTGCACAGAATCAATCTCATATGATACTCAATTCTCAATGTGCATAATATGAGTGAGTCTCAGTGTGGACAAGGATGCAACTCCAAAGATACACAAATAACAGGTTACTTTCATTTTGGGGGAGTGAGGTTGAGGGTACTGGCCAAAAACATATTTTTAAAGAAATCATTTCATTGATATATTCCCTTTAAATTGCATGGAACACCGGGAAATAGAAAATAAAACATACACATAAAAGTCAGTAAAGGAAGCTAAAGGTTAATTAAAATGCAAGAAATGGAACAGTCACCATTCTACAACTACAGTCTGCTACATTACCTGATCAATCTGCAAGAATTCAGTTTCAAATAAATTAAAATTGAATGATCATGGAACAAGATAACATTGATAATATGCAGTACAATTACAAGAAAGATAAATTGCACGAATGAAGGCAACTTTAATTCAAAACAAATACAAGTGATCCTAAATGTTGAGCATTAAGTAAAACTTTCTTCACATCTCCATGGCTACAAAGGCTCAAGGCCTTTTTTTATTCATGACCATTCACACAACCCATAGTAATGTCTCAATTAAATATGGGAATCCTCATGTGGTTCTTGGTATGAAGTTGAGGCTATCAGAGATGGGAATGAGGCCAAATTGGGAGCATAGTGTTACCTGATTGTCTGAGAGACCATCCATTATGGCTTTTTCCAGAGCCGTCTTCCATGCATTGCATTCCTTTACACTGTCAAATATCAACCTGAAAGAATTAAAAAAAATATTCTAATCATATGAATGTTTTAGGACTAATTATGAATGTTTAATATCAAGCCCAAGCTGGACCATCAATGTAATGCTACTCACATGTAGTCTCAATATGGCACCCACAATTAATGAATATATAAAATCTTGAAAAATCAGATGGCTGGCATTCATCAGAGTAATCCAAGGAACTGTCCACATGACACATTTATCATGCGTACTTATACACAGCATTTGCCCCATCTGTTCGTGATTGAATATTCTCTTATCAACCCAAGGTTACTTTCTTAACAGAGGTGCAGGTTTATATGCCACTCACTGTTCAAGGTATTACTCACATGTAATGTTTCTGTGGGGTACTAAGCTGCAACTTGCGTGGTCCCATTTCCTTGACAGAGGTGAGTTTCATATCTATGTCCTGCACTGGGGTGCCAACAATGAAGTCCTACAATCAGTCATTTGTCTCATTTCATTTGAGTTCTTTTGAGGTATACTATACAATGACTGTCTCTTTATACCATGGCAATTTTATTTTGAAGAGATGGAAGTTGTAAATGAAGAAAGTTGTAAAACACTTACATATAGATCTCTGAACAATTTATACAAGATGGCAACCATATTTATAAAATATTAACTCCTTTATTTCATTTATCCCCCTCGACCCGTCTCCATGCCTTTCAATGTGATTTCATCATTCAAAGGTACATTTTGATAAAAAAAAAACAGAGCCACACACACAACTAATATATTTCACTTACATTCTGTGTGTTATAATAGCATAACTTCTCTCCTTTAATGGCTAAGTACACTTTGCCTTTAGTGCCATCCATCCTGATGTAACCCTCCTTGTCTGGTTGATTCATATCCCCTCCATCCAGGTCAACCTGGCCTTGGTGCTGCAATTATATGAAGAGAACATTAAACATCAACATGACAAAATGTCATATCACCTGGAAAAGTGTAACAATCTTATAGACACCAATATAATGCCTAAGAAAAACACAGGTAGGTTAATAATGATCAAATCATCACATTTGCTATTGTCATAATGATAATGGATAGTGTCAAATTGATCTATATTTAAGGAGGGATAGCCAGTCCGTGCTCTCATCAAACCCAAGATGATAAAGGAGATTGTTTGATTAAAATTAACTGAACGATTGTTCATGAAAGCAGTTTGTTTCAATGGTTGATTGAGTACTTCCGACTTTAGATGAAAAACATTTTCAATTTTGGAAAACAGACATAACAAGGAATGACATGAGCTGGAAATATTCTAAAATTGAAACAATTTTTTGTTTGCCTGCCTGATAGATCTGATCAATTCTCTCTTTACATTTCCTTTCCAAAACTTTTTCAGAAAAGGGAGATAACTGTGAAGTTCTATTTAGTAAAAACGTTTGGAAAATTTATAACTAATAATGTAAGAAATAACAGACCTTTCCAATAAATCCTGCCACCTTTTGATTCATCAGAGAAACTATGATATATTGGCTAGATTGATGATGTCATTGGCTGTAGGTTGCAATTTGTCCATGCAAAAATAAGTAATAACTTATTGCTAGCCAATTCTAGCCAATATATCTTCTTTAATCCAACAGTGTTTATTGGAAAGGTCTCTTGCAAAATGAGGGGAAAAGGACAAACCAGGTGATCTAACATAGAAAATTTGAATAAGTGTGTAGTTTCAAAAATATTTCATTTACTGAGGGGTGAATGCATAATATTAAAACCATCCAAAATACTTGAGAGTTGGTGATTTAATGTAACTTTGGATGAATTTTATAAGGGTATATCACACTTGGTACCATTCATAAAGATTTTAGCTGTAGCAAATTGGGGGGGGGGAGCAGGACTTAATAGACACTCTATATGTATCTTTCCTAATTTATATTCCAAAACATGGAAACTTAACTCACCATTTGCTGTATCACAACTTGTGTTAGAGTTTTAACCCAGCCATTCAAATCATCTGAAAATTCAACAACACTTTTTTAAAAGTATTTCCCTCAGAACTACTGGATCAATCATGATTGGTAGATTTGTCACACAGTGGGCAAAACAAATAGTTTTACAGCAAGATATCCCCAATCAAACCAAATACAACAAATACAAAAATTAATTAATAAAAATTTAATGCCAAACAGTAGCCACATGGTAGTGAATGGTGAGCCCACGTGGCTAATGTGACAGATACTTTAGAATGTAATCTTATCTTAGAGACTTACATCTAAATAGATGTACCAAATCTAAAAAAGGTAAAATATCTATAATTTGGTCCAACCATGTGTCAACAGACAAGGTGGGTTTGATAATTCAGATGAAAATCTTTGGTAAATCATGTTTTTGCAATTTCTATTCTATTTCTTTACCTTTGGTTTGTGCTGCAAAGATGAAGATGCGATCTCTTGTGTATAGTTTGAACCTATAGGGTTTGCTATCACCAGACTGAAATGGAAAGTAACATTCATAAATACATATACACAAGGGTGACATGTTCTCAAGAGCCAAATTGTTTACAAAATGACACGATATTATGGAAAATGGATATGCATATTGTCAGCCGAATCTTATTCCATGATATTTTTCATTACATAGTAGTCTGCTACTGATATGTCCACTCTTTCTATCAGTGTATTTCACAATCTTAAAACAAGTGTGAATTCTGATTCCTAATCCGTGAGATTGATTGAATGTAAAAATTATATAATATGCAAAAATAATTTTCTTAACTTACCTTGACATCAATTTCTTCCACATTCCGCATAACCGACGCGGGAATGATGCGTTTTGACTCCATACTCTAGAAACAAAATTGAAACCATTTCAATATTGACACTAAACAATAAAAAATCTATTATCTTAGTCGCTCTCTCCTGACAATTATCAATTGGACTGAGATTTAACACAAGGGATGGTGTCACAATTTGTCAAAAGTGGAAATTGAAGTTAATTTCATTTCAGTCTGTCTTCCATTTGTACAACCCTAAAGCACATAATCATTTCAACAGTAGACCATATCTCAAAAGTCTAGGAAGTTTATATAAGAGATTTTAAAACTAGTAAAGCTTCCCTATTCCCTATACTTACCCTTTCATTCTCCAGATAACGAAGATCAACTCCATTGAAAATGATCCACCTCTTACGCCATCCCTTGTTGCCCTGCTTCCTGGAACATGTAGGTTTTTGTTATTAGTTATTTATAGTTAACCTTGTGTATGGTATACCCACATTGTGGCCAAAATTGTTCATCACAGACAGGTGATAAAAACTGTTCAAGATAGAAAGATGTTCCTTAGAGAGGTTTTCCTACCAAAGGATTTACTGTAGTGAAACCTGTTAAGTCAAACACCTCTAAAAGTGGAACACCTTTGTTAGTTGAACACTTTTCAGTGTCTCAAGACCAACTGACTTAATGTTAAATGAACCTCTGTAATAAGAACACCTCCCTATTGGAACACATTTTAGAGGTACCAAAGGTGTTCCATGTAGACAGGTTTTACTGTATTTTAAAATTGTGGTTAACATGTTTATGTCACGTCAATGCCGATAGTTAAGTGAAATAATTTCATCAATTATTGAAAAGAAAGTATTAAATAGATAGAGGCCATCATTGAATAGAAATTATTCATTTTCAAAAATGCAAAGTACATATTGATTTATTTTTAGTAACATCAATTTGACTGAACAATGAACAAGTACTGATATCACATATTGTATTATCTAAAATAAAATACTTACCCTCCTTGCTTGTAGAGATACCCAGTCTTGGCTTTTATCTGCAATTTAAAATACATACTCAAATTATGACTGTGTCTCCAATGTGTTGTGATTTATTCCTGCTATATATTTTCAATGTTCTGTTTTTATCTTCAACTTTTGAAATGTTCTATAAAGCTTTCCTTTCAATTTATAGTGAACTTGGAAGTATATCTGTCAAGGAAAGTTACTCAAAAATTAATTCAAAAAGGGAATTTACTTTATACTTTGAAATAAAACAAAACAGCAATCAAAGCATGTTAAGTGTATTGTAGATAAAAATAACTTGAAACTAATTAATTGATTGGTGCATCGTGGTATTAGTGTGAGTTTTTATAATCTATTTTCCCTTGAAGCCATTCAATAAATTTCATTTATTGACAAATTGATTGGGGAAATCGAACATCTTAAATATTTTCCTTATTAACTGTCCCTCATTAAATCGTGACCATTTTTAAATGTGTAGTTCCTTAACATACCGGTACTTGGGAAGATTGGATGCCAAAAAGGGGAATTTGGGAAATATATGAGTATCTGAAACTATAGCTGAAAGGACCTTGTCAGAATCATACTAAGGGCAGGATGAATATTTGGGATTTGGAAAATTAGTTACTGCATTCAAATCTGTATGTCAAACAATCCTTCTAGTTTTCAACATTAGTTAAAATAATGATTTCTGAAATGAAATTATAGTGAATTCTGAAAAATGACAAGTCTGTGTGTATTCTTCTTCAGGATTAATTGATCTTTGTACATTCAGATACGCAATATCCGGAAATATTAAACTGGGAAAAGTGCACTATGTTAGAAGGACCAGATGGAAAAACCAGGTCGAAACAGGAGATGCATCTTTGAGAATGTGTCACTTACTGGTGCAGTATCAACACTTGGGGACCCTATTATGTCTACATGTACTTTAGGTTTGAAGTCTGCAGAGCTGTAGAACTCTCCCCCGTCACTCAAACTGTCCTCACTCAGCTCAACCTCACTCACTGCAAAGAAATAATACAAGGCATTAACTAGGGCTCTCACGGTTTCATAATTCCTCGGTTTGGTTCGGTTCACGGTTTTTATCTTTTCAGTTCGGTTTCGGTTCGGTTTTCGGTTCTTATCGCACTTTAATGTAATAATGTAAAAAATCAAATAACTCAAATTGACACTTCATCTAACTAATGTATTCAACACCATCTCTCGTTGGAAATCCAAAATAACCCCAACAGTGGGCCTTGTACGACTTTGGAGCGTTTAGAATGCCGAAATCTTCACCTCTCGTTTCGAGATTCATCTTCCTCAACTTTAGCAAACGGCACTTTTTCTGAAATAACGAGCCGTTAAAAAACCGAACATCGGAGTTTTCGAACCGAACGTACCGACCGAGGCCCTAGAACCGTGGAGCACCGCGGTTTCGGTGCACCATAAGACTCTTAGCATTAACACATGACACAATTTCACCACCAGTTATAGGAAGTTGTAAGAAGGAACAAATTGATACCCCAAAATAGATATAGTTATAGGAATTTGTAAGAATTTATTATGAATGTTGAACCATGAACACCAAATGTTGGAGACTATTAAAAATATGTCATCAACAACATATATTATAACCTGCGAAAAAGGAACAAATGTGGTACCTCAAAATGGTGTTCTCTCCTGAATTTACGGACGCGAAAGTGTTCTACTTATGGAGGTGTTCAACTGACAGACATGTTTCACTTGATAGGTTTTACTGTACTAAAGTATCATGACCATGACCATGAAATACAGAGTGTTCATAAGTCTCTTTACAATATCAATATAATGGGATTTACACTTCTACTTAATAATTAACTAAATGGTTCTAATAAATCAACTAGGGAAGCCCCAGTCTGTGTAGCAGATCAATAAATTGTGCAACTTTAGAGTAAAAGAAGAAATACTTGGATCCATTTTTCAAATGAATTACTGCAAAACAGATAATTGACACAGGCAGAAAAATACATCACACCGTGAACCTTATATTTTATAATACAGATTTTTGAATAGAAATAGCCTTAAGACCTAGATATTTTAACTTAAACAACTTAACCCCCAAATTAATGCGTAAATGACAAAAGGTCACTATCTGGTTGCATGTTAAAATGCATAACTACAAGATAGACAGTGAATCTGATGTAGATGCAAGTTTCAAAGAATTTAGCCTAAAAATGCATTGTTGCAAAGTGATAACAATTAAAGCAATTCGTAATGTTGATTATGTAAATATGGAGCTCTATTATTGAAGCAAAATCCTTCACTTTTGAAAAAGGCTCAATTTATGTTTCCAAGAAATGTTATGTACAACTCATGATATTAATTAATTGGCCAATGCCTTCTTATCATGACTATTACAAGTGATGATATGTCATGTTCAGTAACTTAAGACTACTGGGACATGGTGACCTTAACACTTAAAGACCAAAATAATTGGTATTCTGAATAAGTAATCTTTGGTTAGTTACTATAAAGAATGATAGATAAAAATGATTCATATTTTGACTTTTGGGTTGAGAATATATTTTAAGTTATTACTTCATGTATAAGTTCTAAAAATCCCAAGTACTAAAACTAAAACTTAACAGGATTCTTGTAATGAGTGTTTATTTAATCAAACTTTCTTTTTAATAAGTATATTTTTCCTTGTAATTGCAATTTGCAATTTGCTGAGATAAAATTTTCCAAATTAATTATATTTCCACAATCATATCTAGTTTATATAAATATCAATATTAAAAGCAAAAAATGTATTGGCTGAGGCTTGAAAAAATAATCGTGACTTTGATTCAAGTCATTTTGCTCTTAGGTTCATGAGGCCAATAAAACCTTTTGTGAAGTTAAACAATAACAGAAAAACATTGATTCAAATTGAAGGTTTACATATGTGTCCTTAGTCTAGTTGAATGATATCAGTTCATGTTAAGTGTATTTTAGGTTAAACCAATGGGTCCTTTAGACAATCAGGCATTGATAATCGTGGATACTTCACGATAGAGAGAACATATTTTTTCAGAATTGACTTCCTTATCACAATACACATTCAGAGTTATCTTATTTGTTTAAGGTCATCATGAAATGAATATGTTATTCAATTGTTTAATAGTCATGTATTTCACCCCTCCCTTAAATGGATGCTGAGTTTTTTTTTTTTTTTTGTTTTTTTTTATTAAAAATATTTATTCTCTAAAATTAAAATCAAATACATAATAACACTAGACACTTTTAATAAGTGTATCAGCGTGAAAACATTTAAATATTAACCTGAGTCAAATGGAAATGAGAAAAAAGAACAATTTAAAAACATTTACTCAGTTAAATGAGAATAAAATTGATATCTACTTCCTTGTAAATGTCTATAGAAGACATTAGACTGATCATGATACAAGGGTTTAGTTTTAATTCTTTTTGTACATCTAAGCAAAAATGCTGGCATTAAGGAGACATATAATTTAATGTACATTGTGTTTTTTGAAGTTCAGATTTATAATGTTCAAAATTCTAAAATAATTATGATATAAATTTCTTTGAGTCTAAAATATAGTCACAAAATAAAACATTTTCTTAATTTCAAAACTATCTCAAATTTACTGCTCACCTGAGGATGTGACACTGTCTAGTCTCCAAATAGGAGAGCTCCCACTTGGGTGAACATCTTCGGGGACATCATAAGATGGACTCTCAGTTTTGGGGATATCAATCTGTCCCCTAGGGGGCAGGCCTGGGGGTGTAGGTGCTTGTCTATTGGGGGTACCTTTAGACATAGGGGGATCCTCATAAGTCTGTTCTGATGTGGCAAATAATGGATCAAAGTTCCGCTGAAGTGTACCACCATCAGTATATGCATATATAGACTCCTCCTCTCTCTGATTTAATTTTTCGGGAACTAATATTTTGGGTTCAGTTTCTAATCCATAGGTGGCTCTGTTACTAGCCAAATCAGTGAATGATGAGCGACTATAATCCGGACTTGGTGTTTCCCGAGCTCCATTTTGAAAATCGAATGAGTCACTATCCTTGACATTAAAGTCACTTTGTGGTGCATGGTATTTTTCCGGAAATGGTGGGATAGACGGAGGCGGCCTTCTCTCTGGAAATATTGAGCTATCGTCTGGGAAAACATCTGACTGGGGGGTAAATCCTGGGGGTAGAGGAGGAGGAGAAAAGTCTGGGGGAGGTTCATTGAAGGATTGTTGTCTATTAACCTCACTGAAGTATAAGTTAGAGGGCCTGTTTGACAGGGATTCATTGCCATTTGTATCTGCGCTAACACTGTCTTCAACAGACATAAGTTCTGGAAAAGGGTCAGTTTTACCAAAAGGAGCCAATGGGTCTTTGCTGCCTATTGATGCAGATTGTTCTGTTTGTGACCCAGGTTTCAAGGCATGAGGGGATTTATGACCTTTCATCATCCAAACTGCCTCATAAGGTGTTTCCTCTTCAGCAGCGACACTGTCAGCAACTAAGTTATCCTTACTCAGTGGAACACTAATTGAAAGTTTCTTTTCCCAATCATCCGAGCTTAACTTGTTCAGTGAATCAAACGTGGTTTTAAAATACAGCTTGTCATCATCGGATGTGTTACTATGAAGATCTGTCGATTTTGATGAACCAAATGCATCAGCTTGTGTATTATTATTTCCTTCTAGATGTAGCTCTTGTGAGTGTTTAGGGTCTAAAGGCAGTTTTATTTCTTGAAGACGTTTGAAGACTTCTTGACGATCAGGGGGTGAATGTGATGCCGATTTTTCTCCAATGTGCTGACTATTTTCTTTGAGTAAATTATTAATTGTGTTTTCAAGAAGAAGAGGTACTGGTTTAGACTTCAAATTATCATGTATGTTGCCATTATCTTTAAGGTCAGATGAGTTTTTAACCTCAGTAACCTCGAGTGGGTTTATAGTGTAATTATTTTGAACAGAAAGCACAGTTGGCAGGGATGTGTTTAAACCTATGGGATCATCATCAGTTGATTCTGTGACAGTGGCTCCACCTAGGTGCATCACAGTGGGTGAAGTTTTGGTTCGTGTCCTTGGGACAGGTTTTGGTTTTGGTTTAAGTTGATCTGAATCTGGGCTTGGGACTTTGGGAGTAGAAACAGCTTTGTTGGTTGTGTCTTTGTTATCTACATTAACAGGGCTAGATGGCTTCTTGGAAGTTCTAGGTTTGGGTACAGGGGCTTTTCCAATCTTAGGTTTCTGGGAACCAAGACCGAGCTTTGCATTAATATCCTCACGTTTTTTCATAGTTTTTTGAGGGAGTATAGGTGGCGCTATACCAAGGGTAGTGTTGGGGCCCGTATATTCCACATTTGCATAAATCTGACCTTGGTCATCTCCTGCAATGGCCCCTGTGGTTTTGGTGTCTTGTACATTTTCATATATTCCTTGGTCCTCCACTGTTGTGTCAAAATCCCCAGAGTATAATCCTTTATTTGGGGGTTCAAGAATATGGTCCAAATCTAACGATAGATCTGATAATTTGGGTAAATGCATTAAAAGTCTCTTTTTATGGCCGGGAAGTGTTATTCCAAGTTTATCGATGTCAACTTCTGTTAAATGTATACATTGTTTCAGCTCTGTTATTCCAGCATCTTTGAATAATGACAAGTAGCGTTCAAGTTGGAAAGATTTCAACCAGTCTTCTATTGTAGTTGCCATATTCTACCCTGATCTCTGGAATAATATGTTTATTTAATGAAATGAAAAAAATAAACAGAGTTTATTGAAAAACTGAGCAGATACCTCAGATATAATGTTAGATTTAAAAGGGTACTATAACATTATAGTCTATTATATATTCCTCTATGTACCCAAATCCAGGCTACTCACAAGAGCCAGAAGTGATTTTCTCCAATATTTTTTGTCACCATTTTGTATTATATGGGGAATTACCCTTTAATGTAGAATGTTATATTTACATGTAATCATATTTTTTTCTTCCTCGTTATAGTTTCTTATATACTTCCTCATTGTTGCATATGTAACATTGAAATACTTTTTTGACATATGGTAATATTTGATATTATGTACTGTTCATTTTTAACCCCATTTTTTATGCATTGATAGAATCGCTTCATTCAATAGACGGACGTTGCTTTAAAAGCTTCAGTTAAGAATTTGTCAAAATCTCATGAACATTTGATACCTTCATCAATATTTTGTTGTGATCATTTTTAATCAATACATATAGAGTAGCTTTTAAGGTCAACAATTTCTTAATTGTTGAAGTATGTTTTGCTAAAGTAATGTGTGATCATTATAAAATGTTAATAATTATGTATACATGGAGTTAAAGAGATGCTATGATAACTTTTAGTGGCAGTTTTTTAGTTATTCTATACTATTTATTTGAAACAGAGAATTTACCTTCAACCTAATGTAAAAGTAGTCTGTAAATGCCTAGTCTGACTATTCATAAAAAATCACAATGAAATTCTATGAGATATATGTCAAAATCTAGAATATCTTGAAACACTTTAGCATAATGAAAAATAGACTCAAGAGTATTGACTCTTTTATGTGGACACTTAATTCAATGGTCACAGGTAAGAGTTGACTCTCTTATCACAGTGTCCTGAGGCTGGGTAGACACAAACTAAGTTGTCTTGTTATGAGAATATTCAAACCACAGAGAACTATTATGTTTGATTTGTATAGTTTTTAGTGCTTTAGATATACAAATCATAAGTAAAATGTTCTCGTTGATTCAAATAAGTAAAAAATCATGCTAACTTTAAAGGGACATTGACAATGAAAAGGCTAAAATAGAGGAGCAGTTTGGAAACTATAAATAAAAGAGCAATCATGATAAGCCAGGTCTTCTAAATTATTTCCTTACAAGATGCTTGTTGCAAAAAGAGAAAGATATTTGAGTATGGGTGAAAAACATACAATTAACAGACAATATCAGCACATACAGAGTGTCTCAAAAAAATGTTACACTTACAAAAAGTTCAATATCTTTCATAATTTTGACTTTTCCCTAAAATGTACTTTGAATACCAAAAGACAAATCTTTCCCCAATAATTTGACACCATCAGATTCAAAATCTGTCCTTGATTGGCTCCACATGACAGCTTTTAGTGTCCCATGGTAAAATCTGACTTGCGCCAACTTCTAAGTGATTGGATGGACCAAATGACAAAAGACGAACAGTTTCTTGAACATTTAACTTTCTTCTGAGCAGAAGCTTGACCTTTAATTAAGTCATTCTGTAATTTTTCTATGTGTCTTACATATGGTCATTGGGTCTATCCATATAAACATGTGGTCCCCTCAACATGTTGAATGTGAAAGCAAATCTGAGATACCCTTGCCTATGCAAACATGCATTGTAATATCATACTGATTCCATCAATTATTTTTGTAGAAGTTCATTTAGGTCAGTTTGTGATGCTGTAAACTGCTTTCAGAGGCCCTTCAAAAAATCAAGAGTGTAAAGTGGGATGACTCTGGGGGCCAATCAATTTGGTAATTCAATGCTACTTTCTTATTTCCAAAGAGTTCTAGCAAATGATCTGCCACAGGCCTTTGCACCATCCTGTTGCCATCATACGTAACAAAATTGAACCTTTGACAATGAAATGTTGTATTTCTATCCAGGAAAGAAACAACTGGATCATTGATCATATCAAGATATCACTGTCCACAGCATTCACACCAAAAAAGAATTGCATGATCACCACATGTCCACCTACTGAGAAGTTGGGGCAAATCAGATTTCACATGCGTCTATAAAATCTGTCCTGTGCAGCCAATCATGGACGGATTTTGAATCTGATGGTGTGGATTTAATCGAGAAAGGCTGGTCTTTTAGTATCTAAGTATATTTTAGGGGAAGAGTCAAAATCATGAAAGATATTGAACTTTTTGTAAGTGTAACATTTTTTTTGAGACACACTGTAGAGATGATCTATAAATCAGAACAATGAGCAAAGTATCATTCAAGGATTTTTCAAGAATCTACAAAACATCCAGAAGGCCAATGAAAAGTTACATATAACTCAAAAGCCCTTAAAAGCATGTATCACAAAGACAAAAAATAAAATTGCAAATAATTATACAAAGGATATAACTTGAAAATACAGTATGCGTTGGTATGGACTTGGTATTGGTCTGTAAACCTTAGTAGAGTATCACTTCAAACTCAGTGAAGATATATCTAATTTTCTAAATGGGAGATGAGGTCAGATCACCTTGTTCAAAATAACTGATACCAGTATGTTGATTATTTAACAAACAGAACTGAGAGATAATGTGAAATAATAGCTTTAACTTATCCCCCTTCCTCATAAAATGTGTTTTACCAGCATGTTTTTGCAAAACTCTGAGACTGGTTTTTAATATAAATGAGGTAGCAAATACAAACACTATGAGGTAGCAAATATACTGTGAGGTGCTAAACATTATGAGGTGAGAAACATATTAAGGCGGCAAACATTGTGAGGTAGCAAACATTATGAGGTACCACACATTGTAAGGTTACAAACACTGAACAGTATACTGTGAAGTAGTGAATAATGTGAGGTACATGTACAACAAACTCTTAGATAGCTTAAGGGATGTGAGATGTGATAAATGACTAAAACACCAGGCACCTGTCAGTGAGTACTAAAGAAAGATAAAAAGACTACAAGGCTCCAGACTATACAAATTATGCTCAGTCCTACTACTACAGCATGACCCCATAAATGTACATGTCCTAGTGAAACACTATTCAATGATCCCCCAGCATTAAAGCAAGTTGGCGCAGCACCCACCTGAGATTTTAAAAATAGGCTTGCACCCACCAGAAAATTCATTTCACCCACTTGAAAATGAGAAAAATCATATTGTGACCAATTTTGGTCTGAATTGTGAAAATGCACCCACCCAATGAAAAACAGTGAAATTATGATACAGGCCAGTAACATTCATCAATCAATTAAAATTCCCTCTTTGTTCATAGTAAGATTAAAGAAGAAATAGTTCTTTGATCTTTAACTACGAGTCTTTTGTTAAGTCTCAGGATCCCAAATCTACTTCACTTACACAGGCAAGGTACTTATATGAGGGGGAAGTCCTAAGGGTAACAATAACAAGACAGCATGCTCTAGTTAGAATAAAGAACTGAAGGATCTACGCCCTGGACTCAGTGAAATATGGAATGACCATTCCTTGTAGGTTTCACTTTCCAAAATTTGCATGAGACATGCAGCATCAAGTGTCATTTTTAAGAAACAATGACTGATAGGAATAGTCATCCACAATGCAGTGAATCTTGGGTTTAAATTCTTTTCAAACATTGCAAAATATTTTCTACCATGTCACTTGAAAGATACAAAATCATGTAAAGAACATATTTTCAATAAAACATTTTGCAAGGGTCAAGTAGGCAAAGCATCAACTTCAATATGATGAGTCAAGTTGTCACCTTGACAATAACACAAGGAATGGCCTTAAAAGCAGTGTTTGGTTATATAATGCACTGCAGTTATATGAGGTGCTATGTTCGGATTGGTTGGAATTGGACACACTTATCTTGATTTCTATTATGGTAATTATTCAAGATCAGATGCGTAAAAAATGCCGACTTGGACAAAGGCTATGTTCAAGCTTCAATGGGTATTTTAAATCACCAACATAATGTAACTCTAGAATATCATTGAATGTAAGTACAACATCTACCTGATTTGCTCGGTGAGATCGGAGACTTGTTGTTAAATGAAAGAGTGAAGATGAAGCTCTCTTTTAAGATGTGAAGTCGAATGAATGTAAAGAGTAGAATTCCATTGACCACATTCTCAGTATTCTGATTGATTGCGGCAAGATCAAAGGATTATCTCTAACTCTGAAAGATGTAGATGAAACTCTCTTTTAGAGAAACAACATCAAACAATTAGAAACGGCATTAGCATTCTACCATAATCCAAAGGTAAAACACATATATGTACTGACACATGCTATTTTATAGCTGACAAGTGATCATGAAAATTAAACAAAAGTGGATATATATACAATGTCTTGAGTTAAAAGGTCAACAATTGTTTTAACCCAATTGTTTATCCTGTTAACAGAATAAAATCTCCTCTTTTATGCAGCTGAAGTAGCAAAACATTTGTATGTTTTAACAGCCATTTTCTAAAATATGATTTTGTATCGAAAACGATTATCTTGTCATGAAATAATGACTATTAACGTGTCATTAAATAATGACTATTAATATGCCTGATGCAGTATTATTCTATGCAGCACTACCGAGCAATAGTGGAGTACATGTACTGCACAGGGGCAAAAAGGAGAGCGCAAAATAAGCAAAAGTCAGTGTTTCCCTTGCAATTGTTATCTTCATACAAGAATATAAGAGAACTGAAATTATGATCAAATATAGAACTTACTTATTCAATATAAATTTAGAGCATAAATATTTATATTCTGAGTTACATCTACCAGTATCAGATATGGAATAATTGACAGTTAAGACTGGTACAAATGTCCAAATTAGTTAGATGTAAAAAGGTCCTTAAGGAATGACCAAGTTTTCTCAACATTATGAATAAATCAAAGCACTTTTCTAAGAAATATGTAATTTCACATTTTAGCTAGAGTTCAAAATGACATTTAAGCTTCTTCTAAAACATGTTCATATGATAATATTCGTGATGTATTTAAAATATCTGGTTACATTTTTGGAGAAGTGCCAGGTTTCAGAAGGCCATTGATTATTTGCAAATTAAATCATTAATTTCTATCAACTCATGGAATGGCTTTTAACCTTTCATCAGGTTAAATGAACCTTAAAATGCAGTTTAATTTTCCAAAATAAATGTATTTGTCAATTATTAGCCAGAGTTCAATGAATTAGTTGTGACATTCAACATTTCCTTATTTTCCTCTCCATCCCAATGTGATGGGTGATGGCTTCAAACCCACAGACCACAAACACAAGTGGCAAAGAGTTTTTAGCATTTTATATGTGAGACATACACTGTACATTGTTCCCTGAAGTGACAATTGATTAAAGATGTCAAAAGCAGGGCACGCCTTAAGCCAAATTTCCCTGCTGGTCATCATGACCAGCAGTATTAAAATTCGAGGTGGTCAACTGTAGAATCAGCTGGTCACAATGACCAGCAGCACTCCAAAACCTGCTGGTCATTGAGAGATTTAGCTGGTCAATGAAAATAAATCAGAAAAAACAAAAACATCACATCGTAGTAAAAATTATTTGATCGTAGTAAAACTCATTCATAGTCATCATGGCGCATGGATCTATATAATGAGTGATGAACTTATAACCTAAGCACTCATAACGAAACTTTTTCAACCGCCATTTTTAAAAATTGAACTGGAAATTATCATTTTGCGGCAATTTATGGCTTAAACATTTTTAAAAGGGACATAAATTATAGTTCTAGATGATCTAGGATTACTGAGTAATCTTACTAGCTATTCTACATACCTTCAGAACCCCGCTTGGCGCCAGGTTTGGCCGGAATGATTCAACCCGCAGATTTTGCAAATGCATCGAACTTGACCGGAAATAGAAATAGTTCCTGAATTAGGGTAAAATTAGCATTCGCTACTTTCCGTTACCTATATTTGGATATATTCGTATATTCACGTGATACTGATTAATTATGCATGCAGTGACGTAAGGGTTGATTAATTATGTATGCAGTGACGTAAGGGCTGATCTATTAATGACACTGACCCCTGTGGATCATCGTCGAACAGTTAACAAACGTAGGCTCCATTAATTAATATTAAATTAAATATAAGGGGCGTGTAAAGATGAATGAACAGCCACACTCCCAGCTAAGTTTAGGGGTCATGTCAAGGTATCGGACAAAATATCCAGGCCGTATTTCCAGTTGACTAGTATGTATCAGTCAGTATGTCCGACAGTTGTTAATTTTCAACCGGTCCCATCAATATTCTACCGGACAAGTCCGACAGTCCGACGCTTAAGGCGTGCCCTGGTCAAAAGGCCAGTTAGGTACAAAATAGAATCCATAGCTTTAACTGCTTGATAGCATATCAGCATCTCCAAAAGAATAAGAGCCTCAAAGGAAGATAAGAGCCCCCCTAAAAGATTAGACCCCCTGAAAAATGCAAATCCCCTCTTGGGGAACAGTGGCTATAGCCCTGTTACAATTATATTATTGCCTCAGAGCCAAAACATTAGGCTAAAATACTGAGAACAAGGCCCTTGTATGAGCATACAATGTACAGTACTTTCAACTAAAAATGCATCAAATGTGAACTTGAAAGTCATCTAATTTTCCTATACCCAAATCATTTTACCTTTCTAAATTCTCAGAGTCCTTATGGTTATTTTTCTTCCATGAAAGGTCAAGTTTTTTGCATGCAACTTTTATCAACTTTGATCTATCCTCTATAATATAATAGTATTAGAGAGAGGGAGGCAATGTCGTCCATCTAGGTAATTGTCGGCATGGGCATAGCGCCCGGTACACTGGGTATGCACAGGGGAAGAACCCCCAGACCCCCCTAAATGCTAGTTTTTTGCGTCACTCGACTCTTGTTCCCTTGGTGGCGTACTACATAGAAAACTAGCGCTAAGCCCATGGTCGTACAAATGATTGCATGCAATAAGTATCCAACAATTACCTACATACATGACATTGCCTCTCTGTACCCTAATTTGAACAGATAGTACTCACTGTGAACAGAAGCTGCGTGTGCGCATAAGTTAGGCCATATCAATAATATACAACGTCCATGGTTAGGACATTTGCTTATCTCTGGATCGTTGCATTTTTTGTGGAATGATTTGAGAGATGAGGATGAGATACTAATGATGTTTCTAAAACTTGGATTAAAACTAGCCTAGTGACAGTTGTTTTGCTGCGTAGTGTTTATTGAGAGTAAACAGTTTTGAAGAAAAACAAAAAAAACAAATGTTTCAAATGGTTCTAGAAAATATTTCTTCATAATTATAGGAGCAAGAAGACTGCCAAGAGCTCTTGATTTTACTTTAGTCATTCCATCCTTCTTTGTTCGAATGTATTATGTTTATTTACGTCTGTTCTGTGGTCAGAATCTATTTCCGGGTTCATTTTTCACAACAAAGTCAAGACGAAATAAGAAAACATTTGTAGTACAAAATCCTACACATTTCTCTATCAAATTTATCCAAAATGTGCTTAAGTATTGTAACAATCAATCGAACACTTTACTTTATCGATAGATTTAAAGATACTCACCATGTCAGACGAATAAAAACTTGTGAAAACTTTTTTCAAAACATTTTCTCCATCCGAAGATTGGTCGTAATGTAATGTCGCAAAAGGGAAACGGGCACCTGTTGCAACTCCTTTACGGTATAATTGCGGGAAAGTTGAAACGAAAGTGGAAAATTGTCATCTTGATTTCATGTATTTTTACCACTTTCAGACACTAATGTGAGTATTATTGTAACTCCTAAAGTTATATGGCAACATTTCTAATAGTCTGTTATGAAATCATTTATACTGGAAGGCCACACTTCGAAAATATTTGAGAGCCTAAGTTCCTGTCGATTTTTTTCAGTCCAGTCCAGGCATGATGATCAATTTCTTCCAGAAATTATGGGATTCATGATTTGGATATCAATTTGGTGTAAAATTTGGGTAACTCGCAACAAGTGCCTAATTTTAAGTCAGTCCATGGGCATGGTCAGTCAAATCTTACTGAACACTAGATCTAGTGGTTCGGTGCGTACAGTTGGGGACATAAATAAATGACAGGTGGATTTGCTGACGTGAGGATTTCCTTACTCGAGTCTCTAGCTTATAGCTAGACGAAACTTCATTGATTTCGTATGTACTGTGCTACACGCACCTACACGCACCTAAAACTCATTTTTAATAAATTTTATAAATATTTTTAAGAATATTAATCATATTTAGGATGAAGCGTTGCTTGTCTGGATTTAGATATTTCAAAATTTCATTTCGGAGTTTCAACACATGGTGAAATTTTCTCGCTGTAGCTAAAAATGGCTTCCGGTTCTGGACGTGAATAACATTTGAAATTATTCTCGCTTAAAGAAATCAAATATAACAATAGATTCAGACGGGGATGTGAGCTGGTGTTCTTCAAATCTATACATCAAGGTATATTTCATATTATTATGCCATATTTACTGTGCGTGTGACACAATGATTTACAATATTTATAATACTAAGGCAGCTCAATCTTCCTCCTCAAAGCCGGAATATAGAGAAGGCTTTGGACCGAAGTAAGGATTTCCCATGTTAAAAATAAGAGAATTTACAAGAGGCCATACATCAGTGGATGAGATTATACAAAATGTAAAATATACAAATTTTAAGGGATATATATCTAGACAATATTGGAAATTATGGGCTTTCAGACCACCATAATTAGGAAATGGTGATCGAAAATCGACCTGTCGTTTATTTTTGTCCCCAACTGTACATGTTATCTAGTTCCACCATCCTCTTCGTTTCTGGTCTTGGGGGATCCATCCATTGAAACACACAGTATTTTTCAAAAGTTGAAATTTAACGGTGTTAGGTACGCATATATTTCTTACCTCTATCGACTCTTAAGGCGACGCTATATTAAATAATAAGTACAAAAAATGACTGCCATATTTTTTTGATAAAGACACATGTTTTTAAAATCTGTTTACCTTGTATATGAATTGTGTATCTTGACTAATGAAACATGTCAAAGTTAACATCACACATAAACGCATTTTTCCAAACTATGAATTGGAGGTGCATGGATCCCCAAAGCTAGCATGAAGAGTGCGAAGTGAGGCTAATTTTTGAAAGTTTAAAGGAGTAGCCTTGCAAAAGTCACACATTTGCAAGAGTCTAAAATTTCCACAAATCATCTTACCTTTCCCAGGAACAACGAAGGAGCATGAAAATGTGCACTTTTTGCATTGTTAGAGTATAATAAACCTCAAACCATTGTAAATTCCAAATATTTCATGTCCACATTTTGTTTGCCGGAACTACTTCTAGACTTCCTGATTAATCCTCATGCAAGTTTTGTGACTACACCAAGTGGCATGGATTATCACTTGTATGTTTTATCTATTACAGTGTAATTATCATGATAGATACATGATAGAGGCTTTATGAATGATAAACAATGGAAACATGAATGAAGATAACTCTGGACTAAAAAATAGTTCCAGGAAACAAAATGGTGGACATGAAATATTTAGAATTCACAATGGTTTGAGCTTTATTATACTCTAACAATGCAAGAAGTACACATTTTCGTGCTCCTTCGTTGTTCCTTGGTAAGGTAAGATGATTTGTGGAAATTTTAGACTCTTGCAAATGTGTGACTGTTGCAAGGCTACTCCTTGAAACTTTCCAAAATTAGCCTCACTTCACACTCTTCATGCTAGCTTTGGGGATCCATGCACCTCCAATTCATAGTTTGGAAAAATGCGTTTATGTGTGATGTTAACTTTGACATGTTTCATTAGTCAAGATACACAATTCATATACAAGGTAAACAGATTTTAAAAACATGTGTCTTTATCAAAAAAATATGGCAGTCATTTTTTGTACTTTTTATTTAATATAGCGTCGCCTTAAGGTACAGCTGGAAAGTAACATTTTGGTAAAAAATTGCTATACCTGCACATGTTATTTTCTGGTACAAAATAAAATATGAAGGCATGTGTCAATTTCCTTGCTTTTTTCAGGAAAGTATCATTACATTGTCTTCTTTTAGAATATCTGGTAGGGGTTCAATGGAAACTCCAGGAAATTCTGATATTTCACACTTTCTATTTTTCCAAATTTTCTTTCAAAGTTTCCAGACAACATAGGAGCTACCATTGACCTGTTTCTAGATATTCTATAAGTAAACAGTGTAATGATACTTTCCTGAAAAAAGCAAGGAAATACACACACAACTTCATACTTAATTTTGTACCAGAAAATAACATGTGCAGGTATAGCAATTTTTTACCAAAATGTTACTTTCCAGCTGAACCTTAACACCAAAAGAAATGTTCTCCCCAAGCCAGAAAAGACGCGGCTGTCTCAAACTGCAGTTATATACACTTAAATCTTCGAGTCGACCAGTATAATTCAGCTTATTTCAAAATGTCTGCCATGAACATTTCATCCAGTGCCTACATTTCAATCTCTTTTTCCCGGGAACATTATCCTTCAAACTTGAGAAATTAGTTCGCTCAATTAATACGGAACCAAGTCAAACAACATTGATAAATCGTGAGTAACGATGTATTTGAATGATTTCACTGGAAATTGCTGTTGTATTTGACGTGTTGTTAGATAAAATGCAAGGACATTCCCTCAACTGATCGGTGGCAGCCAACGCTGAATGCTAAATCTTCATTTATATATTACTACGCGTCATGTAGGTTAAAAAAGTTCGAAAGTGACGTCAACAAATTCATGGATGACATTTTGGAAAACCGGTAGATTTGAAGTTTGAAGTGTATATTACTCAGCGATTTGAGACAGCCGCAACTTTTTTGCCTTTAGAAGAATGTTTCTCGTGATGTTAAGAATCGATAGAGGTAAGAAATATGTGCGTAGCTATCGCAGATAAATTTCAACTTTTGAAAAATAACATGCGCTTCAATACATCCCCCGCAAGACTATAGTCTTGGAACGAGATAACGTACATGTACATGTAGAATCTGAACACAAATTCTCGGTAGAAGTTCATATGGTGAAAATAACGAAATAATGAAATGTTACTCTGTGTCTACTTAGCAGTTTGTTCTATGTCATCCCTCCTGCAAGGTTACATTGTTGAACTCAGCCAAACACGACAATGAAGCACAGATAGTGGGAAGTCCTCCATCTAGGAGGTACATATTTTTTATTATCCCATCGAACGAAGTTCGGAGGGATATAGGGAACGCCTCCGTCCGTCCGTCCGTCCGTCCGTACGTACATCCGTACGTACATCCGTCCGTCCGTCCATCCGGGCAATTACTCAAATACCGTTGGCCCGATTTTATTCATATTTTGTACACATATACCCTATGAGAGTAGAAGTTCTGCTCGAAAGCCGATTTTCAAAATGGCCGCTCATTTAAAAATGGCGGCCATTTTAGTGCTGATTTTACAGTAATTTAGGTGCAATATGTAAAACTGTAATAGCAATATGTTTTAAATGTAAAAAAACTATATAGGACATTAATAAAGCTAGAAATGTAGATATTGAAAAAGCACATGGCAGCCATCTTGAAAAATGGCGGCCTTTACTCGTTATTTTACGAAAAGTAGTGGAGCGATTTTGTTCATATTTGGTATGTGAATACTATAAGCATGGCACACTGTCTAATGACACTTTTGGTAGAAGGCGGCCATTTTGAAAAATGGGGGACATTTTGAAAAATGGCCGCCATTTTAACTTATTTTACTAAAACTCGAAAAGTAGTGGAGCGATTTTGTTCATATTTGGTACGTGAATACGTATAAGAATGCCACACTGTCTAATGACACTTTTGGTAGAGGGCGGTTTTTTTTCAAAATGGCCGCCATTTTAACGTATTTTACTATAACTTGAAAAGTAGTGGAGCGATTTTGTTCATATTTGGTATGTGAATACTGTAAGCATGGCACACTGTCTAATGACACTTTTGGTAGAAGGCGGCCATTTTGAAAAATGGCAGACATTTTGAAAAATGGCTGCCATTTTAACTTATTTTACTATAACTCAAAAAGTAGTTGAGCGATTTTGTTCATATTTGGTACGTGAATACGTATAAGCATGGCACACTGTCTAATGACACTTTTGGTAGAAGGCGGCCATTTTGAAAAATGGCCGCCATTTTAACGTATTTTACTATAACTCGAAAAGTAGTAGAGCGATTTTGTTAATATTTGGTATGTGAATACTATAAGCATGGTACACTGTCTAATGAGACTTTTGGTAGAAGGCGGCCATTTTTCAAAATGGCCACCATTTTAACGTATTTTACTATAACTCGAAAAGTAGTAGAGCGATTTTGTTCATATTTGGTATGTGAATATTATAAGCATGGCACACTGTCTAATGACACTTTTGGTAGAAGGTGCCCCTTTTGAAAAATGTTCGGTGGGATTCGCTACGCTTTGGCGTTGCCGTTGCCGTTGTTCTGGTTTTGGATGGAAGCTTCGTAACCTGAGAAATAATATAAGTAATATATGGAGGACTTCCCATAACTGTGCAATGAAGGCAGTATTCTGAGGTTATAAAATCTAAATCGTAAAAATTTCCAATTTCTTCTTCTTCTGCAGCCCCTTGGAGACTTCCGGAATTGAACAAAGTAGCGAACGTTGCGATCTTTCAACTAGTTCGTTGTTTTTCACCACTTAATGTGTAGTGTTTTCATTTAGGAGGCGGTCTTATTTGAATGCATCATTTCAGGTCTTTAAGAATCAATAGATCAATAAGCAGACTAAAATACAATTTTTAGCAGTTTCTTTCATTGCGTATTGGGCCTGTTAGGCACGAAATACAATTTAGCTGTTTCGTTCGTTGCGTAATTGGGCCTTCTATAATCAGTAGCAAATGCTCGGAAAACATTTTCCAAAATATTTACTTCCGTTTTCCTTGACATGGTTGGGGGACACGTCATTAAGTCACATGATCGATACAGTAACTAGTCACATGATCAGACACGTATCACGTGTCAGTCACTTGAGCTAGCAAAATGGACGATCTAAATTTCCAAAAATTCTGCTAAGATCAACATCGACGTGTTGTTGCCTTCAGTGTCGTGTTTGGCTGCGTTCCACAATGTAACCTAGCAGGATGGATGACATAGAACAAACTGCTAAGTAGACACACGGTAACATCTCATTATTTCGTTATTTTCACCATATGAACTTCTACCGAGAATTTGTGTTCAGATTCTAGGCCCGGGAACATGTATAAAAAATTGAGTCGACATATGTACTTTTAATACATAAGTCGACTTGATTTTTTCATACATGGTGTGTTCAGAAGTCAAATTTAAAATGCTGTCATTAGAAAATATCGAAGGTGCATTTTTTCTGCCCCTTATCTCAGTTTAAAATATATATCTCACACACATATAGACCAAAAACATCTCAGGTTCTGGTCTTGCAGACGATTCATAAAACCTCATGCTATATTTCAAAAGTCAGTGCTATAGCTTTAAATTGTACATGTTGTATGCACATATTTCTTATTTCCCAATCTATTCTCTGTCTCTACAAATCTACAAAAATTTGCTTTTTTGTTACCCTTTGCATTCGTTTGACTTCACTTCTTAAAAGAGAGCTTCGTCTTCACTCTTTCAAACTAAAATAAACCTGTGAACTCACAGCGCCAATCAGTGTTCGTCGGCCAAATTTGACCGACGTTCTAGATATGGCCATTCCTTCTGACGTCATCGTTGAGCCCGGAATTGACCAATGACATGTGCATATTTAATTAGAACGCATTTGGCGTATGTTTATTTATGTGTAATTTATTACCCAAACTGTCACTGGTACCCGCCGTGGGGGCGGGGCTACTAAACTGCAATATGGTCTCTACTAGGCAGAGTGTAGTTTAACTAGACTCTGCATGCAGGGTACTTTTTTGTGCAAATTCAAATGTCAATTGCAAAATTCTGGCGCAAAAAGGAAGAAGAGCAAGAAATTTGAAGTTTCTTCTGAAGTTAGTGCATAAAATTGCAAAGTTGATGCAGTCCTTTAAGTTTTTATATCGCAAAATCAACAATGTTACTTGCAAAATGAAAGAAGTACAAATTTCTAAAGGAACAGTATTCTAAACACCATATATGTGCTTTAGAAGCCAAAAAAGTTACAGCTCTCTCAAATTGTAGATGTATTCACTTCAATCATTAAATCGGTATGTACATGTATGCATGCATAAGCAAATGTTTTTGGATGCATATTTTTTATAGGTACAAGTAAACCAGTTTAACACCAAAGGATAAAATAGGTTCCACAACCTATTATCAAGATGTCTAGTTTGAAAAAGATGAGCGTAATGGGTATCCGGAGCTTTGGGGCTGATGATACTCAGAAGCAGATCATTGAGTTCTTCTATCCTCTGACTCTAATCCTTGGTCCCAATGGAACTGGAAAAACTGTAAGCCTATATCTTTTGATATGTAATTAGGTCACCACCCAGTACGTTTTTGTGACCGGCATTCAGCCTTGAAGGTTGATGGTTGATGTCCACAGTTGGTGACATATTAATTGTTAGTCTCCAGCTTTTTTTGGTGGACATTGTTCAGCAGTTTGTGTTTGGCAGTAAATTTTCGGTGGTTGGTGTTCAACATTTGGTGGGTGGCATCTGTAACAAATGACAGGTGGTGACATTTTAATGTTAATGTCTTTTGCCAACATCAGTGACAGATTGCTATATGCACTTAAATTACTATTCTTGCTTTCGGACTCATTCTCAATTTTAACAGTTAGTTACTTTTTGTTATGCCTTGTTAACTTCTCATTTAAAATCTGATGTTTATCTCCTTAGTTCAATTTGGAACATTTCTTAGATTCAGTGCATCAGGGGGCCATTAACAGTAACTTAGTAAAGTTAAGAATTCGTAAAATCTATTGTTCTCTAACTGTGATGCCATTATATCCATGGTTACAACAATTGATTTATGAAACTTTACAAAGTTTCTGTTAATGTCCCCCACATTAATAAATTAGTTTAGAACTTTAGACTAACAACTTTTGAACTGGAAAGGATTATTTAAACTTTTGAAACATTCCAATGGTAAAAACTTTATTGGTTTCACGATAAATCATATAAATTGTGATTTATTGAAACATTTTGACTTTTCATTGCAGACTGTCATAGAGGCCCTCAAGTATATCACTACTGGTGAATTCCCTCCAGGGTCCAAGACTAATGGTGCATTTGTGCATGATCCCAAGGTAGGCACAGCTAGATTGTGAAAAAATCACTAAGAAAGGATAAAAAATGGTAAAAATAGAGCCAACGGTCCAGAAATTCCTGATCACCCCTCGTAAATCCATGTATTTTATACATATGTTTTTCATTTTCATACAGGAACTAACATGATATTTAATATACTTATTTGACGTAAGAATCATATTCAAATATGAATACCAAGTCCATGTTCCAAAGTAGAAACTGTGGCTACAAGATATTTCCTTTATCAAATGGTCATTTTGTTCATCTATTACCCCCTATCACACCAAACTAGTTCTTACATGTACCCGTTCTTGCCAGTCCTACGAAAATGTTGTAAAACGCGCTCAATCTGGCTGTGGTCGGGAAATATGTCTAAAATAATTAGCTACTTCGTTCATAAACAGTCTTTAATACGTCCATCTCATTCGCAGTTCGTTCAGATCGCACCACATCGGTGTGCAACGTCGTATAACATGTCCCTTAGACTAGAAGGTCATCATGACCTGATTACAGAACGGTATGGTCGCCATCGAATTTTGAATTGATTCAAAATTCTAAATCACATTCCCCATCCGGAAAGTCCATGAAGTTCGTAAACAGATAGAACATTGTAGCTACGTTCATTCAGTTCGCACACAATTTAAAACCGATTCGGCAACGTTTTGAAGAATGCAGTGACAACTGGTTCTGGTGTGATAGCTATTTTTGTTAATTTGTTCATAAGCAGTTTTTAATACGTTCATCTCGTCTTAATTCCGTCTGCAGTATGTTAGTATCAAGTTTAGATCGGGTTAAATTGTGCGTTTGTCTCGTCTACACAACGTATCCAAGCAATTCAATTATGTCCTTAATCAGTTTAAACCAGTTGACAATTAGTTGTACCTCGTTCTCAATACGTCCTAATATGTTACTGAATTATCCACCAAATTTTCATACGGTTGAACTATCGTTCTAAAATAGTAAACATTGTGTCCCTAATCCGTGCAGAACGCATTTATAATCCCCTATTTTCCTGATTTGGGTACTCATGGCCATAATTTACGCCTGACTACACTACGTCGTAATACATCCCTAATAGGATTGAAGTACTGTACGACACTTTCATTCGTAGTGTGTCCCCAGTGCATCCAGATCGTCTTAAGTACGTTGTCACTCATTCTGATAACAGAACGTGACGATCACCAGAAAATTTTGAGCATGCTGTAAGTTCTGGAGGGCCTACTCGTTCGAGTAGTTTCATGAAGTTTGTAAACAGATAACAAATGGTTCTTAGTGGGTTCTAAGTGGGTTCTTAGTACGTCAAATCCATTTGTACACAGTTTAAGCCCGTTTTCGAGAACGTAGTGAGAACTAGTTTGGTGTGATAGTAGGGTTACATAGCAATTTGTTTTGTTATACTGTAAAACCTGTATAAGTGGAGCACTCTTAGTTCTGTTTCATGTTGAAAGTGTGCCATTTATAGATGTTCAATCATGGACTTTCAAGAGATCTCTTGATGGTTCCATTAACATTTAACCAATATGGGTTATGTGTCATTAAAAAGTCGTCATCTTATCTTACAATGGTATTCCAATTGACAGGTTTTACTGTATATGGGTGTCATATTATTGTAGATAGCAGGAGAGAGTATGGTAAGAGCACAGATTCGCCTTGCATTCCAAGATGTCATGGGTCAGGCGGTTGTATGTCAGAGATCAATTGAAGCAACACAAAAGGTACTTTGTACATATATGTCAGGGTTGTAGCCAGCAATTGTTAAGGGATGTGCGATTTTTTGGTTTACATCACTACAAGTGAAGCGAGACCCAAAAAGGGGAGTGCATTCTAAGCATTTCAAACTATAATTTGTTTGTTTTTCAACAAATTTCATAGGGACAAATATTTTAAGATTGAGAAAACATCTTTTTGCAAAGGTTCCTTGCTAGATCTAATTCTTCCCTTATGGATGCAGTACCGGGTCGGTTTTCACGTCTGTTTGCGCAGGTTTGACTTCCAGTTTGAGAAAGCTAGCTCCCAAGAACGTCATTTTCGCATTTAGTCTTATTCAAAAATTATAGTTTATTTCGATAATGGTGTTTCCAGAAAAGAATTAAATTGCAAACATTTTATCAAGCATATTTTATCCCTTTCACTTTTATGGGAAAACTTGTTATTGAGTCGCAATTAGTGGATACGAAAACCAGGGTTCGAAAGGTGCCAGCTCTATTGAAAACTCAAAAAAGTAAAAAGATTCATTTTGGGTGGGTAAAATAATTTTTTTATTTTGTAATTACCAGACGGTCAATCCTCTTCATATTGCACTTGGATGATAATAACATCATAGTGATACATTGTAAAAAATATGAGCAAAATCTAATGTCTGGAACTTTTTCTACGCTGACCTGGTACTGCATCCTTAAGGTATTACCAACAACAGTTATTTGGTCATTTGATATTTCTTTCTCAGGCGAAGTCTGTTTCAACTAAGACATTAGATGGGACTATCACTAGAAAGGGGGCCGATGGTGAGAAAAACTCCATCTCAAGTCGCTGTACAGAGATCAACTCTGAGATGATTACATTGCTGGGGGTCTCTAAGTCTGTATTGGAGAATGTCATCTTTTGTCACCAAGAAGAGTCCAACTGGTAATAAGTTGCATACCAAAATTATCATTCATTTTTCATCATTCCGTGTCCCGAGTATGGAAAACATAGTGCCTTACTTTAAATGAATGTATTTATATTGGTAAAAAATTACAGCTGTAATTTATGTTCAAAATTATGATTCAGTGCTTATTATCCCATCGAACGAAGTTGGGAGGGATATAGGGAACGCCTCCGTCTGTACGTCCGTCCGTCTGTCCGTCCGTCCAGGCAATAACTCAAATACCTTTGGCCAGATTTTGTTCATACTTTGTACACATATACCCAATGGGGGTAGAAGTTCTGCTTAAAACCAATTTTCAAAATGGCTGCTCATTTTAAAATGGCGGCCATTTTAGTGCCGATTTTACAGTGAATACTTTAAGCATGTCCCCTCCCCCCTTTCACTCCCCCTTGCCCCCTTTCCATCCCCATTTGCCCCCTTTCACTCCCATTTACATCCCCTTTTGCCCACTTTCCCTCCCCCTTTGCCCCCTTTCCCTCCCCCTTTGCCCCCTTTCCCTCCCCTATGCCCCCTTTCCCTCCCCTATGCCCCCTTTCCCTCCCCTTTGCCCCCTTTCTCTCCCCTTTGCCCCCTTTCCATCCCCATTTGCCCCCTTTCCCTCCCTTTTGCCCCCTTCCCATCCCCATTTGCCCCCTTTGCCTCCCCATTTGCCCCCTTTCCCTCCCCATTTGCCCCCTTTCTCCCCCTTTGCCCCCCTTTCCCTCCCCTTTTGCCCCTTTCTCTCCCCTTTGCCCCCTTTCCATCCCAATTTGCCCCCTTTCCCTCCCCTTTTCCCTCCCCCCTTTTCCCTCCCCTTTTCCCTCCCCCCTTTTCCCTCCCCCCTTTTCCCTCCCCCTTTTCCCTCCCCCCTTTTCCTCCCCCTTTTCCCTCCCCCCTTTCCCTCCCCCTTTCCCTCCCCCTTTCCCTCCCCCTTTCCCTCCCCCTTTCCCTCCCCCTTTCCCTCCCCCCTTTCCCTCCCCCTTTCCCTCCCCCCTTTCCCTCCCCCCTTCCCTCCCCCCTTTCCCTCCCCCTTTCCCTCCCCCTTTCCCTCCCCCTTTCCCTCCCCCCTTTCCCTCCCCCCTTTCCCTCCCCCCTTTCCCTCCCCCCTTTCCCTCCCCACCTCCCCCTATCCCCTCCCCCTATAAAGGGAGACAGGGGGAGGGAGACAGGGGGAGGGAGACAGGGGAGAACTCAACCCTCCCCCTGTCCCTCCCCCTTTCCCTGCCATGGGAAGATGGTGACTTACAGGGTTTGGGTCATTGGCTTCAGGAGTAATTTTGGAGAGCTGTTCATATAGGTCACATCCTTCCTTGGACAACTCTCCCAAACTACCTCTTTACCCAATTTGACCCTCCCTGTAAATCACCTTCCCCAATGGACAAAATTTTCCCATGGACACCCAAATTCCAGACATGGGAACACGAGCTATGAATGGACCCTAGTCAAGCTACAGAACACCTCATGAAACAATCATTGGTGTACTGAGCTATGACTAGACCCCAGTCAAGCTACAGAACACCTCATAAAACAATCATTGGTGTACTAAGCTATGACTAGATTCCAGTCAAGCTACGGAACACCTCATAAAACAATCATTGGTGTTCTGAGCTGCTCTGTTCCCATCACCCTCCCCAGTGGACACCCCAATCCCAGACACGAGCAGTGTCAGGTCATAAGACAAGGTTGGTTTTACCCAGCCACTGTCAGTGATCTGACATATCAACCATGTCTAAGCTCTGCCCAGCCTGACACAAGCTCTGACTAGACCCTAGTCGAGCTCCAGCACACCTCATAAAACAATCATTGGTATACTGAGTTGTAGGCTTCACATTGGACTGCTTGGAGACAAGCTAAATTCAAAATTCAGAAGTAATGGTTTTAACTTTTTAACTTTAAGATATCTTTTTCAGCTTTTTAGTTAGAAGCAGTGAAAAATATAATCATTAAAAAACACAAATTTTAACATTGCAATTTCTGAATGTGATGAATCACTTTATTGGTTAAAATGTAATATGATTGATTTAATAATATCATTTATTGCTTGCTTGGTCATTCAATCTGGGTGATTTAGCAGGGTACATGTTTCTTGTATCAATATGAAGAGGTGAAGAATTACACTAATAAACTTGTTCTTAAATTGGCTAATTTCGTGCTTTAAATGAAAGTGTCAAAAATATCCAATATCTGAGTGTACAAATTGGTTGGAACTTTTCTGTATTAAATATCTAAAAGGAACATTTGCATTGAAAATCTTCAGTCCTGAACAGTAAACAAACTAAAAGGTAGGAACTGTACTGTAATTTTTCACTATTGCAAGTTAGAATGATTCAGATTTAGATTAATGTCATTGATATGTTACAAATTGTGTATTTAGACTTTGCTGCAAGAGAATTCATGGCTGATTATGTGCCTTTATTATCCCATAGAACCAAGTTCGGAGGGATATAGGGAATTGCACACTGTCTCATGACACTTCGCGTAGTAGGCGGTCATTTTAAAAAATGGCTGTCTTTTTTACTTAACTCAATATATTGGAGCGATTTTGCTCATATTTGATATGTGAATACTTTAAGCATGGCACATTGTCTAATAAAACTTCAGCCTTTTTGAAAATGGCCACCATTTTTATGTGTGTTTTTAGCTCACATGGTGAGCTTTTGCAATCACTCACTTGTCCGTCTGTCTGTCTGTCTGTCTGTCTGTCTGTCTGTCTGTCTGTCTGTCTGTCTGTCTGTCTGTCTGTCTGTCTGTCTGTCTGTCTGTCTGTCTGTCTGTCTGTCTGTCTGTCCATCCGTCAACAATAGTGGCACTTTTTAAAACCTCTGTCAATAGGATCCCCGTTTTAAGTTATTTCTGTTCAACATCAATACAGAAAACTCCCGTATGACTCCTGGTTCAAAAGCTCGCCTATTTTCTAAATGGCCGCCATTTTTGTCTCGCGAAATTCACTTTTGACCCATTTCCTAGCTTTACAAATAATTCCAAGTGTCCCACATTGTAAAAATCCATGTCAATGTAAAGAGTAGTTGTATGAAATAATTTTGTTACAAAAAATCAGCAAAAAATGATATCCATTTTTTTATTTTCAGCCATTTTAGTTATTATTGATTTAACAATCTGTCTCGCGGAATCCACCTTTGAACCATTTGCCTAAACCTCTGTTGATAGGATTCTCGTTTTAAGTTATTTTTGTTCAACATCAATACAGAAAACTCCCTTCTAACTCCTGGTTCAAAAGCTTGCCTATTTCAAGATGGCCGCCATTATTGTCTCACGAAATTCATTTTTGACCCATTTCCTAGCTTTACAAATAATGTCAGGTGTCCTGCATTGTTAAAATCCATGTCAATGTGAAGAGTAGTTATATCAAATAATTTTGTTACAAAAAATCAGCAAATAATTATATCTGTTTTTTATTTTCAGTCATTTTAGTTAACATTGATTTTTTTTTTTTTTTTAGGTTATTGTTATTTATTTCTATAATATTCAACATAATTATTTACATAGATTGTGAGGGGCCGAGGCTACATAGCATTATTGGCCCCCCTCTAGAAAGTTAAAAACATATAATAAATCACTGGAGTGTGTAGGATTGCAACGGACAGACGGTCGTCCACCAGGTCTTGCCCATGATGATGTATATGAGTGTTAATGAGAGATGATGTGAAATGAGGAGGATGGTCATTCTAAGATGTTATCGATATAATTTGAAGATAGTTGAAGGCATTTTGTATTCAGTTCACTATTTAAATTTTCATCTCCATAAAGTATGAATTTTAACATTGATTTGTCCATCTGACTCGCAAAATCCACTTTTCCGTCAACAATAGTGGCACGTTTTAAAACCTCTGTCGATAGGATTCCCGTTTTAAGTTATTTCTGTTCAACATCAATACAAAAAACTCCCCTATGACTCCTGGTTCAAAAGCTCACCTATTTTCAAAATGGCCGCCATTTTTGTCTCGCGAAATTCACTTTTGACCCATTTCCTAGCTTTACAAATAATTTCAGGTGTCCTGCATTGTAAAAAGCCATGTCTTTGTAAAGAGTAGTTGTATGAAATAATTTTGTTACAAAAAATCGGCAAAAAATTCAGTTTTTTTTTATTTTCACTTTTGAGCGACGCCATGTGAGCCCAGTACCCACGGTACTAATTTCTTTTTTATTATAACTCAAATGTTATGTGAATACTATATCTAGTAAGGATTGCATACTGTCTTATGACATTATGAGTAGAAAGCGGCCATTTTGAAAAATAGCCAGCATTGGCGATTTTTTAAGAATTTTATATGTGGCTTCTTAAAAGCATATTACCTCTTCTGATGACAACTTGGCTAGTGATCAACCATTTTGAAAATAGTGGCCTTTCTTATGGGTGTTATTTTATGATATTTGCTATATTTCATATGTAAAAATGCCAGCCATTCGATGGGATTCGCTACGCTTTGGCGTTGCCGTTGTTCTGGTTATTTTTTCTTGAGTGTGACAATATATTTTCCATAGCAATCTTAAAGCCAGGACAAAAAATGTTATTTCTGATTTCAGGGGTTTTAAATTAATGATCAGTCAATCACGGAATGTTACACACTCATATGCCTGCCTGTACATGTGGTCATTTTTGATATTTTGTAAAAAGTACATGTATCATACATAATGAATATATATAAAATGTAATATAACATTTTTCTTAATATAGGCCTTTGTCAGAGGGGAAGGCTCTGAAACAAAAGTTTGATGACATCTTTGCTTCCTCGCGCTATGTGAAAGCTCTTGAGTCACTAATGAAGACGAAAAAAGAGTTAGCAGTGAATGTGAAAGAGTACAAGATTGAGATACAGTTTTTGAAGGCCAACAAAGATATGGCAGAGAAGGTATTTCAGTCATTTCATTAGGGTTACACCTAGGGAGGGTTTTGATACTGTATAACATGAAATATTGCCGTGGATATAAAGTTGCCGATTGCCGAATGTAAAACAGAAACGGCAACATAAAATTCGGAAATATAATTGAGTAATTGAAGATCGATCTTAGTGGGCGATAATATGGTAGTTGTCAACTTATTGTAATCTTCTCACGAGTATCAACTTACAATACTTTAACAAAACTCATAAATAAATTGCGATAGATTTGAAGTTTTTTTAATAATAAAAATGTTGCAGTAAAATGTCTATAAAATATTAAATGGATTGTCATGTTAAAAAGTTAAAAAGTAAGAAGATATAATCGTATCCAAGTGCTTTGGAAATCCCAGTATTAAAAGTTTTAATCCCTGTATTAAAAGTTTTTAATCTCGGTATTAATTCTGAGTCTATCAAACACGGGAATTACTCAAACTATCACTCATAATCTATATCATTATGGATGTCAGGTTTTCTGAGTCGATCAAATGGAGGTGATTAAAATTGTAGATCAGTTGTAAATCAAAATTATTTAAGGGGTGTCAGGTCGGCAATATTTTATTTGACTTTACATTAGGGGTGTCAGGTCGGCAAACTTTTATTCGGCAATAACAATTTTAATCCAATTCGGAAAATAAAGCACCCGGATTTAATACATGTTATACAGTATTGGATTGATATTTAGAAAACAAGTCACATTTTAAAAGATGTGTTGACGTGGTTTTTTTTTAAAATGGGTTCTTGTAGAGTTGGATTGATGTTTATAATATTCTAATAACTTTATTTCAAAGATATTCTACTGAAATCATTGGATTTATGATCAGAATATAGTCATGGTTAAAGATGTCACACTGTATAATAGATCATTTGCCATACCTGCCATACCTGACCTTTTCTAGAAAATATAAGTCTGACATTCCATATTTTGAAAAGAATGCTTCCAAAAGACTTCAATCTCCAGCCTGTCATATAAGACTAAAGTTATAGTATCCCTTTAAATGTGATGTGATGTCATAGCCTCATTCGGAATTCAATAAATGACTAATCAAGTAGAAACTGTATCTGTTTATGCTGTCTTACAACTCGGTCCTTATTGTCTCATTACACAGCCCCTTAACTAGAATAGATGAATAAATACACAAAAGTATGGAATCTCTCTCTTTGATGATCTACAGACTGAGATGATTAGTACCCCTTTAACTTTGTAGATCAATGATGAGTTAAAGGAGTTAGAAACAAAACAGAAGAGAGCTGAAGACTCCATTAAAGGCATTGATGAGAAATTGGCACCAATCAATGAGAGACTGGAACAATACCACAAACAGTTTAGAGAGATATATGCAGTACAAACAGAAATAAGTAAGAGACAGATTATTTACGCTCCCCAAATACTTACTACAATGTAGATCGATGCACAACTGGAGAAAATATCTTGCTGCCTGCTAGCTAGTGTTGTCGCGATTAATCGATACATCGCGATATACATCGCCAAAGCTGATTCTGGCGATGCATCGATGTCTGAAACAAAACATCGATGTTTTTAAAAAAAATTAATTTGCTAAAAATCACCATTTCTTATCTTAATTTGACGCAAATCGCTTACCTTTCTCATGTCTTATTTCATTTTCCAATGTTTTCTGATATTCTTTCGCTTTTAAACTGTTTTAGCTAGTCGAAATGAACCATTAATCTAAAAAAATTACTTTACTTTCATTTCACCGTTACTAGAAGTTCCCGGATGTACCAGCGTACTCTTATTAATTTGTTCTGTTCGGTATTTTAGTGCATTAGCGTTCGGTATTTCAGTGCACTTTTCTCTGACTTTTTCTCGATGTACATCGCGATGTGCATCGATGTTTACTACTGAAACTTGCCGATGCATCGATGTACGATTATGGCACATCGCGACAACACTACTGCTAGCTGCTATTGAATGCTTTAATAAAATAGAAAACATGAAATCATACAATAATTTTATAAGTTGTTTTTTTCAGCAAAGAAAGAGAGCACTAAGAAAGAAATGCTGAAGAATGTTCAAAGTCTACGTGACAACTTAGTGGAGGAATTTCCAGGTAAAATCCTTATTTGATATGTCATTTATGGATTAGTAAATACCTGTACTGACTGGTGAATCAGAATGAAAGATTTTTCTAAACAGTTTTTCTAAATAAAGATTTCACATAGATTTTGCCTTTAGTTGAGAATCAAAAAAGTATTTTCTACGATTTACATATATACGAGGGTTGATCATAAAGTTCTCATAATATCTCTCTAATTTCTTTATTCTTCAATATTTTCCTATGAAATTTTCACAGAATGTGCAGCATGGAATGTTTTATTAATCCAGCAAACAATATTTAGAATAACAGAAATATTAAATAATAAATGGTTGCCATAGTAACTAGAAATCAAGGCACCCGGGGCAAATAAAAAACTAGCTAGAATAGCCCCCATTTACCATGTTTAAATACATAATAAGTTGTCAAATAAGCTATCAAGCACATTAAATTGTCAAATAATATGGGCTATTGACTGTTGTGAACTATTATAATGGTCATGTGAATTGTGTGATCTCATAATGGATGATTGTTATGCTTCATTAGAAGTGACTGTTACACCCCATGACTGTTTTTTCAAATATCCCCAGGAAAATTGATTTTGCCCCTTTAGTTCATTTTTAACAAGTACAGACCACACACAGGGTGTAATTTTGTTAATATCTGAGCAATATATTTGTTTTGGATCATGTTTAGTCTGACCAAAGAATCTTACAAACTTAACATAACATTTTATCAGTATGAATTTTATTTTTCTAAAGATCTCTGCATCTATTGCATTCTCTTACGCAGTCATTTCTGATCATTAGCTTTGAGTGTCAGACTCTGGTATCACATCTAATGAAGCATGAAAGCATCCCCTATGACATCACACAATTTACACGATCGATTTATTTAATTTTTAATGCACTTTACAACATATTCAAGATAACATTTTAACGTGTTTGGTAATTCATGAGAGTTTATAATGTATGTAAACATGGTTAATTAAGCTCATTCTGTCAATTATTTTTATTTGCCCCAGGTGCCTTGATTTCACGTTACTATGGCAACCATTTCTTATTTAATAATTCTGTTAAACTAAATATTTTTTGCTGAATTAATAAGATATTTTATGCTGCACATTCTGTAAAAATTTCATTAGAATATATTGAAAAATAAAGAAATTAGAGAGATATTATGAGAACTTTATGATCAACCCTCGTACTTTGCAAGCACACTGACTGAACACCTCGAGTGAGTTTATCCCAACAACCAATTTTTGGGAGTAATTCTATTCACATTCAATTTGTTTCACATATTTGTATTTGTGATTGCATAGGATCAACTGAGGAATTGAAGAGAAGATTGCAAGACTTTGAGAAACAAGGGGCAAAGAAAGAGAAGGAATTAACACAGGTAATATCTCTAAAAATGAAATGTAAAATAATTTTCCAAATATATTTTAATTTACAATTTTGCTGGATATTGCCATTGTGACAATTATGGGATTGTGTCTAAATGTTAACAGTCATTAGTGAAGAAATTAAATGTTGTTTTTCTTAAAATTTTCAGCAACATACAATCAACATTTTCAAACTTTGTTGTATGGGGTTAAACCATAGTTAAATGAAATTGACTTTTCTTAATGATCTCTAATGAGGTTTAACTCTACATGTATCTTTCTACAGTGCCAACAAGAAGAGGAGCAACTCACTATTAAACTTGAAAAGAACAATAAAAGGAAACAGAAATACCTGATTGATCAAGGTCGACTGAAACAGGAAGAGGAGGTATTTTTGAATTTCATTCTTACAATGAATGATACAACAAAGTCACTCGGATAAATAGTCACCCGGGCGTGGAAATGACAAAATACATATGAATATGTCTCTTACAATGTTTTGATTGAGTGATTTCTCACTTTTTTGGAAGTCCCTGCCTTCAAGTTCAAGCTATGAACAATGACGTTTAATGTTCAGCCTATATTACAGTATATACACCCCGGTCAAACCACTTAGTAATCACCATAGAGCCGATAATTTTATAAACCAGTACTGCTATAAATAAATAGTAGTACATGTATTTCATATTGTTACTTTGCAGACTTATAGACAGAATATCAGAAGCAGAGATGCAAGAGTGACTGCCTTTGCCCAGGAATACAACCTTCAAGGTACCTGGAATTTTATATATACAAATAAGATTCATCATTTTTAAAGCTTCATGATTCATCCCTAAGTTTCAATTTGGTTGACAGCAACATCTTTTTGGTATATTATTCACAGAAATAATCATGATACAAAGTATAATTGCTTTCCTTGATATCGTGATCTCTCAATTCTAGGCTATAACAATGATGCATACATGTACACACAATCGCTGTCTACCTTGATCACTATCTATTCTAGGCTATGATGACAGTGCTGAGTACACACAAGCTCAGATCAAACAGTACTCAGAAGACCTCAGGAGTCTCCTTAGAGACATTCAAAAGAATGAAGCTGAAGTTAAGGTACTTCCAAATTATTTTAACAGTCTTTTTATAGGTCATAGTGTGAAAAACAAATGGTAAACTAACATTGATATGTCACACCAATAAACCACTGTGATCAGAAATAAATTCAACCTCTGCTGTTATTACAACTAACAGTTTCATAATTCCTCGGTTCAGTCGGTTCACGGTTTTATTATTTCGGTTCACACTTTAATGAAAAAAAGGCGATGATTAATTTATTTATTTACTGCATAACTGTACTATTGCAGTATATACAGTGTATATACAATAGGTATAAGTAAGCAGAGAAACACCCATAAGTCATGTGCTATTGTGTGGCATAAGAGTATTGAATATCTCGTACATGCAACTGTACATAATCTCCATGATGATTTCTAACAGATAGTGAGATCACTGTCCATTAAACATTGTAAACCTGCTTCTAGGCAAAGTATGAGAGTAAAGAAGATGACGTCCAGAAGGAACTTGATAAGACCAAACACCAAAGGGCAACACTTGAAGGCAGCATCAAGATCAAAAAGGACATGCTGGTAAGCAAACGATTCACTTGAGCAGTCATGATTTTAATCATGAAGTAATTTTGCTCAATATCATGTGTTTTGGAGGAGTTCATTGTATATTCAGCTTCTTGGAAAAGCCAGTTTTTAGTATTCTCAAGGATAGACTTCCAAGGCTTAAGGTCACGGGTTCAAGTCAAAGTCGCGTGTCATATCTGCCAAGATCAATTCTAAGATCAAGGTTTAATTTTTCAAGACTCATTCATGTTCCGGGGTCATTGTTAAAGATTGTAATAGGGCTAGATTCATTATAAGAAAATCAAAGATTGGATCTCTATGTTTAGGTTCAAATGCAAGTTAACAAGGGTCAAGGGCTAATGTCAATAGGCAGGGTCAAAGCTAACATAAGCTTATATAGCATCAGTCAATACAATAGAATTCAAAGTATTACTTGTATAAATGCCAAATATTCATTTTTATAGGAGAAAAATGTTCGGGAAATAAAACAGGTGAATCGTAAACTACAGGAGGTTGATGAATCAGCTGACAGACTTGATGATATCACCAGAGAACTACAGCAAACAGTAAGTCCAGTTTTATATCTAACTACTCCACAGGATTTTTTCTGGGCGCAAACTTTTCATTTTCAAAATTCAGACCACATTTGGTCGAAATATGCCTATTTTTCATGATTTTTCTAATTTTTAAGTGGGTGCAAATGGGTTTTCAGGTAGGTGCAAGCCTGTTTTTAAAATCTAAGGTGGGTGCATCACCCACTTGCTTTAATGCGGGGGAGATCACTGTACTATTTGTAAAACAAGCCCTTGAAATCCTCATTTTAATTTCTAAAATGAAAAAAATTTAGGCTTGGATTTGTGTCTCAATCATTTCTGCATCTTCAGACCACCCTGCATTAAGCATGAATTATTTTACATTAACATCAACATTTAACTTCACTTATCTAGGAACGCGAGATTGCTCAAGCAGAAAGAGCTGTGGATTTGGTTTCTCTAAAACAGGAGATTTCAAACCTCACAAAGCAGAAAAAGGAACTTGATGAACAGTTCAATAATCTAAGGTAATTGAAACATTAAACACATGGAATGTACATTGAAAGATAAAGGTCATGTCATTGCATTATACCTTAATAACCTTATCAACAATTAATTAATGAATTGAATCTAGTATGTATGCATCAATGCAATATCTAGATAGAAGAAGATTATATTATTATGACACCGCCACAAATGGTGACATATTGTTATAGTCTACTTTTTCGTTGACAGTGGTTGGTGTTCAATGCCTGTGACACAGCATATGTAACAAATGGCAGGTTGTGACATTTTGTTAATGTTAATGCCCTCTATTAGATATGCAGGTTCCAATGAATTTTGTCTAGGATCAGTGGACTGGTGAACACAGACATTTTTCAATGAGACCAGTTGTGTCCATTATATTGTATGTAGTCCAAGGTCCCTTTGCAACGTCCCCCACCCCTATCTTAAGTCATTACTTGGAGAACAGAAAGTGGATCCAGCATGTATTTTCAGGGCTGAAATATTAGTTGCATGTAGAGAATGTGTAAGAGAATGCTTGCAGTGCATCGTTATACTTGCATTAATAAAGCACTGACATCAGTAATGAGTGGCAAAATACAAAATATTAGAAACTAACTTCGGCTTTGAAATACAAAATAAGACATTAACATGTGCCTTTAAATACAAAATAATACACTTAAACATCTGCCTTTCAGTGCTGAAATGAGTCGCATGCACATGGAGTCGAAGGCAAGAACAGAGGTGGAGATGTTGAAGAAAGAGAAAAAGACAGAGGAAGATAGCATAAAAAGACTGAAGGTTAAACACTACTGCTATATTCATTAGATAAATCATAGAATTTATTTGTAGACTTTAGAAACTCTGAGAATAATTCGAGTATATTTTAGTAAAAGAATGAACAAATGGACAGATAAATGAACTATTGTTTCAAAAAAGTTGGTTTGCTACCCTATTGCTTGATGTCAGAACTATGTGGGGATGTTTCATTTTCTCTATGATAGTGCACAGTTCTCTTTAGTATTGCATAGCAGTGTTAAATTGGCAGTATTTGATTTATAGACCAATTATCAGATAATCTTCTTTAAGATACGCCAAATGAAATACAGGACTCGTATCATGGGAATAAAGTATCATAATCAGTCTTTCTTTATATTTTAAAGTTGACAATTATCCTATATATGTATTGTAAAAAAATATTTTTTATTATTTGAAGGCCAAACATGATGACTCCTTCAAACATCTACTGACTGGGACACCCAACTTACAAACCATTAAGAGAACCCTGGAACAGAAAATAAAGTAAGTAAATCATAGTGGGCCTTGTATGTGAGACTTGTGTTTTCAGACTTATGTACATGTATTATAGGTCATACACTGGTAGTGTATTGTAAGACTTCAGGCCCTTAGCCAGGGGTTTCAAGCGACCCCCCCCCCTTGCCAAATATTCTTTCAAATTCAAGTTTTCACCATTCTGAGCCCCTTTCAAGTGATTTTTGCCATTTTGGCCAAAATTGTTGAATGTAAACCAGGAATTTTTTAAAAAGTGACTACTCCCCCTGTATAGATTCAAAATTAATGAGTATAATCAGCTTAGGTTAGCTACAGCACATTTAAAATGCCAACTGATCATAATAATTTGATTACAGCCAAAATGGAAGAGATGTGAGAGACACTAGGGCCAAGTTAGAGAAGGCAAACAAACAATTGAATATCAAGGAAACTCAGAGGAAATACACAAAGGATGAGTTGAACAAGAAGAAGGTTGAACTCAATGGTAAGATCATTGATATATAAAAAAAGCAGATCTATTTATTCAGCAGAACATATTTTGTGGGTTCTGTTTTTGGGCCTTCCTGTACCTATTTAATCAACCCTGAAATGAAACTGTTTACCCCCCACACCCCCCTTGCATCAACCATTCAGAAATCATAATCATGTACTGTATACTTGATGTATTTACATGTTGCAGGCCACCAGGAGAAGATGTACGAAGTAGGAGGGAGCGGGAAATTTGAAGAGTGCCTGCAGAATATTGAAGCACGGATTGACAAGGCCCAAGAGTAAGTTAAACTTATGTTTATGTTATGTAACTCTATAGACTTCTTGAGCTACAATACACGCTTAGTCAGTGCATGTATACGGAGTGTCAATAATCTAGGAGACACCTGCTCCACAGATATACATAATCTAATTACATAAACTGTTCACTTGGGGAATTGATATGTGATGTTTAATGATAGATGATAACTAAGGGTACTGAGAGAGGACGTAGCATATCGTTGTGAAGGAAAACCCCAATGTATGGTTCAGATGCTGCATCTGAATTGCAGCATATCTTTATGCATATTACGAGATACATGTACTTTGAGATCTTGGGGAATTCCAGCTTTTGGTCGGTTATATCTGGGCATTACTCGTGAAACTTCGCCTCCAAAGCCAATTAGAAGTTTGATTTTGAGTGACATTTGCAGGTCTCAGAAGATATTTTTATGTGTACAGTAAAATGAATGTTTTGATAAATAGTAATTTTGTTTATTTCCAGTGAGAGGGCGCAGTTGGTTGGTGCGAGTGCCTGGTTCAAACGCTATATAAGCAAGATGAACATTGACCAACTTGATGAAATTGCTTGCCCTGTATGTAAACGTGGCTTTGAGGAAATGTGTGATGTAAGACTTCTAAACATAAAATTTTGATATAGTACTCACATGTATGCCAATTCAATGTAATATGTATATTCTATGGGAGAAATATCAATGATGCTTAAAAATTGAAAAGATACATGTACATTTACAGGCCCGTAGCCAGAGGGGGAGCTGGGGGAGCGGAAGCTCCCTCCCTCCCTGGACAGAAATTCTTTCAAAATCATGCAGTTTTTCACCATTCCGAGAATTTTTCACATGATTTTAAGCCAAAATTGTGAATAAGCTCCCCCTGGAAAAAAGCTCCTCCTCCTGGTAAAAGCTGGCTACAGGCAAGATTTTTGTGCACTCTCTCTTATATTTTACCTTTTCCATTGAGATTATGTTGTCATTCACTGTGTCTAAGAGATATAATGTCCCAGAGATTTTAGGTTAAAAAATTAACATTCACTTTTTTCCAATCTCCATAGATTACGATAATATATTGATATATCCCTAAGGGGGGTTATAAAGTGGACAATATGTCTGTACAATATAAAATTTAACTATAAAAGATATATGATGGATAAAAAAAAATCAAAAAAATCAATTCAAATTGTTTGAAGGTACGCGATGTGATAGCTGAATTGCAGCAGAAACTTGACAGAATACCCCTAGAACTAAAGTCAAAGGAAGAAGAATTGATGGGATTACAACAAAGAAAAGACAAAATGGTGGAATTGAGACCCCTTAGAAACACTGTAAGTATATATAAGAAATGTTCCGATCAACTTTGGCGTTTGACCCATTCTTTTGTTATACAGGGTGCTCATAAAATCTCTACAGTGCAATACAAAGTCTGTGTAAAGTGTAAAGAGACCATATGGACACCCTGTATTATTCTTGACTAATACAAATATATATTTACTGTATTTATATACAAACTGTATTTATCTTGAAATCTTTTCCAATATTTTGAATGAAAATCTTATACATGGAAGGGAAAATATATTGTTGTTTTCCCCATTCTGAACCCATGGGCATTCTATCAGAAAGTTATACATAGAATGCTTATATCACTTTAACCTTATTTGCACTTGTATCAATGTGGAACTTCATATAGGACCATGTCTTCAGATATGGCAGTTATTATTAGCTATGGTCCATCAACATTGCTTTTAGAAACTAATATTATTTTGGTACATTCCAAAAAATGAAAGTGTGATATACATGTAGAGCAAATAATAAGTTGATTGTGTGTGCTCTTAAATAAAAGGCAGAGTGTTCACAAAATATTTTATATTATTTGTTTAGATGAAGAAGCTTGAGGAGACAGAGATCCCCAACCTAGAGACAAGGGTAGCTAACATTGAAGAAGACATAAAGAAGGTCAATGAAGAAATAGCAGAGGTATGTAATGTCCCAGTCCAAGATTGAAATACTTTTATACAGTCTTACCTGTATATCTGAACACCTTTCTTATTTGAAAACCTCTTAATCTGACCACTTTTTAACGGAAAACCTTTAAAGGGTTCCGATTAGCATCCCGTATAAAAACAATATGGCGGCTCCAGGCGAATCAACTGGATCAGTCCATTTTTAAGAAATAAGGGGAGTTCTGTAAAATCCAGTTTATTGAAATTGTCTTTGAGATAAAGTAATCCGTTTATAATGATTTTGAAAACGTTATCCAAAGAGTGATTGCGTTCAAAGAATACATGTACAACAGCCAATATAAATCCTTGCATTAGAAACCGGTTTGTCTTGCTTTGTTTCATTTGTAGGATATTTCATATGCCAAGCTGTGTGCTATTACGTTATGGGGAAATTTAGATGCCAGTTTTTCCTTATTATACACAAATAGAAGATCCTGAAACTTAACCCATAAATGTGGAATTGATTTGTCAAAATAAAAAACACCCTTTTATAAATGTGTGACGATCTATAATATACTTATGCTATATAACAGTTAGAGGTGTTGACACAACAAACTCGAACCTGTGAACCCGTGAGTATTATTCCGGGATCGGGCCTTTTATACTAAACGGTGAGCAACACCAGAAACGAGCGTTCGATTTGCTAAATGATATGCGTCACCCTTTAAATGTAAACACCTGCCAATCCGAACACTTTTGGATGGCCCCAGTGACCTTTAGATTAGAAAGGTTTTACTATATCTTCATAGCATTTAATCTGTTTAACTTAAGCTCTGTTTTAATCAATACAATATGTTTCCTAAGGTTGCTCAAAAGGTTCCTAAGGTTCTCTTTCAAAGTCAATTTGTATAACTTTTTTGGAATCTGAATGATGGACATGTTTCTCAAAAGACCATTTTCTATGATTGAGTCATATAGCCTAGTGTAGCCCCTAGCCAGGATGAGGCAGATGAGGCACTTACCTTGTCACTTTTTATAACTTGGTTTGGAAATATTTTGCTCCTATTCACTTTTGTCTTTCTGGCTACGTCCCCAGACTACTTCACTGTACATTGATTTTTTAATTGACATGTGAACATGAAATTTGTTTCAGTATGATGAGACTCAAGATTCCTACCAATTAGACAAAACAATGTTGGAAAGTATGCATCCCGATATTATCATCTTGGACAAGTCCTTCTATAAAGTGCAAGACTTGGAGAGAAAGATCAACCAAGCATCAGCCAAGCTGAGTGGAGGAGGTAGGCATATTCCCATTACGTTATTGAAAACGCATTATCTGATTGGCCAGTTCTTGTCTTGTGACTGAGTGGAGGATTATATATTCACACCAGGTTATTCAAAATCCATATATCCACTTTTACCAGTTTCAGGTAAGATTGTGTGCATGTAGCGAAAAAATGTCTTAAAATGTATACTAGTGACTCATCGAACATGAATTTTTCTAATTACTGTATTTTCTTACTTAAAGATTGTTCAAAAAGTTTATTTTCTCTGTTAAAATGCATATGTATATTAGACAATAATTGTCTGAATATTAAAAGAATTAGAAGGGATATAACAGGCCCATAGCCAGAGGGGGTGGGGGTTCAAACAAACCTTTACCCTAGAATTTTTTGAAAAGAAAATCCCATTGGCAAAACCTGACTACAGGCTTTGAAAGATAATGTAAAAAGTGAGAATCTATATTTTTATTCCGTGAATATGTACTTCTGTGCTTTAGATAGCAGTCGTACCATGGAGCAAGTGAATGAAGAGAAAGATCAAGTACAAGAGAATAAGTATGAACATTAAAGAGCTTAGATTCTTCACCTTATGTCAATGAAGATATTGAGATTAATAAATTATTTAAGCTACTGTAGCATTTAAACATTAGAAGTAAGTGAGAGTATTGCATGTCACACATATGGTACTTGTTATGTCACCACACAAGTCAGGTAGTGACATATTGTTATGGTCTCCAACTTTTTTGTGGATATATTCGGCTGTTGGTGTTTGATGTTCTGAGGGCAGTCAGCGTTTGATGTCTGTATCAATATTGGCAGGTGCTGACATTTTGCATGTTAGTTTCTTTGTTTATTTTTAAATAATAAAATTAATGCAATGTGTCTTAATTATGAAATGGGTCAAATGTCACATCTAATTTTTAACCTCAGCGACACAATTCACATCACTGATCAACTCCAAAATTTCATTATATGAGAGAATTAAATAAAGGAATTTTACTACATTTCAGAGAGACAGTGGAATTATCTCTGGAGAGAAAGCGCAAGAAAGAACGAGAAACCACCGAGAGAATCACAAATCTCAGGACGGCACAAAACAAACTTGGTCAGGAGAAACTCCAAATTGACAGTGAACTACAGCAGAGGAACAATTTAGTTGAGTCCAAAGTTGAGATGGAGAAAGCTAATGTGACGTATAAACAGGAAATAAGAGACGCACAGACAGCAATTGAACCAATCAATGAAGAGATTGATAGGTTACATCAGATGAAGGAAGAGATTAAACATGAGAAGGATTCATTTACGGAGCTGGAAAAGGAAAAGGTACATGCAGTTATAATGTTCATATAAGACAATATTTCAACCTCTGGATGGATTTTTGAAATATACTTGTGTTTAAATACTCACTAGTCTCTACCTATATACATGTACACTTTGTATATTGAATAAAAACACCCAAAAAATGTTTTTGTAACTCAAGTTATTATACAAACTCATTGTTTTTTGCAAACTTGTTTGATTTTCATGAAGTAATGCAAGTATTGAGGAACACACCATTACTTGATGTATTCAAGTTAAATGTGTCAGCATGGGCTTCTTTTAAATGAGATTAATCATGTTTCATGTTTTAATCATATTCAAAATTGATTTTTCTTCAAGATAATACTAAAAACATACATTTTAATCTTCTGTTGAGAGCCCATGATGTCAGTTACTAAAGAAAATAAAGATTGTTTTATTTGCATATATTTTCAGTTCAACAAGGCCAAAGAAAAGGGACAACAAATTGGAGCTCTTTCTAAGAATATACAAAGGTACATGTAGTGTTGTATGTTGAATGTATTGTCAATGTTACATAATCACAATTGCTCACAGTTCATGATAAAACTGTTGCTCACATATTTCATGATGAATGTATTGCTCACTTTACATGATAAAGATGTTGCTCACATATTGTGATGAATGTATTGCCCATATTACAAGATAAAAATGTTGCTCATATTTCAAAATGACTGTTTTGCCAAAATTACACGATAGACCTGGTGCTTACATTTCATGATGAAATATGACATGGTAAAATTTGTTGCTCACATGATATTGCTCTTATTGTGACAGATATATGGAAGAAGGCAAAGCTGAACAGCTTGAAGAAATCACAGATAAAATCACAGAGTTGAGTGAGAACATAGAAAATTTCAAACAAGGACTTGATGAGCTCAAAGAAGTTATAGACAAACTTCGAAAAGATCTAGCATCTCAGCAGGTAGGTGACTAATTTTCTGCATTTCCGAGAGACGTGTCTTAAGGTGGACCGGGTAGGACAATAAATTTGGGATGTTTTCATCTGATTTCAGTACATGTATATGAGCCTATATTTTCAATTAAGTTCATAAAGCCAGTTGTTCTGATTCTACATGTACCTGTTCCAATTTGAAAAATAACTTTAATGAAGGAATTTAAATGTAAAAAACTGAAGTTTTAAAAAAAGTGAGAAGTAAAAAGATTTTACATATACTACATGTAACTTATCTATAACTTATGGTTCATTTTATTGTATTGGCCCTCTGGTAAGGTAGAGTCAGTCCAATTATTTTTGTATTATTATATGTATATGGTTTGATCATATCTGTTATGTTAGGTGAGTGAACGTGAAATAAAGGACAACCTTGAGATGCGAATGAAACAGGAGGACATCAAAAAGGTTGAAGCTGCTATCAAAGATCTTAAAGGTGAGTTGATTATAAACACAAACTATGTAAAAATAAAAGTTCTTTTTCAATTGCTTGGATCATGGTACGTTTATATTCAACCTTTTTAATGGCAGGGCAGTGCATGCCTGTAGTAGAGTTTGTGGTTAAGAGATGTATGACTTTAATTTTTTAAATTATTTTTCATGATTTCATTCTGGTTTGATTCCTTGACAATCAATTACACACTACATGATTTTACTACTTTATGTACGGGTATAAGCATCACCTGTGGTGCCCTAGGGTGGTCCAAAATATGGCGAAAAACCAACTTTCTTTCGGATCATCTTCCTCATTTGACTTACTGTTGTCCATGACCTAAAACACCTGCACACCAAATTTTGAGACCCAAATCCCATGGGAAATTTACCCACGCTTCGACTGAAAAATTCGGTTATTTCATGATTTTTTGCTATTTTCGATAAATTGCCATCTCCTTTTTCCTGGTATAAAATGTTTCTATTTTTTCATAATAAACATTTTTGTAGGACTCTTTATTACTTAATAATACTAGGAGCCCAAACACCAAATTTTGAGACCCAAATCCCATGTGAAATTTACCCATGCTTTGACTGAAAAATTGTGATTTTCACAGTTTTGTCCGATTTTCAATAGATTACTGTCTCCATTTTCCTGGTATAATATGTTTCTATTTTTTCATAATAAATATTTTTGGATGACTCTTTATTACTTCATAATACTAGGAACCCATACACCAAATTTTGAGACCCAAATCCCATGGGAAATTTACCCATTGTTTGACTGAAAAATTGTGATTTTCACATTTTTTCCGATTTTCAATAAATTGCTGTCTCCATTTTCCTGGTACGATATGTTTTTATAATAAACATTTTTGAGGACTCTTTATTACTTCATAATACTAAAAACTCATACACCAAATATCCACCAAATTTTGAGACCCAAATCCAATGAGAACGTTACCCATGCTTTGACTGAAAACTGGTGCTTATGATAGCTTATGATGTCTGTTTTAGGGGCATAATATGTTAATAGACATTATGGTAATTCCTTCTTAATCCAAAGAAACACCTAAATATCAAGACTTTAAGTCTTATTGAAAGGCGACAAATTCAGTAGTTTGGGGAAAATTTAGGATCTTTTACTTGTACATTTATATACTGTGGTTAATATTAAGAAGTGATGACTCGACAGCAACTCAAATGCCTTGAAGATTTGGTTTGTTGGTTTCAGTAGGGATACATCACAGGACTTTGTTTGGATTTGTGTGAGATGTCATATTCTTTCTCACATCTTTGCAGGGTAAGGTCAAATATCAAATCTGATTTTCTTTGGAGAAATGATTTTTTGATTGATCAATGTATCAATGGCATGGTCTCTGTTGTAACCAGTAAGCCTGTACCAAATCTTCAAGGGATTCGAGCTTCCACTGAGCTTTGTCATTTCTCTGAAAAGGTTCATGCCCTGAAAGTACACAATGTAGAAGATAGGAAGAGCAATGAGAAACACTTAAGGTAATTCTGTATGTTCAGAAATTTTAAGTGGAGTCCAATGTTATTTCTGGAACTCATTCCATACTTGGTCAGCTCTTTCAATTTTACACTGAGTTCAAATATGTATTTAGATTATTAGTTGATGGTTAGTAATTTTCTATAATGTACTATGTGCTATGTTTATACACTGTTTGTGCATCTGAATGGAATGAGTTATGTGTTCCTGAAAAAACACGGGGCTTCAATTAGGAAGCCACTAAAACTGAAAATAAGGAATAACCTTAAAGTACTATATAACCATCTTTCACGATGTAACGTATGTAAGGCCAAACAGGATAATTAAGACAACGTGTAATACAATTTATTACAAATTGCACATCACACAACAATGATATGGTGCTCTAAACGACAAAAATCAAAAGTATATGATCAAAGCAAACGTGAATTTCCCATGGGGTTCAGGTCTAAACATTTGGTACATATTAAATGTATGGGTTCCTAGTATTAAGAACGTATTAATGTCCTCCTAAAATGTTTAAAAACTAAATATAAGATTAATGTTGATCTATTGAAAATAAGAGAAAATTCGCAGAAAATCACAAATTTTGGGTTGAATCATGAATTAATTTCTCATGGGGCCAGGGTCTCAAAATTTGGTGCATATTTGGGGTATGGGTTCCTCGTATTATGAAGTAATAAAGAGTCCTCCCAAAATATTTATTATAAAAAATAGAAACATATAATACCAGGAAAATAGAGATGTATTGTATTGTATATGAAATAACCCAATTTTTCAGTCGAAGCGTGGGTAAATTTCCCATGGGATTTGGGTCTCAAAATTTGATGTATGGGTTCCTAAGTATTATGAAGTAATAAAGAGTCATCCAAAAATATTTATTATGAAAAGACATCTACCATTTTATACCAGGAAAATGGAGATGGCAATTTATCGAAAATAGCAAAAACTCATGAAATAACCGAATTTTTCAGTCGAAGCGTGGGTAAATTTCCCATGGGATTTGGGTCTCAACATTTGGTGTATGGGTTCCTAGTATTATGAAGTAATAAAGAGTCCTACAAAAATGTTTATTATGAAAAAATAGAAACATATTATACCAGGAAAAGGGAGATGACAATTTATAGAAAATAGCAAAAAATCATGAAATAACCGAATTTTCAGTCGAAGCGTGGGTAAATTTCCCATGTGATTTGGGTCTTAAAATTTGGTGTGCAGGTGTTTTAGGTCATGGACAACAGTAAGTGAAATGAGGAAGATGATCTGAAACAAAGTTGGTTTTTCGCCATATTTTGGACCACCCTAGTGGTGCCCCCTGTTATTAATAATATTTGTTAACATAATGATTGAATATATGAATAAATTGAAATTGAAGTCAGCCAGTAATATGTTTTTTCTTAATTTACTCTGAGACTGTAAATATGAATATTATTCAAAAGAGCAAATGCATCAGCTTAAATTATCAGAGATAGTAATGTAAGTTGCATATAAACTGATTGTAAGGGGTATCTAAGAGATTACTGAGGGGAGCAAATATTAAAGTTAATGTATCCATCATGTTATTTTACCCTTGTAGACAAGATTGGAGATTTTGATCCTGACAATCTTGAGAAGAACAAAGCTGACCTGGAGCAGCAGGCAGATGAATTTTTCCAACAGGTAAGCAACATGTTATTTTCTATTTTATTTGGCAATGTCAGGCTTAATGTATAACTTTATGCTAATATTATAATCATAATCTGTGTAATCATTCTGGTGCTTCACTGATCCTATTGTTAATACATTCAGTTTCATTTATTTTAATGTAATAAACTTATTCAGATTAATAAATAGAAATGCATCTAGTGCTAAAAATTTTGAAAAATGAAGAAAGAAATATTTCAACTGATCTAAAGAGCCCTCAGGTCTCTCGGATATTAGTTATAAAACCTCTCTAAACCGAACACCACTTGGACTGTAGACAAAAGTGTTCAGATTAGCAGGTGTTCACATATTTTAAAATGTTAATCAATGGGAAATAATAAAATTGGGAGCCAGAAAAAGTGTTCACATTGAAAAATATATCAATCAGATGCGTGTTCATACATGTATGCAGGTTTTTACTATACACCCTCTCTCCTTGTAGAGACAAAGACATAAGGAACGTCAAGTTGGCTTTGAAGAGATGGTTAAGTCCAAGAAGAAAGATCTTAAGTCAGATGTCTATAATGACATAGAGACACGATACAGAGATAAGAATATCGATGTTAGGGTTGGTACATTTTGGTATTGGGTTAGGGTTGTTGAGGTACCAGTATTAATAATAGAGACTTATAGAAAAAATGAACCAAAAGTGCATCCTAACTAGTGGTGTAATTCTCTATAGCCTAACCATTTAAGGGTTAAGAAAATCATTTTGTTTTTAATGAATTTAATGACAAAACTGAACAAAGCATGTTTGATGGATATTGTACATCGTAATATCTTCAGTAGTTCTTATGTTACTTTTGTATAATTTCAGACAACAGAACTAGCTATGGATGATGTCTTCCGCTACTACAGAGCTCTTGATGCGTGAGTAGCACAAACAATTGCAATAAAAAGGTTTATTTTGTGCCAAATCATATTGATCACTCATACAGACACCGTTTTTACATCGAATTTACAAATAAACAGATTTACATGTAAAAAAAATGTGGATGTTTATAGATAACCAGTTAAAGCCATCAAAAGATATAAATAAAGTATGCTTTTTAATGATCTAGAATAGTAAAATAAAGCCTCATTACACATTGGTAGGGCATATTTGATCATTATAGATTTTCAATGATTGGTCATTTGGCATGGTAACCTGATTAAGTGCCATAGAGTAAAACTTGTTTATTCTGAATGCCACTGAGACTGAAAAATGCTCGGATCAGGTGTTGACACTTCAGTTTCCTTCAAATGGGAATGAATGCAAAGTTTGAAAATTGGGACCAAGTTCAGTGTTTTGTGTTCATATTGGGAGGAGTGATTACAGAGGTATTCGGATGCACTGCACTTTTACTTATTTTGGCGGATCGTCTGTTTTGAACATTTGGTGGCTACTTAATTCTGGGAACTTGCAATATTGAAAATATTAGGTGGATCCACCAAATTAAAATGGCGCCAAATTATCTAGAAGTGCAGTGCAAATTTTACTGTATTCTCATCATATAACATGTGCATTCCAGTGCTATAAACAACTACCATAGAACCAAGATGGCAGAGATCAATAAGATCATAAGAGAACTATGGAGAAACACCTATAGGGGCAATGGTATGTAAAGCTGATATGATATGGTTAACATTAAAGCACAATGCGCGGTGACTTGAAAAATAAATATATATAAATGAGTTATCAATTGTGTATAGATGATTTATGTTCCCCATGATTTCTCAGAAGAAACTGTGAAAGCCAATGCTAAACATTTCAGTAAAAAAGTTTTCTGCTAGTTCATTTGACAGGTTGTATTATGGCAAGCTCTTCAACATAATTGTATTGTATTACATGTACATGCAGTCATGCATATAATGATAAATGTTTGAGAAAAAGGAGGGGGCAATGTAGTGAGTCACACCATACATAAACAGATGTAAGATATTCTTTTGTTTATTCCCAGACATTGATACCATAGAGATAAGATCAGAGGATGATGGCGCGGGAGGTCTTACAGCCACAAAGACACGTCGTACCTACAACTACAGGGTGGTTATGCTGAAAGGAACAACTACACTTGATATGAGAGGACGCTGTAGTGCTGGCCAAAAGGTGCAGTATTTGTTTGATGAACATTTTTACCACATAATGCAAATTTTGTTTGGCTGAGGTAATCAGTTTTGATATGCATTGAATTTGTAACTTTGCTTGATATGTTGGAATTCAAAATGGCCCCCATTTTTCATCAAAGTTGTAAGCTTTGATCACTATTAGTAGTTGAGAGATTTGGTTCAAATGTTTTGCTGATGAAATAGGATGTAGGGCTCTGCTAAAGAAGGAATTTTCAAGATGGCTGCTGAATTCATAATGGCAATCATTTTACATGAACAAATCCAATCATAATTCATGATTCGCATTGATAATCTTGACTTAATAAACGATTATCAAATCTTATCAAGAATGGAGGGCCTTACACATGTATATATACTCATGCAAGAACCTCAACACTGTATGCATTTAGTGTCACCCATAATGTCTCATCTTGATACAGGTGTTGTCTTCACTAATCATCAGACTTGCCTTGGCCGAGACATTCTGCCTGAAATGTGGTATCCTGACCCTAGATGAACCCACCACTAATCTTGATAGAGAAAACATCGAGAGCCTGGCCTATGCCCTTGTCGAGTAAGTCAGTTTTCTTGTTGAGTATCTTATAATCAATTTAACATTAACATTTCCTTATCTGATCCAATGGGAATAACGTTTTGGGATGGTGAATATATTATTTTATGTATCTTGATCATTTAGAACGTAAATGTACACATATTTTGTTCTCAGATTGTGACCATATCCTTATTAACCCTAGAAGCCCTAAAACCCTAAGCCCTGTTCAGTTTTTTCCCCATAACTTTTTATTGACATCTGGTAGGATCTTCAAATTTCCAGTAGCTGGAGTTACTGATATAACAAATGTTTCTGAAAAAATCAGCAAAATTGTACAAAGGGTAATTGATTTATTATGATGTAATCATCAGCTCCAATAGATAAAATCGGAAAAAGCTAGCACTATTTCTACCAAACTGTTGTCTTTAGAATAAAATTACGCAATCTTACGTCATCAAAGTTGTTAAAGTTATTACACCAAGTTGTAGAGAACTGAATGTAGTTGGGGAAAGTTTGAACATCCTAGCTCTACTAATAAAAGTTTAACACGGGGGTGCCCTTTTGACCCCTCCCCTTAGGTGTTTGTGTGACTTTTTTTTAACCTCAGGGCTTCTAGGGTTAATAGCACATATTTCTAATCATGTCATTCTCATTAAAAACAGGAATATAACCACATCAAAGCTGTATAAAATAATATTGAAAGATCATGCAATATCCATTTTGAATTTCTTTTCAGAATCATTAAGGCTCGATCGAAACAGAAAAATTTCCAGCTTATTATTATCACCCACGATGAAGACTTTGTTGAGCTACTAGGCAAGTCAGAGTATGTTGACTACTTCTATAAGATGAAGAAAGATAATGAGTAAGTAGCATTATGAATTTATCTGTTGTTCTGTTTTGTCACCATGTCAACCATATCATCATAGCAACCTTTTGTAATTAACTCGTGTCTAATATTTACATGCTTGTAACTGTTTGCAGAAGTGACATTTTGTTATGTGCTAATTAGGCTAAATTATGAGCTTTGAGATGAAATTTAAAAATAAATAAAAAATGAAAGAAAGGAAAAAATGCTCATTTACTCTCAGATAGAAAAATTGAGAAAATGTGGAAAACTGTTTTGACAAAATTTATTACATTTAGAAATCGATATTATTTACTTCTAGTCTTTGTAAATTTTGTTGAGAGCTGAGAATTATTTTTAAATCACTTGTTAATTTTTATTTCAGTGGTCTCTCAAGGTGTGTGAAGTCACGAGTGCAGGATATTGGACAACATTTACACTAAAGAACAGTTGCTTATTTGACACTAGTCAACTTAACATAATTAAGGTGCTGGACAAAATTAAGACTCTTAAGGAAGAGCTACATGTACCATCTCTTTAAACGATTGGAGGACATTGGCATAGTGTGTTTCGCCATAGAAGAGACATGGTTCAGAAAAAGCATGGATGGATAGACCTTTTCAATGAACCCATAACTTTTGCGGTATACCAAAGATTAGTTCTTGAACATTTAAAAGGCTCCAGGATTCATTATTGCTAATCAAAACAGGAGCCAAAGTAAATGTATCTACAATATAACAGTTTGTGAAGCCTTACATTATACAGTGCAAAAATGCAATGGTGCCAGTATTGCAATTGCCATTTGTCATATGCAGCATTAATATCTTGTATCCAAATAAATTGGTCAAATGCTTGCTTAAAAACTAGACCTACTTGACAATGAATGTATGTAAGTTTGATGAAGATCAGCAATTATTACGATAAAGTAATAAAAATCCAAAAAGGAAAATTTAATACTAAATATAGCTTGTTTATTTTTTTTCGAAAATAAATCATACAATGTTATGTTTCAAATGGTTGTTTCGTGTTTATTAAACTTTTATAATTTTGAGTTATAGTCCATAATTCCTGCATTCAGTTGATGATTTTACATTAAGAATTCATACATTTCCACATATCAATCAATTTGAGTTCATGTTTATGGAGTAGATAATGACATCCACCGCTGCTGTAGTCTACTCTAGGGTCTGTTACAATATGCAAGTGCGCCATCAGTCTCTTCACAGATCCATGTCTTGTATTCAGAGACTCTGGTATAGACCGAGGGCTTGTAGAGGCACCCATTGACGACAAATGAAGACACACCAGCAAGTACAGTCTGGCCATTGTGTTGACACATCATAGGGCTTCCCTCGTCACCCTGGAGATGAGAATGTATACAATGTAAACCAGAACAACGGCAACGCCAAAGCGTAGCGAATCCCATCGAACATTTTTCAAAACGGCCACCTTCTACCAAAAGTGTCATTAGACAGTGTGCCATGCTTATAATATTCACATACCAAATATGAACAAAATCGCTCTACTACTTTTCGAGTTATAGTAAAATATGTTAAAATGGTGGCCATTTTGAAAAATGGCCGCCTTCTACCAAAAGTGTCATTAGACAGTGTGCCATGCTTATACGTATTCACATACCAAATATGAACAATTATCGCTCCACTACTTTTCGAGTTTTAGTAAAATAAGTTAAAATGGCTGCCATTTTTCAAAATGTCCGCCATTTTTCAAAATGGCCGCCTTCTGCCAAAAGTGTCATTAGACAGTGTGCCATGCTTATAGTATTCACATACCAAATATGAACAAAATCGCTCCACTACTTTTCGAGTTACAGCAAAAATCGTAAAATAACGAGTAAAGGCCGCCATTTTTCAAGATGGCTGCCATGTGCTTTTTTAATATCTACATTTCTAGCTTTATTAATGTCCTATATAATTTTTTTTACATTTAAAACATATTGCTATTACAGTTTTACATATTGTAGCTAAATTACTGTAAAATCAGCACTAAAATGGCCGCCATTTTTAAAAGAGCGGCCATTTTGAAAATCGGCTTTCGAGCAGAACTTCTACTCCCATAGGGTAAATGTGTACAAAATATGAATAAAATCGGGCCAACGGTATTTGAGTTATTGCCCGGACGGACGGACGTATAGACGGACGTACGTACGGACGGAGGCGTTCCCTATATCCCTCCGAACTTCGTTCGATGGGATAATTAACACTGAAGGCTGCTAGGCTAGTGTGGGGCTTCATACTGGAGACAAAAACTTGTTTCTTTTTTTGGTAATATTAGATTACAACTTTGAATTTAGAATTAAATGTCTCCAAATATCACATGAGATTGTTTCAGCATAAATATTTAAAAATAAAAAAATTAGTACCGTGGGTACTGGGCTCACATGGTCACATTTTTTGCTGATTTTTTGTTACAAAATTATTTCAAGCCATCTGTCTCTCAGTCAATTAAAATGGTTGAAAAAAAAATGGATATAATTTTTTGCAATAATTTGTAACAAAATTATTTCATACAACTACTCTTTACACCTGAAATTATTTGTAAAGCTAGGAAATGGGCCAAAATTGAATTTCGCGAGACAAAAATGGCGACCATTTTGAAATCAGGCAAGCTTTTGAACCAGGAGTCATGGGGGAGTTTTTTGTATTGATGTTGAACAAAAATAACTTGAAACTGGAATCCTATCGACAGAGGTTTTAAGCAAATGGTCCAAAAGAGGATTTCGCGAGACAGATGGACAAATCAATGTTAACTAAAATGGCTGAAAATAAAAAAAAACGGATATAATATTTTGCAGATTTTTTGTAACAAAATTATTTCATACAACTACCTTTTACAGTGACATGGCTTTTTACAATGCTGAGGACAGCTGAAATTATTTGCTTTTTACAATGCAGGACAGCTGAAATTATTTGTAAAGCTATGAAATGGGCAAAAAGTGAATTTCGCAAAACAAGAATGGCAACCATTTTGAAAATAGGCGAGCTTTTGAACCAAGAGTCATAGGAGAGTTTTTTGTATTGATGTTGAACAAAATTAATTTAAAATGGGAATCCTATCGACAGAGGGTTTAAGGTAAATGGTCCAAAAGTGGATTTTGCGAGACAGATGGACAAATCAATGTTAACTAAAATGGCTGAAAATAAATAAATGGATATAATTTTTCACTGATTTTTCATAACAAAATTATTTCATACATCTACTCTTTACATTGACATGGATTTTTACAATGTAGGACACTTGAAATTATTTGTAAAGCTAGGAAATGGGTCAAAAGTAAATTTCGCGAGACAAAAATGGCGGCCATTTTGAAAATAGGCGAGCTTTTGAACCAGGAGTCATAGGGGAGTTTTCTGAATTCATGTTGAACAGAAATAACTTAAAACAGGAATCCTATCGACAGAGGTTTTAAAACGTGCCACTGTTATTGACAGAAAGTGGATTTCGCGAGTCAGATAGACAAATCAATGTTAACTAAAATGGCTGAAAATAAAAAAATGGATACAATTTTTCGCTGAATTTTTGTAACAAAATTATTTCATATATCTAATCTTTACTTTGACATGGACTTTTACAATGTAGGACACCTGAAATTATTTGTAAAGCTAGGAAATGAGCCAAAAGTGAATTTCGCGAGACAAAAGTGACGGCCATTTTGAAAATAGGCGAGCTTTTGAACCAGGAGTCATAGGGGGGTTTTCTGTATTGATGTTGAACAGAAATAACTTAAAACAGGAATCCTATCGACAGAGGTTAGCTAGGAAATGGGCTAAAAGTGAATTTCGCGAGACAAAAGTGACGGCCATTTTGAAAAGAGGCGAGCTTTTGAACCAGGAGTCATAGGGGGGTTTTCTGTATTGATGTTGAACAGAAATAACTTAAAACAGGAATCCTATCGACAGAGGTTTTAAAACGTGCCACTATTGTTGACGGACAGACAGACAGACGGACAGACAGACGGACAAGTGAGTGATTGCAAAAGCTCACCATGTGAGCTAAAAACATAAGAACGCATTTTGCACAACATAATGTTCAACTTGGGTCTCCACAGAGGCTCATATTTTTATTATTATTATGTCACCACCAGAAGTGGTGCCATATTGTTATGGTCTCAAACTGTGGACCGAGTTTGGCAGGTAGTTTAGAGGTTGGCATCTGTAACAAATGGCAGGTGGTTACAGTTTCCATGTTAATGCCTGTATGGAGATGTTACATTTAGAGATTTTACTGTATTAACAAAATGTACATTGTATGTAGTTGAATGCAAAGACAAGTTACTCACGTTACATGCACTGATCCTGTCGCTGGTATCATATACACATATATGAGTTGTCTGGTTTGCCTGTGGCCAGTATAACAAACACTGCTCCCCTGTCAACACTGGCAGACTTGTTTTTCTAAGTTCATCAGCATATACTACAAAAAGATGCATGAGATAATTAATAATAGTGATAATGAGTTTTGAGTCAGTAAAAAGTCTGAACTGATTTGAGGGTAGATGGCCAATAACCAAATAGGGTAATTGTCTTAAGTAGGAATTTGTATTCAACACTCCTCGATTTCTGCAAGTTGAAATAATGAATTTTGCAAGTGAAGTTAGTGAATTCTGCATAGAAAAAACGCTAATTGTGCGGGTTCGAGTCAATGGCAGTTCCTTCACTGTACCAATAAATGAAGAACAGACTAAAGTGCTGTGGTCAGTATTTCCAATTGGAGGTGTTACATTTGAAGAGGATATAAGATTTGGTTGATTAGTAATAAGTAGATCAACGCAGGATTGGCTTCTATTTGTGACACGAGTTGGTTGGTCTAATAGCTGTGAAAAAAACAGAATTTGGAGATGGTTATTAAGCTCATTTTCAGTAAACTTTTCTATATTGTCAGCTTCCCACCAAATTTTGTTGCGAGCATTAAAATCTCCATAAATGACAAACAGGTCAGCATTGGCATTAGTCAAAACTTCAATTCAGTTTTCATAAATATCTCAATTATCATTAAAGTTACAAGAAAGATTCAAGCGAGAGAACTTTGTTCCTAGCCAACAATGGAAGAAAATTATGGAATACATTTCAGTACATTTCCCTATTTCATACTCACTTCCAGGACGTGTCATTCCCCAGCCCACAATGGTACAAGACTGGCCAGCAAACGTGTTACTCTCAGGTGGAAGTTCAATCACTCTTGCTGTTATATTGTCCAGAACAACATTAGTTGCTAACTCAAGGAGTGCTATATCATTTGGGTGACCTTTGTTGATATTTGCTTCAAAACCTGGATGCTGAAATACAACATATTCCTGAACTTTAATCTCTGGGCATATTTATTTAATAAATAAATAAGTATACAAATATAAAATAAATAAGTAAATATACAAATAGCATGTTCCTGTAATTAGCGAGTTAACATAGATGTAATACTGATAGACTTACTATGATGACATCTTGCACAGTGTGTGCCTGCTCTCTGCGGGTACATGTGCTACAGCCCCTGTTATGACCCCCTGCCATAACCGCATAATTGTCTGGGTAATTTGCATCGCTGAAAAAATATTGGTCAAAATGTCATTGTAAAATTAGATCAACTTTGAATTTGTAACATGGTGCTCGACACAACACCTACTGTGTCACATTTAACATCAATTAGGAATATTTAATCCTGAGCATATCACTTCTGCAAATAATACAATATTTTATACTCAGCACTCTAGGTCCAAGTCCATTGTATAATATTCACTTAAAAGTAACTTGTTCCTGCTTCAATGCATTTTTGTTGTTTAGCCACCCATTCATGGAAAACAATGCAAAATTTATTTTGTTCTATCTTATCTAGTTTTAATCTGGCTGCCCTTTCAATTTTCACATTGGAATGAAAGCGTTGACTCTTAAGTAGTTATTCATCTGGTGAGTAATGGGGAAGGTCTACATTTTAAATTCTAGACTCTGCACTCCCTCCTTTGTCAACTTTGCAGTATGACATGCAATGGTGCAGCTACTTTCAACAAAACCCGTTTTATCCGATGACATTTATACCTTTGGCAGACTTTCCAACTAAGTTATATACTCATGTAAATCACAGTCGCCAAGTTACTGTGGCAACCATTATTTCATTGGTTGTAGGAAGCAATTTGTCTAAGCAAAAATATTCAACTTACCAATATTGTTGATTTTGAAAAAGTATATCATCAATCTAGAAAATATATATTACAGTTTCTTTGATGTACCATTAGGTGGCAGGGTTTTATGAAAAGGTCAATTGTAAGGAGGATTGGATCCCAGAATGCAATCTTGATATTCTACCATATATGGTGTTATGACATTATTATTGCTGTGTACTAAATTCAAAATCAAACATTCAGCATTTCTCACTCTAGAATTTGAATCACCAGTTTTGGTATTATTACCAAACAAAAAAATTCCAAATGCACAAAATGTGTACAAAATGTCCCCACCAATGGGTGATCCCATCAAATGGTTATCCTGAAAATGAGTAGACAAGACTTTACTGACACAATTTGGGGAGGGAAAGTCCAAAATGGCCACCTTAAAATTTACCCAGAATCCCCAAAAATTAGCTAGTTCTAGATTTTCATACTAAGAACCACCCCTGAAAATTTGAAATTGATCCGTCAAACAGTTAAACAAGACTTTACAGACACGATTTTAGGACGGAAAATCCAAAATGGCTGCCTTAACATTTACCCAGAATGTCAAAAAACTAATCAGTTCTAGATTTTCATACTAAGAATCATCCCTGAAAAGTTGAAATTGATCTACCAAACGGTTCACCTGAAAACGCGTAGACAAGACTTTACAGACAAGATTTTAGGACAGAAAATCCAAAATGGCTGCCTTGACATTTACCCAGAATGCCAAAAAACTAATCAGATCTAGGTTTTCATACTAAGAATCATCCCTGAAAATTTGAAATTGATCTAACAAACGGTTCACCTGGAAATGCGTAGACAAGACTTTACAGACAAGATTTTAGGACGGAAAATCCAAAATGGCTGCCTTGACATTTACCCAGAACGCCAAAAAAACTAATCAGATCTAGATTTTCATACTAAGAATCATCCCTGAAAATTTGAAATTGATCTACCAAACGGTTCACCTGGAAATGCGTAGACAAGACTTTACAGACAAGATTTTAGGCATAAAATCCAAAATGGCTGCCTTGACATTTACCCAGAACGCCAAAAACTAATCAGATCTAGATTTTTATACTAAGATTCATCCCTGAAAATTTGAAATTGATCTACCAAACGGTTCACCTGAAAACATGTAGACAAGACTTTGCAGACAAGATTTTAGGACGGAAAAAACCAAAATGGCCGACAATAAAAAAGTGATAATGAGTTTTTGCTGATTTCCTTTTACAAAATTATCACATATAACTACTGTTAACAATTACATAGGCTTTTTCAACAAAGTACACCTGAAATTATTTATAAAGCTACTAAATAGTTAAAGTATGAAAACTCAAAAACACCATTCAATATGATACAAAGTATTATCGCGCGCTAACTTTTCTTCAGACATTCAAAATGGCTGACATGACTGGGCTAACAGGTCCAAAACCTAATCAGATGTAGAATGAAGTGAGCTGAACAAGATGTTAAAGTTTTAAAAGCAACTGTGAAGCCGTTTTTCTTAAAGTTTGCAGACAAGGATTTTAGCATTTGACCTCAAAATGGCCGACAGGAAGTAGCTATCGAGATAAGTTTTTTTCATCCATATCTGTATGCACTCACAAATTATTCCTGAAAATTTGAAGGTGATACCTGTAGCGGTTTTGGAGAAAACTGCCGGACGTACAGACGGACAGACAGACAACCAGACAGACAGACGGACGGACGCGCGTAGGACGACAATATGGCCCCACACTATGTGGTGGGGACATAAAAAAGTAATCAAGATCTTTTGAATGAAATTATGAATTTGTAGCCAGATAACTGTCAGACAATAATGACGCTAGGTTTGTTGGAAAATATCAAGTTAGAACCCTGGGATCTAATCGTCCTTGGGTCTAATGTTAAGAAATATGTGATTTACCGCTGAACACAGTTAGCAGATGTCAATGCCCATTTCTCATGAATCAGAACAGCTCCACATGCGTAGCTGAAACTGTGGATTAACATGAGTTGCCAAGGGAATTCATGCTCCTCTGCTAAAACCCCTCTTATAATCTGAGAATCCACCCGCTCAATGGCTTGACCTTGACCTGCTGAAAATGGTAAGTCATGAAATATAATAATCTCTCTTTTATTTTTATTGTAACAGTCCAATCTCGATATAAGGCCCTATTGTTTTCTTTAGATGAACAATATTTAAATATAAAATTATTTCAATTACTCAAATGATATTTCTAAAGATAGTGGTTACATATTGTAAAGTAGCAGCCCTCCTACCCCAGTATGTTACACATTTTGCTACAATTTTTGGGGGTGGAGGGGTGCAATACTTAAGGCTAAGACTTTTAATATAAACTCATTAAAATACATAAAGTTACATATTTCTTACCCAGAATTGTCAGCAAAAGAAACAGACATATCATGTTTACCAGGTACTAGCAATAAATGATGGCGAATACAGTGCACCAGTTAGTCCAGCAAATATACAAATTAAGATAATTATTGTGTGGGACTCTGCCATATGTTTGTATATGCTACAATATACAATATATTAATGGAGGGAACTTGATTTTGAAATACAGCAAGTGTTTTTAAGTATCATAGACTTTTTAAAAAATAATTTATCAGCTTATCAGTTGGCACTGAATATAGACTGGCCAGCTTTTATTCAGAATAGAAAGGCAGAATTTAACACTGAATATACAGTAACGCTGTAGACTAGTTTTATTGAAGAATAAATTATATTCAGGATAACACAAAGTACTGCAAATTTATGTTTTTATGAAAGTCCTATCAACTTTTCTTGTCTTTGTTTTTCTTGCTGCTCACAGGTCCTTTCTTGTCATCCTAGAACAAAAAAAACTAAGATTAGAAAAAACTTTTGAAAAAAAAAACTTAATTAATTAGAAAACCTGAAATAAATGAACAAAGCTAAAGGCTCTTGGGATCTGTGAACAGCTTGTCAAATGTCACTACAGATAAGTAAATACAAAGTTTTTTATCTAGTTCTATATCTAATGAAATTGAAACCAAGAAGCCCTGCTCAAGAGAGGGTATTATGACATTTCATCAAGTAATCTCTGTTCCCCCTTGAATGATTCACCCCTTGGACATTTCACCTCTTAGAGGTTTCATCCACTGGTCATTTCCCTTACTAACCTTCTGTTGTACATATCCATGTTGCTCTAATATATTCCTTGTACAATTGTTAATATGTTTGAATCTATCAGGCCCCAATTGTATGCCACCATACCACCGTGATACAATCACCAACACATTGTCTACCTCCAATATCTGAAAATATACACTTTTGAACTGATATGGCTTGCTCTATTTACCAATCTTTAATAGGGGGTTTATTAGAGCCTTAAATTAATTCTAAAATGTACTGACTGTTAACATTTCATACTCAACCCCTCTACAAAGACCAGTAGCTAGCTTTTGCCAAGGGGTTCAGTATTTAAAAGCGTTCAATAGGGACTCAAATTTAACTAAAATTGCATGACCCCCCACCCCCTGCTATGGACCTAATTCTGAAACTGACCTGTAAAAGATGCAACATTCTTGATCCAGCATGTGTTTCTCCATCATCATCACAGTCTTGTTGCATACCACCATCCCCATTGGGAATCCTATAAAATCAAGTGGAATTGAGCATGATAATGCTTTTTAACCAGTTTAGGCCCAAAGGATCTGTATTCTGCTGGTCAAAATGGCATTACAGACCAGATACAATGTTATTTTCCTATAACAAGTGAAAAATCAACTGGTCCATATCAAAAGTAACCTGGTAATGACCAGCGGACTGCTTTAGGGCCTTCAATGCTTTTAAGGCTTCTTGAATGCACCCTACCATGACATACCATGACATCATACAGCTTATGTAGGGTGAAACAGGGAACTGTCCATATACAATAGTTTATACATACTATATCAACTATAAAAGCATAAAGCGTTGCCTTACATAGAAGTAAATTAAATTTCCGAACCCCTTATGGAGCAGAAACAACTTATCAAAAGTATTTTCATCTCACCTATATGCATACATATTGTGAGTGGCATTTGCAATCTTCTTGTTTTCATACAACTTATGAAGAACTGCATCTACTTGAGCTGTGTTTGTTACAATAGCAAGGTGTGGCTGGAAGACACTCTTCCTGTCTGTTATCACATCACCATGAAAGATCTCTGGTAATTGCACTATAACAAACAGTAAGTATAACAATTACATCAGCACAATACAATGACAATACTAGTAGATCACATCTTCAAAATGTGATAAAGATATACATTATTGTAATGTATCTAAACATCTGAAGGAGAGAAATTGCACCAACCTGAGCATTGTATTGTTTAAAATATAATTGGTAAAAATGGAGCAGACTTGTGTTTGTTTTGTTTTGGATATCTTTTTCAATCCATGTGATATTCCTCATCTTTTATATTTCCTCAATAATGAAAATACAACCATATTTAATGACATGCCTAGGAGCATGACCAATGAATGATGCATTCAATTTACCTTTATTTTGTTGAGCAAGTTCAGATGGTTGACTATAGGTGGCACCCTGGTGAGGCACTGTATTTGTTATACTAAAATCACGAACATCTCTGAGTAATTGCTCCTCAGTTTCTGTTGTATCTGTCTCCTTGGCAACAGTTACTCTCTGTTTGTCATTCCTGTTTTCTAGAAATTCCCTCACACCCTCTATCCACATATAAATAATACTCTCACCTAAATTCTCACTGAAAAAGAATTTTAATTGTTTATAAAATACATGTATATTAAGAAATGTCAAATCAGAATACCAACAAGGAGGTCATAGGTGTTTGATTTGTTGAAAAACAAATCTATCAAATCAAAAACTCCTTTAAACAATAATAACAGATATCAAAAAATATAATCAAATGTAAACTATTTCTTCATCATACAAAGAAATGTATACAACTTGTAATGTCTGATGTTTTGGTTGGCCAACTTTTCAACTCACGTGTAAATACTTTCCAGAATATTTTGGAGTTCTACTCTTTCTTGTCCTCTTAACCAGGGGCAGCTAAAAATAAAATTAATTAACCTATTAATTTATTTATTTCAGTACAATGTATGTACATGTACTAGTATATTGAAACAAAATAAGGTATTAAGATGACAAAATGTCACTACATGGTAAGTTACTGCAATTTACAGCGATAACTTAACAAATACTGTTTAGACTGACTTCAATTTTGTCAAAATCATCTAGAAGTTCAAATCAGCCTTTAAATTCAAGATATTACCTTCAATGACCTTCTCAAGGTCAAAAAAGGTCAAAAAGGTATTTTTCAACTTGCTTCATCAAATTGGGCATTTTTTTTCAAAATCATTTACAAGTTCTCAGAAGTTCAAATCTGACTTTGGATTTGAAATTTGATCTTCAATAACCTTCTTAAGGTAGAAAGACTTCAATGATCTTCTCAAGATCAAAAATGGTCAAAAAGGTCTTTTTGAACTTACTTCAAACTGACCAAATTTTCTCAGAAGTTCAAATCTGACTTTAAAAATTGAGATTTCACCTTCAATGACCTTCGCTGAGGGTCAAAAAAGGTAACTTCCAACTTGCTTCAAATTGACCAATTTTTTTCAAAATCATCTTCAAGTTCTCAGAAATTCAAAACTGACTTAAAGATGCATTATGCCATAGGTTTCTCCCCCAGACAATCAATGATGTCCTATTGTTATTGCTCATATAATATCTCACATACCATGGATATATCTTGAGAATAACTTTTGGGTATATTATTGCCGAAATATCAGAAATAATAAACAGAACAACCAATCTCCAGAATTAAACACAATCTATTCCTCGACTATCGAGGGGAATCCCCATTGAGTCACACAAGCGCCTTGAACCAGGGAGCCAATCAGGTTTATGATAAACAAATTCAACGACCAATCAGATAACAGGAGGACTTTCCCAGAATATTCAAACTTCAGATTGAATTAATTTCTTCGAAAATAATAGATCTAAAATAATTAGATCAGCCAGCACAATCGCAAAATTAACACTGAAAGAGGGGGATTTGGGACTTCTTCTTAGGTATGTAGATGGGTATATATGTGGTGAAACTCAATATGCAAAAAAGTCCAGAGGGGTCTTGATTGTGCTATCCTATGGCATAGAGCCTCTTTAAGATTGAACATAAAATTGTAAGCACCTACATTAGGTGGTGACATTTTGTCATGTTATTAATGCCTTGTTTGTTATAGAAGCTAACCCCCAAACACTGAAACTGATGGGCAATCACGAAAGATATGTAAAAAAAAGTTTCAACACATCTTACATCTTGGTGTTGACATAATGACCCTGTAAATGTAGGTATAAGCTTTAGGGCACAAACTAATGCACTATGAAAGTTATTTCAAGATTCTTGCCCTATAAAAGGATACCCCCTCCCCATCCTACCACCAAATCAGCCTCTTACCTGAGCTGATATGTTGGAGGGGCTTCACTTGGGTAACCCAGAGGAAGTTGCACCTGAAACGCAAAATTATGTAAGACAGATTACAGTACATGTATATCCATAGGTTTTGAGTTGATATGTGAAGTATAAATAAAGCACAGATTGATTGCCCTGACATCTTTAATTAAAAATTTCTACTGCCCTTTAGCCTATGATTATATTATTATATTAGTATACATTCTCATTCTAATAAATAAAACAACTAAAAGAAAAAAAAATCTTGGTTAAAAACATGGAGTATGGTTATACAGAATGTAAATGCTAATCACTCATTAATCGACTTTAATCTTTTCATGTCTTTTAAATACAATCAACTTCGACAAGGCATAATTCAAAAGTGAGGTCAATTTAACCTCTAGGGAAAATAATTAATCTCTAGGCCTATGAAAACTAACAAGGTCTTCATTTTAATCATTTTTGTTAGGCTTCTGACTTCTGCCTATAGATGCCAGAATCACCAACCTGCAAATTGATGCTTGTCGAGTCATGATTGATAGCAATACTGTATTTCCTCTCAGCTTCATCGTCAACCAGAAACTCATCACCATATATGGACATCAGCGCCTCAATCTCGTCTGCCTGGAATACATTCTAAACTGTAGTATTTAATTTTTTTTCATATTTTCGAAACAAATGCGTGACATATACACATATTTCGGACCAAATGCTTGACATAAACGGCAATGGAGTGCAAATACTGAACGAAATGCGTTCGCTTTTTGCCGTTCGGATTTTTACCGTATCAGCATTTCATAAAAACGATTTTTAAATAATATCAACATAATGCATGATTTGCGTGATATATTATCATACACGCTAAATAGATGTGTGATTTCTATTTTTCCAGCAAATGCGTGACAATCACGCCTAATGCGTGAGGGTTGACAGGGCTGGTATCTACATTATCTACAGTATATTTAGGAGGCCTACAAAATATTACCTGCAGCGTTAGATTTTCTTCCATTGTGCTATACGTTCATTGCTGGCTGCTCTAGCTATAAATAATGATGAGTTGGACTATCGGAGTTTTGACACATTTATATGCTTTGAGTCGAGGCTTGCTCTATTGACTTCTTTTTTCTAGACAAATTCCTGTGGAGTTTTGACTAATAAAGTTTTGACTAACTACTAAATAACCTTACATGACTGGTGCATCTACTGAATGCACTGTTATTTTATGTAACTAAAATAAATGACGAAATATTTTACGTTTACTGAAAATTTTAGTAAAAAGTTGTACACTGGTTGTCATAGGAGACAGGTTACCTGAAAAGGAAGATAGATATCATTATCAAGGACTGAAACTGAGGCAAGTCTACCCTGGCTGAAATCAGCTCTGAAATAACAATTACTGCATGTCAAGCCGTCATTCAATGCTGATTTTGTAGAAAACAGATCTGTCCATCCTTCTACATGTGAGTTTTTCCCATAAAGATGCTTGATTAAGTAGAAATTCATCAAATTATACCCCTAGAATATCAAAGTTCAACTGTACATCAATCGCGTGAGGAAAAAAAACAAATCCATTCTTCACCTTCTGTTCACAAACCCTTCTTCTTCTTCTTGGAAAAGTTGTCCCTCATTTGACTAACAGCAAATGTGTATGTTTATGCAGCAATATATGTTAGTTTAGAAAATGATTAATTACAATCTTACCTGTAGTTTACAGAAACATCCTAACAGGCCTGTCAACTGTCCCGCAATTTGCGTATTTGTCACGCATTTGCTGAAGAATTTGAAGTCACGCCAGTTTTTTTTGCGTGACACAAAATGTCACGCAAATACGCATTTTACCTGGTAATTGTCACGCAAATATGTTTCTGTAAAATTTTTTTCAAAATATGTTTATGATACGGTAAAAATACAAACGTCAGAAAAAAACGAACGCAGTTTGTTCGGATTTGTCACGCGAATCCCGTATATGTCACGCATGTTCATTGGAAATTTTCGTACCTACCCCCCCCCCCCCCCCCCCCCCCCCCCCCCCCCCCCCCCCCCCCCCCCGTTGACGACATCGCGAGCGTAGCGAGCGCGAAAAATTTGAGGTGATAAAAGTTTAGCAAAGGTGCTCAAACTTTGGCCAAAGGTGTTTAAAAGTTGGCCAAAGGTGTTCAAAATTTGGACAAAAGTGCTCAGATTTGGACTTCGGTGTCCAACATTTGTAAGTCACTCATATTAGGTGGTCCCAAGTTGACAGCCCTGTCCTAAGTATGAAAATATTTCACTAAAAATACATGCTTCCATTTTGTCACATGTTCATAATAATTTACATATTGACCATGTGATGTTGACAGGGAGTGTAAACGCACCTAGCGTACAGGAAATATGTTATGATATTTATTGAGAAATTAGGTATGGTAATCATTATTACTTATTGTATTAAGCCCCCAACCCACTTCACAAAGTTCATGAAGTACCAAGGAAAGACCAAATATTAAATAAATTAGAAAAATTTGAATTTCCAAAAAAATCAAGTGGGTGATAATAGAGCCTCTGAAACATGGCAAAAGTGACATATTTTGTAATTTTCAATGCACTCCCGATAATTATCTATCATTGTGTGCTTTCCACACCATATCAAACTAATATTATCTAAAAATAATGTATGTAATAAGTTAATGAAGGAAAAATTTAATGTTTCAGAGACTCTATTATCGCCCACTTGATTTTTTGGGAAATTCAAATTTTTCTAATTTATTTAATATTTGGTCTTTCCTTGGTACTTCATGAGCTTTGTGAAGTGGGTTGGGGGCTTAATACAATAAGTAATAATGATTACCATACCTAATTTCTTAATAAATATCATAACATATTTCCTGTACGCTAGGTGCGTTTACACTCCCTGTCAACATCACATGGTCAATATGTAAATTATTATGAACATGTGACAAAATGGAAGCATGTATTTTTAGTGAAATATTTTCATAAAAAGGATGTTTCTGTGAAGTACAGGTAAGATTGTAATTAATCATTTTCTAAACTAACATATATTGCTGCATAAACATACACATTTGCTGTTAGTCAAATGAGGGACAACTTTTCCAAGAAGAAGAAGAAGGGTTTGTGAACAGAAGGTGAAGAATGGATTTGTTTTTTTTCCTCACGCGATTGATGTACAGTTGAACTTTGATATTCTAGGGGTATAATTTGATGAATTTCTACTTAATCAAGCATCTTTATGGGAAAAACTCACATGTAGAAGGATGGACAGATCTGTTTTCTACAAAATCAGCATTGAATGACGGCTTGACATGCAGTAATTGTTATTTCAGAGCTGATTTCAGCCAGGGTAGACTTGCCTCAGTTTCAGTCCTTGATAATGATATCTATCTTCCTTTTCAGGTAACCTGTCTCCTATGCTGGTTGTGTTGAAAATCTAGCACCACCTCCCTCCAATCCAACAATAAGATATTTCAACGATTACTACGAGACTCGGATCACTATTGGCATAGTAACATTGACTCGAGTAGATTCAAATTGCTCAGTAATATGTCTGATTGTGTGGCAAATCCAGAATCAAATCTAAGCAGACATCTTACTTCCGGTTTCTGAGTTCACCGAACGAAAAATGAAATTATATTCCCGGGACTAAGAAATTGCAATATCTGAGGAATACTTAAAAAGGGATTTTATGTTTATACAATTTCGTGTGTATTCGATTTGGAAGACATTCACCTTTCTAATATTACGTGAAAAGGTTTTCGTGCTCCTTTGTCATTTTTTCCCCTGTCCAATTAGCCATTTTACTGATATCCTTGAATTTTTTGATTTGTTGCTTCAACTGATTCATTCTTTGGTACTGTCAAGAAGATGGAACTATCATCAGCATATAAGAAAAGTTTACAATTATGAACTGAGTCTGCTAAGTCATTAATATATAACAAAAATAAGAGGGGGCCAAGAATTGATCCTTGGGGAACCCCACTATTTATTTCATAGGATCTGGAGTCTCGATTTTGAAGATTTTGAGGAATATTTGCACCAGCTTCAGCATTACATGAAATGTCTGAATAAGTATCATTGATCCTTACTTTTAATTTCCTATCTGTTAGATATGAGATCAATACCTGTAACTCTATAATATTGTTGCCTAATCCATAAGATTTCATGTTTCCCAAAGTTACATCGATTATTGGTCGGTTGAAGTTTTAATAAATAATCACGTTTTTGCTAAAATAATTAAAATAAAAAAATCATAAGTGTACGTTGTCATTTCGATGTACGTTGTCCCATTGAACTTACATATCTGAGTTCACAGTTAGCCCTTATGTAGACAACGTACTTTTCATAACACTAGGCCTAAGCTTAAGGGGAAGGGGATCAGATTCATTTAAAACTGAAACGGAACAATCCAGTATTACTAATTCAACTTGATTGAACTTTATTGAACCTCTGAACTTTCCAGATAGGCTATATAGCATAAACGGGATTTCGAAAGTCATCTTCGATTCGCAAGTAGGGCCTATAGATCTCGCCATGAACTCCTTAAGATTATTTAAATTTATAAAAGTGCAACATAACGTAACGTACCGACGCCGAATGGTCAAAGAGGTTGGAAGATAACACCCCATGGTCAAATGTTAATCACCATATCAACACTTTCATGAAATAAAATAGCATTCAACAAGGGGTACCTTTTTACTTGTTTATCTGTACCAGGGATACATGAATATGTCATTGAACATCACTTGTTACTCATAAAACCCTTACAATTAATGCGTTTTGAAATTAAATCATTCATTGTTTACATTTCAATTACAGGGACAACGTACATTGGAGATGACATCGTACATTTTTGATTTTTAAAATTATACCAAATACAAAAACATGAATATTTATAAAACCTTCAACCGTCTTAGATTGTGTAGTTCAGAGAAACATATTCTCATAAAAAATATTCGGCACTCTTAGACGACAGGAGAGAAAATGATCAAAGGAAATGTGTAAATAACACATTTTTCCAACCGGCCAATTACCCAAATGCGAGTAGGTAGTTACCAGTTTCACCATCAGGTGGCTGATTCGGGTCAATTAACATGGCAGGTATTTAAGAAAGTTCCCTTAAACTTGAATATTATCAATTTAAGTGGCTCAATTTTCATATAACCCTTCTGTGTCTAATACTTACTAATGAAAATATGTCCAGTAAAGCAAAATATCATCTGTTCACTAAAAGAAAATATATTTCATTGTTTGTGATTTTATAGCATGGGGTCTATGGGGAATCTCCCCGAGCTAGAAGTCACATTTTCAAAGAAAAGTAATTTTTTCAAAGTTGATAAACACTTTTTAAAACCACATTTCTAGATGTAATTTTACATGTAGATTTCAAATATGATATTACTTTGACTGAATTTTGAATTTTTAATGACGTAAATCAAGATTATTTTTACTCGCATCTGGGTTATTGCATGGGTAGATTAACAACGAAAAAATCGAGTAGTGCTCGAAAATCTTTTAACGTAATTAGAAAGGTAAATGTCTTCCAAATCGAATACACACGAAATCAAACATGAAATCCTTTATGTACTCCTCAAATTTTTTTTTAAACCACAATCAAACCTAGATCATAGTTTTCGCTTCCAGTCAGTTAATAGTGACACCGTACACCTAAAGTGTACGACGGTTCATCTTGTCACTATACGTTGTCGATGGTTAGGCTAGTAAGTAGGGCTCCCTAGAAAGGGGTAGTGAGGTCACTTTAGTCACTTTTAAAATTCTAAAATTGTCGTTTGTCACATATGAATTTACTTGCCATATTTTGTCAGTTTCATTCCTTCACACATGTTATGTTGTCTTGTTTGATTACCGAATAAGACACCTTTACTTTCATCTATTAACATTCAGAATGAATTGTCTATTTTTGTCACATTCAAATCCATTGTCACTTGCAACATGTGACGGACTGGGGTCCTTGATATGTTATAAGTTTATGTCTTTTATTTATTTTGATCAAGTATCAGAGTCTAGTATTGTACCATTGTCAACCAATCACCATTGTTTATTTAGTTCAAGTTCTTATTCTTATATAGGCCGATGGCTTTTACTTAGTGGCACAGTTATATTTTCATTGTACACAGATCATATATGTTTGTTCTGCTCTATTGTTTTGGACAACACCGTCATTCTTTCGGTTGTAAATGATAATTTGACATGCTAGCCACGTGTCATTAACCAATGGGCAAGACTGAGTAGTATTTCTGATTTTGGAATAATCCCTCCCCCTTGCTTTGTCTCTGACTGGGGAAGTATTTATAGTCCTAGCAAGGGATAACCCAGACGCTCAGAAGAATCAATCGGGGAATCAGTCGTTTTGCGCCCGGTTCTCGCGTTCGGTCACGGTCTTCTCTTATAAACGCCTAACCATCGACAAGGTACAGTGACAAAATATACCGTAGTACACTTTAGATGTACGATGTCACTATTTAACTGATTTGAAGCAAAGACAATGATGTAGGTTTGATGTAGGTGTAAAAATAATAATCTGAGGAATACATTAAGGATTTCATGTTTGACTTTTGTGTATTCGTTTAGGAAGACATTTAACTTTCTTTCTAATAACGTTAAAAGATTTTCGAACAGTGCTCGATTTTTGTTCGTAGTCAATCTACCCATATAATTGGTCGGTTGGAAAACGTTGTGTTTTTACACATTTCCTTTGATCATTTCCTCCCCTGTCGTCTAAGAGTGTCGAATATTTTTATGAGAATATGTTTCTCTATACTACACAATATAGGACGGATGGAGATTAATAAACATTTAAGTATTTATTGTAATTTCAAATAAATCAGAAATGTGCGTTGTCAACTCGAATGTACGTTGTCCCTGTAATTGTAATTCACGAGATATACGTAATATTAAACAATGTAATGATTTAATTTCAAAATTAATGGTGTTAGCTTCCAGCCAAAACTTCCATCCAGTGTCTCGGAATAGAATCAATATGTTGAAGAAGCACTGCCACGTAGTTTGCTTCCAGCCTCTTTAATTTGATTATTTGACGTCTATACCTTACATTTTGTTAGTTACATTGATAGATAGATCTGTACTAGCTTATTGAATATGACTTTTTAAAATCCGGTTCATGATATATCTGGAAAGTTTCAATAGTTCAATCAAATAGAAATAATTCTGTAATAGCTCTGTTTCAATTTTAAATGCATCTGACCCCCCCGTCTTTTAGTGTTATTAAAGTATACGTTGCCTGCATTAGGGTCAACTGTGAATTGAGTAAGTTCAATGGGACAACGTACATTCGAGTTGACAACGTACACTTATGATTTTTTAAATTATAGCCAAAACGTTAAGATTTATCAAATCTTCAACAGACCTTAATTGTGTTGTTTAAAGAAACGTATTCTCATAAAAATATTCGACACTCTTAGACGACAGTACAAATTTTGTACTGAACACCTCAAAATCATCTGTTGTTTTATACTGAACACCTAGAAATCATCTGTACGTTTGTACTGAACACCTGAAAATCATCTGTACGTTTGTACTGAACACCTCAAAATCCTCTGTCTGTTTACACTGAATACCTAAAAATCATCTGTACATTTGTACTTAACACCTCAAAAGCATATGTCTGTTTCTACTGAACACCTCAAAATCAATCCAACATTTTTACTGAACAAGTCAAAATCATCTGTGCACCTCAGAGTGTAAATCGAGAAAAACAGTTTCATCGTTTGTGTAGCATTTTATTTCACCATAGTCAATTTTGTCATATGGAAAGTTGCATATTATTAATATCGTGTTATATTGATTGAGATAGAGTAGCGAAGAAATATCCAAATTGCTAAATGTCCATAGCATAACGAATATTACATTTTATGACTTTATGCAGGATCACAAGTTGGTGCAGAGAAAGAACACGCTGGCACGATATCATAGAGAAAATTAGGTTTTGGAGATGTTCTAATGTCTTCATGGACTTCGTCAGTGGTCGATCGTCTAGTAGCATGTTATAAGAACTGTACAACCTTTTACTCCTGGTCCAGCAACGGTGTAGGCACATTCTCCTCCAAATCGGACCCATTTTTTGCTTGCACCAGTTCCTTGTGAAGCCACAAACACATGGCCTTGATACGTGTTAAATACCTAAAGACTGGTCCGGTTTTACGGTAAATGACAATCGATCTGTGCTTCCATTCTGGTCCACCCAATATATAGTGACATCCTTATTGCAGGTATTCTTGAAATACTGTTTAAAATAATTTGAAATGTTAGAGTGTAATTATCATGTACTCAACATGCATTAATTAGAGTGATGGAAATATAAATCGTAAAAAGTTATGCACTCAATGTTTTGGAATTATCTTGCACGTAATATGTCAAGAATTTCTCTCCTTGTCTATTAAATACCATATAGTAAATCAACCCAAAAGCATATAAGAAAAATGTGATTCTAGCATATTATTATTGACAAAAATGTGCTCTCTTGAAATTTGACCAATTTCGGACATTTAGAAAACGAATCATCAATTCTTATCAGTCTTAACATTTTCACCACATTTTTAATAACATCAAAATGCCGAATACTGAATGCAATAATCAAATTAAATTCACATGTACACCTTTAGCAAGGCAAGGTGTGTCCGATTCCAGTCAATCCGAACCTAATATCAATGAAATTGTGAAAATAGTAGTTTAATTCATTCTATAGCGAAGCAGTATGCAGTTAACCAATCCACGGCCTACATGGCCTATATATTTTCCAATTGGTGTTTTTAGACAGCGTCCCAGCAGTTGAAGTGGTACTTCCACAACACAAAATATCACAATATCATCAAACGATGCAAGATGCAAAAATAACTTGTATGGATAGTGTATCTTGAACACCATTCTTTATGGATGCTTGGGACGCTGTATCACGGTGGGTATAGTCATTTTTTTATTCATTACAAGTTATATCAATCTGACTATGAGCTGGTGTATTAGACACTGATGCACTGTTCTGCTTTCCAAAGTCAAGCTAAATTGATTGCATTGGCGCCCAAACATATGTGGCCATAACCTGATAAACTTGTACTTGTTAAGTAAGTGACTACTCGTTTTTAGTCAAACCATTATATATTGATTCGAATGGGAACCAAAAATCATAACTGCTGTTAATATTAGCGCTTGTTCTTTCCTTCAGTTAACTATAGATACCCTTAGTACTATTACCAATGCTTTGAAAAGTGAAAGAACTGTCATGACTGCTGACGGCTCATTTTCGGATGGTTCATTCAACGTGAGCAACGAGGTTGTATTGACATCAACTATTAAAGTACTTAATAACGAACGATAAGCCACAAGGCAGAAGCCCGAAATATTACTAATGGGGGCCACATCCTCTAGGCTTTCGAACTCTAGGGTTGGTTTACAGTAATGGAAGGCGTACATGCCCGTAGCCAGGATTTTCCTGGGGGTTCACTTTTGACAAATTTGGTCAAAAATGGCCAAAATCACTTAAAAAGTGCTCAGAATGGTAAAAACTGCACGATTTTGAAAGAATTTTTGGCCGGGGGGGGGGGGGGGGGTTCGCCTAGCGAACATGTCTTTTTTTGGCAAAGCGTTTTTTTTTGCAAAAAAGCCTCGAAATAAAACGTTTTTGCGCAATATAGCCTCGAAATGAAACGTTTTTGCTCAAAAAACTCGAAACAAAGCGTTTTTTTGCAAAAAGCCTCGTTTTCGCGCAGAAAAGCCTCGAACCAAAGCGTTTTTTTTGCTAAAAAAGCCTCGAAATAAAACGTTTTTGCGCAATAAAGCCTCGAAATGAAACGTTTTTGCTCAAAAAACCTCGAAACAAAGCGTGTTTTGCAAAAAAGCCACGTTTGCGCGCAAAAAAAAGCCTAAAACCAAAGCGTTTTTTGGCAAAAAAGCCTAGAAATAAAACGTTTTTGCGCAAAAAAAGCCTCGAAACAAAGCGTTTCTTATAAAAAAAAGCCTCGCTTTCGCTCAAAAAAAGCCTCGAACCAAAGCGGTTTTTGCGAAAAAGCCTCGTAATAAAACATTTTTTGCCCCAAGAGCCTCGAAAAAAGCGTTTTTTTGCCAAAAAGCCTCGAAATAAAACATCTTTGAGCAAAAATGCGTCGAAAACAAAGCGTTTTTTGCCAAAACGCCTCGAAACAAAGTGTTTTGTTTTCGAAAAAGCCTCGAAATAAAACAATGGTTGCCCAAAAAGCCTCGAAACAAAGCGTTTTTGCAAAAGAGGCTCGAAAAAATCGTTTCTGCCGAAAAAACCTAGAATGAAAGCGTTTTTTTGCCAGAAAGCCTCAAAATAAAACGTTTTTGTCTGTTTGTACTGAACATCTCAAAATCATCTGTTGTTTTATACTGAACACCTGGAAATCATCTGTACGTTTGTACTGAACACCTCAAAATCATTTGTACGTTTGTACTGAACACCTCAAAATCATCTGTCTGTTTGTACTGAACAAAATCATATGAACATTTTTACTGAACAAGTCAAAATCATCTGTGCACCTCAGAGTCATTTGTAAATCGAGATAAACAGTTTCATCGTTTGTGTAGCATTTTATTTCACCATAGTCAATTTTGTCATATGGAAAGTTGCATATTATTAATATCGTGTTATATTGATTGAGATAGAGTAGCAAAGAAATATCCAAATTGCTACTATTTCATGACTTGATATCATACAGAAAATTAGATTTTGGAGATGTTCTAGTCTCTTCATGGACTTCATCATAGTGATTTCATCATTGGTCGATCACCTAGTAGCATGTTATAAGAACTGTACAACCTTTTCCTTCTGGTCCAGCAACGGTGTAGGCACATTCTCCTCCAAATCGGAGCCATTTTTTGCTTGCACCAGTTCCTTGTGAAGCCACAAACACATGCCTTTGATACGTGTTTATACCTAAAGACTGGCCCGGTTTTACGGTAAATGACAATCGATCTGTGTTTCCATTCTGGTCCACCCAATACACCTGGACATTCTTTTTGCAGGTATTCTTGAAATACTGTTTAAAATAATTTGAAATGTTAAAGTGTAATTATCATGTACTCAACATGCGTTAATTTGAGTGATTGAAATATAAATCGTAAAAAGTTATGCACTCAATGTTTTGGAATTATCTTGCACGTAATATGTCAAGAATTTCTGGCCTTGTCTATATAGTAAATCAACCCAAAAGCAAAAAATGTGATTCTAGCATATTATTATCAATCCGAACCTAATACCCGAGACTAACATAAAATTGTGAAAATAGTAGTTTAATTCATTCTATAGCGAAGCAGTAGGCCTATGCAGTTAACCAATCCACGGCCTATATAATTATTTTCCAATTGGTGTTTTTAGACAGCGTCCCAGCAGTTGAAGTGGTACTCTCACAACACAAAAAATCACAATATCATCGAACGATGCAAGATGACATGCAAGATGCAAAAATAACTTGTATGGATAGTGTATCTTGAACACCATTCTTTATGAATGCTTGGGACGCTGTATCACGATGGGTATAGTCATATTTTTCTTTTATTCATTACAAGTTATTTCAATCTGACTATGAGCTGGTGTATTAGACAATGATGCACTGTTCTGCTTTCCAAAGTCAAGCCAAATTGATTGCATTGGCGCCCAAAATTATGTAGCCATAACGTGATAAACTTGTTAAGAAGCAAATGACTACTATTCTAGTACTCGTTTTTAGTAAAACGATGCTAATCAGTCGACAATGCACTGTCTCCAGGGCTGAAATCCTTAGTTAATTTACTCTTGTCTCAATATATTACCTGTAATATTTTCTGGTTATTAACATCCTTGGATTTTATGCCGCTTGGTTCTTTGCATTGGTCTGAAACATTTCAAACACAACGAAAATGACATCAGCCTGTCTTCTTTATTTTGGTCTGTATGTTTCACGTGAAACAACAATTTAATGATGGTCATATACAAGGGGCGATCCATATATTCTGATAAAAATGCTCTCATTTTGTGATTATTTCACATATCCCTCTCATTCTTTCAGAACTTGAAGATTATGTAATTACACATACAATGCTAAAATATTATAGCTACAGTGTATATCTTAAATTATTTTTGAGATAAGGTTGCCATGGTAACCTGTATTTAGGGTAGGCAGGTCAGTTAAATTATAACGTATGAAATAGATAAATTTGTTAATTTAATCATTCCTCGGTACCTATTTCAAGCAGATCAAACGCATATCCAGGTCATTGCTCCATACCCCTGTTGCCCTTTTGTATGCTATTTGCACAGTGGAATAGTTCTATTTTCATAAATTGCATCTCAAATCATCGTAGTGTTATTCTCTGTCCGCAAGACCTTCTTGCAACCAGATTGGGAATGACATTTAACAGTGACTAGCCTTCCTCAAATTTACAATACTACCTAGAGATCCTTAGAGCAGACATAACACGTTGTCCATACACTATACGAGACCATGCATGTCTCTGGCAGTATCCTCTTATTCTTGGTAGTACATAAAATATAATGGTACTCCTAATGTATCTGTTAATGTCACACTCTGCAACAGCCGCACTAACCTCATCTGATCTGTCATTTTGATATTTGGTGTGTCTCATGACATGTAATTCCAATTTGCCCATCCTGTCATACATTGATATTGTTAGTTGTTGTGATGTTATAGTGATCACAAATAAACATTTGTTTAGCAACAAACAACAAGAAACAATGCCAAACTTTTTTTAGAAAAAATGTATGATTTCCGCATGCTTTAAAATAATTAAAATAACAAGTTATTATGATATTTTATATGTTATTATACATTAAATTCAATTGACCTGCCTACCCTTAATACAGGTTACCATAGTAACCCTATCTCTTAATTAATTTAAGATGTAGCTATAATATTAGAGAATTGTATGTGCAATTACATAATCTACATTTTCTGAAAATATGAGATGGATATGTCAAAAAATAGCAAAATGAGACCATTTTTATCAGAATATATGGATCGCCCCTTGTATATATATAAGTTTATATACCTATTATTTATTAGTTGTGTCTAATATTAAATGCGCTTATTTTAGAGAGGCACATTCATACAAGACCTGCAATTTTTCAATTCGATCAAATATAAATGTATATGCATATGTTATATGTATGTATATGACTCATTTAATTATTTTTACTATATCATTTATTTTATTCCATTGATTTTTTCCTCATATCACCCCATATAGAGGTTTTAGAGAGTATCATGAATTTAACTAAAAACCTAACTACTAAATGATGAATATTTGCTATATTATGATTTCAATAAAAGTAAATGATTAATTATAAAATAGAGTAATATACCGGGTATGGTGCATGCAAGTGCAATCGCCGGCAGAATCAAGATTATGTATGCAATTACTGTCTTCGCCATTCTTCTTTTGTTTCACTGCTTCTAATTAAATATATAATGAGAGCACATATATAAACATTACTAAACTGTACACAAGGTGAGCCAAAAAAGGTTATGCAAACAAATGTTAATAACTCAGTCATCCAGACCCATCCAGCATGAGTTTTCCTCATATTTAGCGCACTTAATATTTGTTCATTGATCTTTTATTGTATAAAGTTTCACTGGTCTATTCTAAATAGTCATGATTGCATGGCAACTTTACAAAACGTTCTCCAAATATCGAAACATGTCAAAATCACCCAATATCAACCCCTAGAACCATATCTTTGGGGCTATTTCAAAGAGAATGTCTACACAATCAACCCTAGAGGCATCGGAGAATTGAAACAACAGATCCGAAGGAAAATAAGAGCCATTGCACAAGATATCTGTGAGTGTGTAGTCAGATGCGTTCAAGTTGCCTCCAGAGACGAGACCGCATTTTGAGCATGTTTTGTAAAATGGCCATAAAACCGTGTCCATTTGAAACTTTAGTGGAATGAAAGAACAATGAACAAGTTCCAATAAATTGTACCGAATATGGCGTTCAATGCTAGATGACAGCATTATTAACATTTGTTACATTTTTGGCTTACCCTGTATATACTGCATATAATTACAATATGTTTAATATTTGAATCGGTCGAAATGGGCATTTGGAGGTGCCCCAACCAATAATTTGCAATTGTAAAATTAAAGAATATAACTATTAAGAATATGGCAAGAATTTCAAGCAAACTTACCTTTGTATGTTGAAGAGTATGCGCTTCTATATGCTCGTTCCTTTGAGTCGAGTAACAATGGATTGCGGACACGGGTTTATAAATGCCAGAGACATGGATGTGGTTAAACACGATGCAAATGCACATTTTCAAATAATGGATGGCAATGGCTTTTAATGTTTTTGTGGAATCACACGCAGCAATTAGTATTTACCCTCCTCACCATAAGTTTGCCAACTGAAAGTCCACTTTTGGGTCACTTATCGAAGCCTGTTTATGATTGGAGGTCACAAAACTTCTAAAAACTGTTATATATTGTAAACAGAACAAAATTAAGATTCAAACATCAAAATGCTTTGATATGATATCCACTGTCCCTGTTGCCAAACTTATGGAAAGGAGTGTATATCGCTTTTACCCCTAGAACACTAAACTTATAAGAAATTAAAAAACAACCATGCAGCGCTTATATACAGTGATCACAATGATAACGTTCTTTGATAGAGCGTATATATGAATATATGTTATTAGAGCGAAAGAACTTGAAGCATTTTGTTAAATGAAAACATATCTTGAAAGGAGCAATTCGCTATTATCACATGGAAAATATATCAAGATATGCTCTCGCAATACCAAGAAATGAGATGTCCAAAAGAAGAATGGAGATATGCTCTGTTGCGGATCAAATGATTTCCTGATTATACAGAGGTGCATGAAAGACATATTTTTTATTCAGATTTAGACAGACATTTTAAGTAAAGAAAATGTGGAATAACTTCCAAGAGTAAAGGTTATACTTTCACAAAACCATAATTGAATTGTCCAATTCAGTTGAACCACAATTGCAAAAACAAACTTTTAGTTGCAATTAATTCATCCACAATTAATGTATTTTAACCATAAAATAAAATACTGTACTTGTAGATAATTGACATTTTATGTTGTATGGTCTGAATATATCTAGCTGACTTAGCAGCAAAACAATTACAGGATTGTCTATCAATTCATGCTAACAAAAATGAATAAAAGGTCCATGTGCAGTATGGCAAGTGCTTTTAGACAGTCATATCTTTCACTATGAGTATTTTCTGGGTATAAATACCGTGTTTTTAAAACAATATGTTTTCTTTAAAGTGAAGTGCCCATGCTAGTAAAATATCAATCCAACTCTCTGAAAAATTATGGATTAGGACCCCACCTTGTCACTTTTAAAAAAATGTAAGACGTATTTTCTAAAAAGAGGATCTTGTTTTTCTCAATTAAAATGCATCAAAAGTTTCTTCTGCACTATATTAATAACTTCTGAAAAGGGGATGCGTATTGAATTGCGATAAAGTTAAAAAGCACATTTCCATGTTATTTTCCCATAGGGAAAACTCATGCTATCCATTGTTTTCAGCATGATTTTGGTCATCGAAGATTGATATCTTCAAAACTAGACTTTCAATACCATTCTACTTTTGAAGATGTTTTAGACCCCTTGTTGAATAATGTTTTCATGCAATAAAAATCAGAAAAAAGATCCTGTTTTGAGCAAATAAGTTCAACCCTATTTATACTTTTTCGAATTGTTCGATTCATATTTTTATCATCATGGGGACTTCATTTGAAAGAAAACATATTGTTTTAATAAAAACCACTGTATTTATGCCCAGAAAGTACTCATGGTGAAAGATATGACCGTCAAAAATCACTTGCCATACTGCACATGGACCTTTCGGTATAAGTCATCAGGCTGGAATTCCAGTAAAATTACTTAGGTGGGTAGGTGGGTTTATTCAATGAGCGCTTCTCACAGTTGGGGACCCAAACGCCGCTGAAAGCACACGGAATACCCTGACAACGAATACCGTTATCACAAATGGTGGACGTACAGTAACCGTCGCTTCAACTCTTAGTGAATAATTACTTTTTCATACAGAATAACACAATAACATGAATGTAATTTGAGTATTGTTTTTAAGATTTATTGGCAATTTATTTAACTAAATGGCACAAGTTTTCTTCGTATAACACAATAACTATTCATGTCAAATTTACATAATTCTACGCAGTTTTTATTCAGTTCTCCTACTTATAATGCATATATTTGATAGATTATGTTTAACACGCATATTTGCATAAAAATTATCAGTAAGTCATTTAATCTAATGGCACGTTTAATATAAAAATAAACATTCATCATTTTTAATTGCAGTTTCAATTTAACCTATAAACATTTTAATTTCTATTTCTTTAACGTTTCGGCAGATTACAATACTGCTCATTGCAGCGTCCAAAAAGTTTTGTAATCTACAAGAATACATTTGATTAATCACCATATGTGAACATACATTTACCACATGTACACTGTGGACCCTTAATAATTAAATTCAAACCAGAAATGTGTAGGTATAAGGATACATAAGCCTTACCAAAAGTCAGTCTCTTTTATACTTATCTTGTTTTCTATAATCATCGCCAGTGATGAAAAAGTAAAAAAAGAAAAAAACATGGACTTGGGCAAGGCTAAGGATACATGGTTGTCAGTCCTTTTCTACAGCTGAATTCTCCAACATTTTATATTTTGCTATGGATTGTGGTAAATATATCAGCAAAGTTGAGAAGATGGCTCAGCCACATAGACGGGTGATTTAATTCAGTGGATGCATATTTACTTTACTACTTTATTATACTGTATAAGTGGTATTTAATCCAGTAGTTAATTTTCCCATTTTTATCATTTACTTAATTTTAACTCTCTTAGTGACAAGAAACTGCTCATTGGATAACATTATAAAGATAATATTTCGAACGTTTAATTTTCCAAACCTGGCAAAAATTAGGCAATAGGCAAATTAAATGATTAGGCAAAATTACCACTAATACAGTATTTTCATATCATGATGCCACAAATGCTTACAATGTCTTGTCCTGCATGCCCTGGTTGAAATTGCTTTCATAAAGATATTATTTGCATAACAGCTCAACTATGACAATAACTATGATCAACTATTCAAGTGTTGGCAATCACCAAAAAGAGTGAGTAAAAAAAGTGAGTCTTACTTTCTACTAGCACTCTACTTACAAAATTTACTGTGTTCTAGTTATTGGATCAAAACCATAAAGTTATTGTATAACCTGTGTTAGTGGCACACTTTTGGTACCTTTAAGTGTTCTATTTTGGAGGTGTTTATTTACACTTGATTAATTTGTACCTGGTGAAGGGTGTACTACTTACAAATGTGTTCCACTAAACAAGTTCCACACTGATTGGAAGACATGATGTCAATACTACAGTTTTGTTATTCACCCTGGACATAAGTGAAACTTCTTCACATCTCATACTACTGTCCATTGGTTTAAAAATGCATTGCACTGACTTTGATATTTTATACTTATTACACTTGCACTCCCTTTGACAATTTCATAAAAAGCTTGTTAAAGAACTAGATATAGAAAAACAGATGCAAAAATAAATGGTCTTTTCTCTAAAACAAAAACGGTGTGTTAATTTCTATACAGTTCAGTCTATAAAATTATTATTTCCAAAACGTGTTTTTTTTAAAGATTGAGTGGAATGAATAATGTTTGATAATCTAAAATTGAAACAGATCGATATTTAGCATACTATTTGCCTTTCTGATTCCTGTAGTTCTATGTTATTTGAGTATTGTAACTTAAATCATTTTTTTATTCATTAAAAACTAGAGATCTAATTGAATTGCTTCATGAAGTCCAAGATCATACTTCTTATCAGAATTTCTAAATTTAATCCTTATTCATCATTGAAGAGCATATCATTACTTTCACTCTATTAAAACATGTCATAAAAAATGTCATATTTTCAATTCATACATGCTGCTTGATGAAAACTCGACCTTGCATCAAATTTTAGGTTTCTTTGCGGGGGATGGTTGACCAATATTTGCATCTACTACAGCTGGTTCTTCTACAAGCTTATTATGCAACTCCATCAAACCTTTGAAGTATTTAACAGTCTTTACTCGAAGTTCATCAGTGGCGTGTTCGTCACAGACAAATATTGTATGTGGGTGCTGTTGGAAGGCGGAGACTGTCCACATGTGATTGACACCTTCTTCTATGGCCTTGTGGAGAGCAAATGCTTTATGGGAGCCTGTGATCAGAATCATTACCTGGAACAGAATACAGGGTGTTTCAGAAAAACAAGGCAAATATAGAGTGTAGGTGCTGTTGGAAGGCGGAGACTGTCCACATGTGATGGACACCCTCTTCTATGGCCTTGTGGATAGCGAATGCTTTATGTGAGCCTGTGATCAGAATCATTACCTGGAACAGAATACAGGGTGTTTCAGAAAAACAAGACAAATATCATATGTGGGTGCTGTTGGAAGGCGGAGACTGTCCACATGTGATTGACACCTTCCTCTATGGCCTTGTGGAGAGCGAATGCTTTATGTGACCCTGTGATCAGAATCATTACCTGGAACAGAATACAGGGTGTTTCAGAAAAACAAGGCAAATATAGAGTGTAGGTGCTGTTGGAAGGCGGAGACTGTCCACATGTGATGGACACCCTCTTCTATGGCCTTGTGGAGAGTGAATGCTTTATGTGAGCCTGTGATCAGAATCATTACCTGGAACAGAATACAGGGTGTTTCAGAAAAACAAGGCAAATATAGAGTGTAGGTGCTGTTGGAAGGCGGAGACTGTCCACATGTGATGGACACCCTCTTCTATGGCCTTGTGGAGAGCGAATGCTTTATGTGAGCCTGTGATCAGAATCATTACCTGGAACAGAATACAGGGTGTTTCAGAAAAACAAGGCAAATATAGAGTGTAGGTGCTGTTGGAAGGCGGAGACTGTCCACATGTGATGGACACCCTCTTCTATGGCCTTGTGGAGAGCGAATGCTTTATGTGAGCCTGTGATCAGAATCATTACCTGGAACAGAATACAGGGTGTTTCAGAAAAACAAGACAAATATCATATGTGGGTGCTGTTGGAAGGCGGAGACTGTCCACATGTGATTGACACCTTCCTCTATGGCCTTGTGGAGAGCGAATGCTTTATGTGACCCTGTGATCAGAATCATTACCTGGAACAGAATACGGGGTGTTTCAGAAAAACAAGGCAAATATAGAGTGTAGGTGCTGTTGGAAGGCGGAGACTGTCCACATGTGATGGACACCCTCTTCTATGGCCTTGTGGAGAGCGAATGCTTTATGTGAGCCTGTGATCAGAATCATTACCTGGAACAGAATACAGGGTGTTTCAGAAAAACAAGGCAAATATAGAGTGTAGGTGCTGTTGGAAGGCGGAGACTGTCCACATGTGATGGACACCCTCTTCTATGGCCTTATGGAGAGCGAATGCTTTATGTGAGCCTGTGATCAGAATCATCACCTGAAACAGAACATCTTAAAATCTGGAGCAATTTCATAATAATTTTATATATTCATTTAAGCAGGGTTAACGTTCCACTCAATGTACCATAGAAACTGCAGTTTTGGTTACGAAAAAAATACAAAATCAATATTAGCGATTCAAATATGCCATCTATCTGAAAACTGAAAAGTCAAAAGCAAATAAATTAAAGAACTTATCAAGCATGGATATTGATATCATATTCATTTTTGAAACATAGATGGGTCCTTGACAGACACATAACATATCCCATTAGCCCACTGTATGAACCAAAAATTACGAGGCAAAAACAAAGTAGCCTTACATGTACATCAAGTTTCTTAACCCCCTTCATACAATCTACTTTTCTATGTGGTAGCAAGATGTTTAGATTAGGCTTACAACAGGAAAAGGTAAGACTAACACAAAGCAACTTAAGCAATCTCACTGTACCTCAACATTGTAAAACAAGGCATTGACATACAAAATGTCACCATCTGCCATTCCTTGTAACAAATGCCGACCGCTCAATACCAGTTACTGACAGTCTGATGCTGACTGCAGAACTGTATCCACAAAAAGTTGGAAGAGTTTAACAATATGTCACCACTTTTTCATAATGACTCACCTCATCTGCATCCATGACTGTTTGAACACCAACAGTTAATGCCATTGTGGGCACCTTGGACAAATCTCCATCAAAGAACCTTGCATTTGCCATCACTGTGTCATGTGCCAGGGACTTGACTCTGGTACGGGATACAAGACTTGAACCAGGCTCATTGAATGCAATATGACCATCTGGTCCAATACCTGCAATGAAAAACAGAACCTAGTAGGTATCTTAATAATCCAGCACTACTGAGAAGAATTTGTGCACATAGGTGAATAATATATGTGAATAAAACAATGGTGGTTGAACCAGGCTTGTAGAAAGCAATATGACCATTTGGTCCTATACCTAGAATGAAAATCAGTTTAAAGTGGCTATTTTGACAGTCTTTCTAGCGAAACTTCTGTACATAGGGCATAAATTATAAATAATGGCATGCATGGTTAATTATGAATTCTGCTATTACAGTACATTGAAACCATAACATTCTCCTCATGCTTTTAATCATGAAAGTCAAAAGATAAAATCCAGCTTGTTGATTGGCTAATTATGCTGACCTTGACACCATTTAATGGATAGGGGTGTGTCCCCATTGACCACTCAACAGGAAGTTAACTCAAACATAGAAAGAATGCTGCTTGTTCTTACCTCCAACAAACAGTCTAATTCCTCCAGCAAGTTTGATCTTTTCTTCAAAACTGTCACACTCTTTCTGTAGATCCTTAGCATTGCCATCCAGAATATGGGCATTTTCTGGATTGATATCAATATGTTTGAAGAAGTTGTTCCACATAAAGGCATGGTAACTTTCTGGATGGTCCCTTGGAATATCTGCAAAGTAGAGTTATGTCTTTGAGAATTGTTTGTTAAACACAAGATCAAATTGAAAAAGTTTTTTCACAAGTTTTTCCATTAAGTCCCCCATTCACATGTATAAATTCACTTATCGTATGCTCACCCATGCTAAATTTACCCACCAACACTAACTTCCCTATATACTACCCATTTTAAATCTATTCACCTACATTAAGTCACATACACGCTCATCCATGTTAAATCTACTCAACTACACACATATCAAGTATATTCAGCTACACACCTATATTAAACATACTCAAGAGTCAATACATACTCATCCATGATTAATTTACTCCCCTACATACTCATCCATGTTAGATGTACTCACCTACATACATATCCATGTTAAATGTACTCACCTACATACTCATCTTTGTTAAATGTATTAACCTCCATACTCATCCATGTTAAATGTACTCACCTACATACTCATACATGTTAAAGTTACTCACCTACATACTCATCCATATTAAATGTGCTCACCTACATACTCATCCATGTTAAATGTACTCACCTACATACTCATCCATGTTAAATATACTCACCTACATACTCATCCATGTTAAATGTACTCACCTACATACTCATCCATGTTAAATGTATTAACCTCCATACTCATCCATGTTAAATGTACTCACCTTCATAATGTACTCACCTACATACTCATCCATTGCTTTATACAGTAAGGTTTTATATCGAATCATTTAAAGTTTGAAACTATAGTATACAGTATAAGACATGAAGACCTTGTTTTTTAAACAGCCAGTTTTTCATACAAGTTAAAGTTACTCACCTACATACTCATCCATCTTAAATGTACTCACCTACATACTCATCCATGTTAAATGTCTTGACATATTTGAAAGAGAGTTTTCCCTCCTTGTAGAATTTAATCAACTCTTTGTATGTCCCAAGGGGTGTGCTACCTGGAATAAAACATGAACATATAATAAATCATTTGGAAGTTTTCATTTTCACCTTCCACAGTTAAGCCATATCAAAATCCAACATCAAATTGGGTTTACCTACAGGTGTACTCATTTTTACACAGAGTGTTTAAAAATCAAAGATAGTATGTTGCTTTATACAGTAAGGTTTTATATCGAATCATTTAAAGTTTGAAACTATAGTATACAGTATAAGACATGAAGACTTTGTTTTTTAAACAGCCAGTTTTTGACTGCATTAACAAGGATGCCTTATGAATTGACCACTGATGTTATCATGGCCTTTTAATCACTTAAAAGCCCATTCATTAATATTTTCTTTCAAGCAATCAAAAATTGATTTTTATTTTATAAATGAAAACTGGTATTATTTATATTTCAATACATATGTAATTATGCATGCTTTAATCATATTGATTTTCATTTACTTTTCACAGCTTGTATTGCAATAATTTCGAAATCAAAAAAATTGTTGGAACATTTGCATTTTATTGCATGTTAGCTGAATGCAGAACATCTCAACATAGAAGGAAGTGAAAATGTTGAAAGCAATATTCTCATACACTTGCCAATTCAAAGTCTAAACATTGAAAAAATAATTTGAGAAATCTGATCAAGAAGTAAATGGTGAAAGGTACATCATGCATTTCAATATGCAAAAACATTTAAAACAATTAACTAAGGTTTTAAAGAATTTTAACATAATGCATCAATGGAGATTTGGCCTAAACTTTTTTTTTAGAAAAGTTGAAAAAGTTATTTACATAACACAACTGTATAAATTAAAGTTATCTTTGTGGAAAATCGTTCAAATATAACATTAAAAAGTAGGAATGTAAATCAAGTCATTAAGAGGTTTAATATGCAAATCTCTTGAAAAATCTCAGAGAATAAGCGATATTTCAAAGCCATATAGAAACTCCTCTATTTTAATATGGGGCTAGGTACTATTGCACTAACCTGTAGGGAGTCCAAGAGTGAAGAGTCTGTCCTTGTCTGGATTGAAAGCATTGATCTTCTTTCGGATGTATTTAGCTGCCCACAAACTAACATCATCATATTTGTCTAGGATAACTAGTCTCATCTACAAATATAAGGGGAGGGGACTACTTTTATTTGAATCTGAATCAAAAAGGATAACTATGTGTAGTCAGCAGACACACCTAAAAAATACATGGGGATTTATTCATGGAGATGAGATATCAATTAGGATTTATAAGAAGTCTCATCTTGTAACACAAGGGTACATGGGGTTATACTCATTTAGGATAACTTTTTTTCAACACTATTGTGGTGGGTCATCACTTTTTTCTGCCAATAAATATGTTGATACTGAATTAGCATATGTAATCAATGGACACAGCTCACTGTATTCTTGTTAAGCAAATTCCATCTTAAGGCCAGTTGTACGGTGGGTATTGCGATCAGATCACTGCCATAAGACCATGCTTTACAATAAATTATTATGGGAATGCTTTGACACAAGAAAATGTAAATGCTTTTTAAAAGACCACGCAATGATTTGACCTCCTTTGTATTTATGACCTACATTGTGATATGCATATTGATTTGTCTATTAAAAATCAGATTGTTGTATTCAAATCGATAATAAACTCTTTCATACAATTAAAGCAATCATCACTTAAAATTAAAATATCTTTAGAGAGTTTACAGACATTGTATACAAAACAGTTCCAAAAATGGCAAAGTATGAAATACACTGGATGAGCTAAGATTTCTCCTTACCAAACTTTGTGGCAGAAATTATATTCTCAAACTTTCATTTATTGCCAACTAACAATATTCAAGGACTAAGTCTACATCATAAAACCATGCCAAATATATCATGAAAATCATTTTATTACTGACCTTTTCAAATCCATCATCCATTTTTGCAAACGGAGTGAATACAATATCTCTTAACACATAGATTTCAATCCATAGTGTAGTAAAACATACAAGTGCTGTGTTTTATTGCTTTGGACTTTAAAACAATCAATATTTTTTATTTGTTTTTGTGAAACAACATGTCAAGGTAACATTAACCGATGTCAGGTAAGAAAATGTTCTTTAAATCTTATATAAGAAAGTATAAGCATAAAAAAATCTGGTACAAAGGGGGGAGGGGTGGTTGTGAGGTAGACCAGAATTTGAAAAATGGTCCAAATTTAAAAAATATATATATACCCTGATTTTTTTCAAAAAGACCCATTTTTCCAAAAATATACTTTTGCCACCCTTCTCCTTATCAATTCCAAGACCTCTCCCTAATAATAGAGTCTAAGATTGCTCAAATAAACACTTTAATTTGGAGCACATATGTTCCGTAATTATGTGCACTTTATTTTTTTTATGTCACTGTAAACAATAAATATGAATTTTCAGTAAACACTTTACAAATAGGTGACATTTATTATACACCTGTGACCTCACAATGAGTTAATATTTGAAATACCCACAATTAATGATTAAACCCACAAGACACTATTAAATGAGTCCAAGGAGATAAATGTAATCTAATGCCAGTACTCAGCATATCAGTTGACATTGAATTTTAGGAGGTGTGTTGAGCAATGTGATCTCATAAAATGCCAACCAAAGTTTAGCACAAGTGATGAATGTCAAGTGATATATGAGTAATGATCAATTGAAAAGTTCACAAATGACAATTAAAACATATGATAATGTCACTAAGAGGGCATCTTTAAAATCACAAACTGAATGTTTTAAGATATTGTAAGAAAACAAGCACTCACTTTTCTATTTAAATACAAAAAAATACAAAAAACACAGTTACTAGACAGTACATGTACTACATGTAGATAATTCTGAAGATCAAAATGTGACATTTGAGTAAAATATTTTTTTATTATCATGTATGTCTCACATCAATATGTTATCAAGAGCTCTACAATAGTTTATATTTAACTTTCTGGTGGTCTCGTTACCAGCCAGGTTTCGGGTCGGAAATTGGTGAATACAGTAAAACCTGTCTGATCCAAATGCTTCTCAGACCGAACAAAAATGTTCGGATTAGCAGGTGCTCACATTTCAAGGTTTTATAAACATGTCAGTCATCAATGGGAGATTTACAATGTTTGGGACTGAGAAAAAGTGTTCATAATGACTCATGAGAGGTGTTTAGATTAGAGAGGTGTTCAGTTATACAGGTTTCATTTATTCACTGTATACTGTATGCACAATCAACACAGGAAAGGACCAAAAAAGTAGAGAACACATCAATGAGAAAAAGAAAACATCTAAGAGTACAAAAGTCATTAGGAAAAAAAACCAACTATCCCAACTCATGATCTAGAGTCCATTTCACTGCTTCATTTCGTCAGTAGAACGGCAAAAATAAGAAATTGGGAGACCATTGTGCAATAATATATGGAAAAGTATATTCATAATGTACATGAATGACATTTGTATATTTCAGATTTTTTAGTTTTTTGTGCAATAAGCCTGTGCCATCCTGTAATTTGAAGAATTTCAGCCATGTTAATCTTATTGAAAATAACATGGCAGAGAAACATCCAAATATAAGAGGCCACACACTTTATAAGCCAAACTAGAAGCAATCCAAGATATACAAATGTCATTCATGTACATATATACTTTTCCATATATTATTGCCCAATGGTCTCCCAATTTCTTATATTTGCCGTTCTACTGACGAAATGAAGCAGTGAAATGGACTTTAATGTGAATGGAAAAAATGTGTAATATCCCCTTCCCGACAATCCAAGTACCATTATCAAAATCAGAGGATATAATGTACTGGAAGATATTTTTATCATCAATGTTAGACATTCTACAGAAGTAAAATGTTGTGGACATATTATTTTCTAGTTATCATTTCCCATGATCTCCTTTTCACACGTAAGCCTTTATCTATTGAAAGTACATGAATATATGTACATCAGTCCATGGTACAAGTATATCAATTGTTTATCTGTACCTAGGTGCATTCATGCACCGTCTGGGTCTCTGAGGATTGTGTTGGCCCCTAATGCAAGTCCATACGACAATCCAACGCATTAGAGCAGGCGGTGTTCACTTATCCCGTACCAGGACTATAGTCCTGCAGTGAGAGCATTCTTTTGCCTGTACGATTACAACATGGGAGAATTTTCTACGCTTCTTACACTTAAGATACCTATTTCAATAGATTCCTTGGTATTTTAGCATTCTATTCTTGTAGTTGAATCCACAATTGTCTGGGTTTATCGGCGGAACAAAGAAATTTTCGTTTTTAATCGCAATATTTGCGTGTAATATTTAACTTATTTCAACCGTCAAATTCCTCCATTTTTGGTGCTTCTGGGCCACTTCCGGGTCAGTCAAACAGGGAATCCCCTTTTAAATCCAACCGCCATCTCGGAAAGTGATGGAATATCTCTCGATGAAAAAGAACAATGTTCCCGTTCTGCCGATATACCCAGACAATTGTGGATTCAACTACACGAAAAGAATGCTAAAATACCCAGGAATCAATTGAAGTAGGTATCTTAAGTGTAAGGGGCGTAGATAATTCTCCCATGTTGTAATCGTACAGGCAAAAGAATGCTCTCACTGCAGGACTATAGTCCTGGCACGGGATAAGTGTTCACCATCTAATCTGTACCCCACTAATAGAGACCCTATCTGTTGCAAGACTAACGCCTGGCGTAACCGTCACCATGTTATTCGGTGTTTTTTAAGTAGCGCAAGGATCCTGCCATGACCGTGGTAATGTTATCGTGAAAGCCTGGTATAACCGCGACAATGCTGTATTATATTAAAATGCCTGCCATGACCGTGGTAGGGTAATCGTGTAAGCCTGGCGCGACCGCAACCTTTATATGACATTAATGACCTTCATGTTTCGCCCAATGCTGTTGGTATTTTTTATGAATAAATCTTATTAATTGATCATTATAGAAAGTATATGCTTTCGAATCGAAGCTCCTTGCATGAGAGTAGAGATATAGTTTGTTCGCAAATTATTTATGAGTAAAAATTAGGTTTTTGTTGTGAAATTAATACACATTTTTAGTAGTCTTTATTTACATATTTAAGGTAGTTAAACACGAAGAAAAATTGTCATTACAGTGTTCTCATGCTACTTTAAATACAACCACGGTCATGAGAGGCCTTGCAACTATTGTCACGGTCATACAGGGCTTTAACATTACCACGGTCATGACAGGCCTTGCAATATAATGTAGCATTGTCACGGTCATGACAGGCCTTGCAAGCATTGTCACGGTCATATCAGGCTTTAACATTACCACGGTCATGACAGGCCTTATAAGCATTGTCATGGTCATATTAGGCTTTAACATTACCACGGTCATGACAGGCCTTGCAATAATTCATGATTAGGACTGCTATAACCGTGACAATGTTTATAGCAAAGCCGGGCATGACCGTGACAATGTCATATAGTACTGCAAGGCCTGGCATGGCCGTGACCATGTAATACAGTATTGCAAGGCCTGCCATGACAGTGACAATGTAATGTTTATGATAGGACTGCCATAACCGTGACAATGTGTATTGTAAAGCCTGGCATGACCGTGACAAGGTAATATAGTATTGCAAGGCCTGCCATGACCGTGACAATGTAATATAGTACTGCAAGGCCTGGCATGACCGTGACAATGTAATATAGTATTGCAAGGCTTGGTATGACCGCCGTGGCAGTGTAATGTAGTATTGCAAGTTCAGGTATGAGAGTGGTGATGTAGAAATTTATGATTATGACTACTGCTATAACCGTGACACTGTGTATTACAAAGGCTGGCATGACAGTGACAAGGTAATATAGTATTGCAAGGCCTGCCATGACCGTGACAATGTAATATAGTATTTCAAGGCCACATATGTGGGTGGTCATGTAGAAATTTAGGCTTAGTCCGTGATAATGTATTGCAATGACTAGTACTAGGGCACTGTAAATATGAATCATATTAGTGTCAGAAATATCCTTAAACAATTTTAAGTGATCGTCATTATAATGATACGATACAATTAAACAGTTTAACACTATATGATCATGGTGTTTAACTACCTTAATTATGTTAATATCAAAATTACTACTAGACATTATATTCACATTATTTCCGCATATTCTAAAATAATTAATCATTTACACAGAATAAGACAAGTTATTTGTGTCACGCTAATAAACAATTTAGACCGGAGACATAAAATATACAAATATTTAAAAGTGGATAGTAAACAAATCGCTTAACAAACAACAATAAAAAATTCTTAAATTAAAGGTAAATGCTACGGCCGCGCCAGGCTTCCACGATAACACTCACGGTCATGACAGGCCTTGCAATATAATACAGCGTTGTCACGGTTATACCAGGCTTACAAAATAACACTGCCACGGTCATGGCAGGATCCTTGCGCTACTTAAAAAACACCGAATAACATGGTGATGGTTACACCAGGCGTTAGTCTTGCAATAGATAGCATGTGCACTAATATTGTTTACTGTTGGACCTCATTGTTCTGATCCTAAAAGGAGGGTTATGACTAATTACATCTTACTCCCAAGGCTGCAAGTGTAATAGTTCATCTAGCCTAGGTCTTCAAAGTTGAAAGCTGAAAGTGAAACTTCTGAGTGCTGTTCAAAAAATGAGTCAACTTTTGGATCACCGAATTTCCTAATTGCCATCAAGCTAGCAAGGATCACAAAACGATAAACAACAATTTAAGAGATTCAAGAGTTAGAATAATATAAAATTATAGGGTTAGTTATTGTTCGTATGTTACAAATAAAATTACAAACCTTGACTATTTTGATATGAGTTTCTTGTTTTCTGTTCTGGAAACTTTTTGTGGCGTCTCATGATTTGAAGATGGCGACTTCCGCTCCAAGGTGGATGACTCAAAAGAGGTAACTTATTATGATATAACGTCGCATGAAATAACTATTTCTTTGCTT